TTTATACTTAAAGTTTATTTTTAAAGGCTTATTTAAACGTTTACTATAAATTCTTATATATAGCTATACTAAAGAACTTAGCGCGCTATATTAGTTATATAGCTAATAATACGTTATGCTTACTAGGAAGTATATTAACTTATATATACTAGTAGCTAATTACTAACTAATAGCTTTTTAATAAGCTTAAAGGCTTAGCTTAATATATTTAGAATTTTTAGCTAGTATAAATAAGTTACTACTTTAATAGATAATAGCTAGTAATATTATTATAGTACTAGGTAATTATATAGTGATTACTTAAAGAGTAATGGCTTTAATATTAATAGCTAAAAAGCTTAGCTATACTTTATAAAAATATAAATTAAAGCCTTTAGTAACTAACTAGCACTTTTAACGTAAACGCTTTAAGATAGTATAATAAGCTATATTATATCTTAGCGTTCTTTACTAGTACTAGTAAAAGCTAAAGCTAACCTTAACGCTTGCTTAGTAGGCAGTAAAGGTTACTTAGCTTTTACTGCTTACGTTTTTGAGTATAAGTATACTATTATAAGCGTAGACTTAAGTTGCTACTACTTTTAAAGTAATAGTAAGTTTCTTTATGTTTATTATTAAGTTATTACTAACTTATTACTTAGGCTAATCTTTGTATTATTATACTTACTATAGCCTAGCACGTTATAGCTATTTAAGCTAGCTATAATAGTATGCTTTACTATATAGTAGGGTTAGGAAACTAGTATACTAGTACTAGTATTACTAATAGTATTAGTAGCTTTTAACTTATAATAATGTTAAGAAAGTAAGTAATAATATAGTAAAGTATATAATAAATAAAATACGTAATAATATTTAAGCAAAATAAGTAAGTAAGTAAAAATAACTAACTAACTAACTAACTAACTAATAAGCTCTTAATTACTATCCTTATTACTATCTAAACCTAAGTCCTTCTTAAACTTATTTAAATCTTTCTTCTTTTAACTTTTTAATAAAAAAAACCTTTTAGGTGTATCCGGAAGAAGCTTATTTCTAGGTTTAGTAATAATATTATTACTAATATAAAAATAGCTTTTAATAGCACCTAAAGTAGTAGGAATAGCTAGGTAATGTCTAGCTAATATGCTTAAAATCTAGTATTTAAAAGCATGGTTTTTCTAGTACTTTAAGAGATTAGTCTAGTATAATATTAGTATAGCCATATTATACTTAATAGTTAGTTATTTATTAAAGCTTACCTTTTGTCCTTCTTCTTCTTCTTTAAGGTATAAGATATATTCGTCTTTTAAATTAGCTTTTAAAATAAACAAATCTTTTCTTAAATTGTTATTTAAATCGTTGCTTGAAGTATTATTTAAATTGCTATATAGGTCTTTGTTTAATTTATTAAAAGATATATTTATAGGAAGGTTATTAACCTTGTTTTTTATTTTATAATAAAGCTAGTTGATATAAAGTAAGTAAAGTAAAAGCTTACTTAAAGTATTTGTCTTTTAGAATATTAGTAGCATTACTTAAATATAATTATAATAAGCTAATAAGCTGCCTTTTTAAAGTTCCTTGTTTTAAAACTTAGGGTTTAAAATAACACTCAAAATATAAAGCTTATAGCTATTTATATTTTTAAGTAAAAGCTAACTTAAGAAGTATTTGTTTAGCTTTAATAACTTCGCATTAATAGTAGTTATAAAGTTATTAAAAAGTAAAATATTTCTTTTTAGTTTATAATAAGTAAGTAAGTAAGTAAATAAATAAGTAAAGTAAAAAAGTAAAGATAACTTACTAAGGTATTATTCCTTAAGGCTTGTTTATTAAAGTTAGACCTTAAGTAGTCAAGCTTATTATATATAATGTATATATATAATAATACTTTTAGTTAAGTTATATAAATATATTCTTATAACTTAATGCTAGGCTTTAAAAAAACCTTTAAAATTTATATGAGGTTTTTTAATAACAAGCTAGTGTTTTAAATGTACCTTTAAACTTATTATTAGTATTATTATTACTAATATAAGTTAAAGGTTTTTTTAAGTTATAAAAGGTTTTAAGCATATAATAGCTTAAATTCTACCGTGCAGCATTATCTATTTAATAAGTTAGGAAGTTAATAGGCTTCTTTTAAACGTTATAAGTAAAATTAATAACTTACTTAACGGTATAACGGTTATATTATAGTTAATAGAAAGGTCTTCTTTTTTTTTTAAAAATTCTATACCGTCTTATAAAAGCTATTAAATTTCTTATATATATTTTTATTGACGTTGTTAACCATTATACTTAGCTAATAACTAATTAAGTTAGTTAGTTAGTAAAGTAGTAAAGTATCAAGGAAGGTAATAAAGTAATAAGGTACAAGGTATTATAAGTAAAAGCTGTTACTTACTATTATTTAGTTATTATGTTGTTAGAAGATAAATATTTAGTTATAATATCTTTAGCAACTAAGCTAATAATATAAGCAGTATATTTAATATTATTATTAAAATATACTTTCTTTTTAAGTGTATTTATAAAGGTATTATTATTTAAGGCGTTGTCTTATATAATACTAGTAAAAGGTTAGTAAAGTAAAGTAAAGTAGTTAACTAACCTTAATATATTTAATAAAGATAAAGAAGGGTAAATTTATAAGGCGTTTATAAATTTATAAATATATTTACTAGTATATATATTGTTTAATTCGTAGAAGCCTTTTTAATAAGTTAGTAACTAATAAGGTTATTAAGGTAAAGTAAAGATAACTTACTAATAAGCTTAAAAATAGGGTTAAAATTGAAGCTTACATAAGCAACTATAATACTTAAGTAAGCTGTTTAACTTCTTTAAGAAGAATATAAAAACGATTAAAAGCTTTTTTTAACGTTTAATATTTAAGCTTTTAAATTATAAAGTAGTTAGTTAGTTAGTTAGTTTATACTTTACTAATACTTTTGAGTTTATATTTTCTTTATAAGGTGGTAAAGTTTATATATTTAAGCTATAAGTAATTATATAGCTAAATAATTTAAAATTATCTAGCTTATAACTAGGGTTATTATAAAACGTTTGTTGCTTACTTCTTTTATTACTAAAATTAGTAATAAAAGAAGAAGTAACTTTAAAGTTAATGTTAGTTGTATAGCTATTAGAGTCTATTATAACTTATAAGAGTTAGTAGGTTATATAATAAGATTATACCTTTTAAACGCCTTTAAGTTATAAGTTATATAGCTTATAAGCTTTATATCTTACACATTTATATAATAATATATAAGCTTAATTATATACTTATATATTTAAGTATAAACGTATAAGTCTTATAGCTTATAAAGTAAAAAGATAAAAGGGTAAAAATAAAATATAACTTACTAGGTATATAAGATATATAATAGTAATAAGCTTACTTATTATTATTATTATTGTTATTATTATAAAGAATAAAATATAAAATATAAAGTAAAAAAGAGGATAAAGGATAGTTTTCATATATACAAAATTAATATAAAAGCTTTTAGAATAAATTACTTATTATTAATTAGTTTAAAAGAAAAATAAACTGTAATATATTATATTTTATTTTAATATTTTAGTACTTTAGTATACTAGTACTAGTTTAGTATTTACTTACATTAATACTAGTTTAATACTAGTACTAGTACTTAAAAGCCTATACTAGTACTAGTTATACTAAACTAATACTAGTACTACTAGTATTAGTACTAATATTTTTCTTAACCCTAACTATACGCTACTACTTTTAGTTAACACACCTTACACTCTTATATAGCTATTATCTAAGGCTACCCTTTTATAATACCTTATTAGTAGCAACCCAAGTATCTTATAACTAAGATCTAAGCGTTACGCCTTCTAAAAAGCGCCTCTATAAGACAGCCTATATACGTAGCTAGATCCGGCAATTACTTCCGCTATATCCTAAGTAGTATATATACACTTCTATAATATAAGAATATAGTTATATAGCAAGCAGTCTACAACTGTTTAGCAATAGCTAATAACCTAAAGCACTTAACTCTTTTTCCTAACTTTACTAAAGAAGGTTTTTTAATAAGTAAGCGGCTGCCGCGTATACACGTTTTAGCTAATAAAGGCGTTATCTTAAAAGAGAGAGGATAGTATAAGAGTATTTTACGCATTTGCCCTACGCACCGGTTCGGCAACCTACTGCTTACTAAGCGTTAGTTAGACTTAACAAACTATCTTAATACGTAAATAGGGCAAAGCACAGCAACTTAGCTATGCTACACCCGCTTAGGGTTGCGCTATCACGCACCTTCTATTTACGTATAAATTAGATAGCAGGCTCTCGCCTACCAGTCTCCTATAGTTCGTTAAGTTGAAGTCTTAATACAACAGTACAAACACGTCTAAGCCTTTATAACCACACATTGCACACAAACCCTTACAGGCGCAGACTTCTTAGTCTAAGAAGACTAGGCTCTATTATATGCGCACCCTTACTAAGCATTAATATATAATTAAGCAAAGATGTAGAGGCTAACTTAGTGCCTAAATTCGCTAGATTTAAATATAATCGAGCCGTGCTGGATGCACTTAAAAAGGCAAACTACTAAGTTAGGTGCACCGTTGTTTAAGAGCTAAGCAGAGGCAGCCTGGCAGCGTGCTTGGGCAGACCTATTACAAAACCGTATTAGGCAGTAGGTTAAAAGGATACCGTGGAATATTCAGCAGGTAATTGCTTTAAATGGCGGTAATGAATATAAGGTGGGAAGGAAGAAGGATACGTAATGTGGTGATAATACTGTACTGGCGATGTTTTCTTGGTATGTCCTAAGTAGGCGTAGCGCGGCGAAGTAATATTATGTGGGTCTAAGGCGGTGAGCCCTTTCTTTTGGTAGCGAGCTCCGTAATTAGACCATTTTTCGAGCTGCACAATCATTCGTACGCTCGAGCCGGTTGCTGAACTACGACAATATGTACCGGATTCTGCTTGAACTTATCTGATGATCATGCAACCACTTTAATCTTAAGATATGGCACTGCCTTATGTTCTGCCTAATGCGGACAACTTCTTAGGCGTGGCCCTCGTCGTGAACAGAAACCGCGAAGGGCCGCGATTTGTTTTTCACTATCCTAGTCGCATCTACTCTCGGAGAGAGTCTTGTGCTAAACAGCCGAAAGATGAGGATGCTTTTGTCGATGGGGCATTGGTACCTACCAAAAAGAGCGATATCGACTATGCCCCCAACTCCGAAGAGCTAGCCCGATGGAACCACGATGACCATCTTGCAACGAACAGCGGAACGCAGTATGTCCCTTGGGAGTACGTTGCTGGTGCTCCAACCAAGGCCCTGGAAGGAATTTTGACACCACCACACGCTTTTCATAAGAAGCGTTTTCAAATTTTGCTCGATTCCGTCTACTATTTATCTTATCCCATCCATGTGCCGGAAAGCGGTTTCTGGGACAGAGAAAAGAATAGAAAGGGACGGGTTCGTAAGACGAAAGAAGCTTCCACATGGGCCGGAAGCGCCAAATTTGAAGATCGCCCTTCGCGTGATGGCAATAATGCTGAATGGAAGGAAGACAAAGTCAGCTCCATGACTATGTTCAATCTTGTTTTCGTTTTGAACCCCAAGCGGCATGAAGCAAATGAGCTCCTTGACGTCATGTACACCCACGTTGTGCGGGAGGTGAACAGAGTATACAAATACTGCCAGGAAAGTGGTGACTTTGTATGGCAGGAGTGCAAGAAAGTCATTCAGCTCAAGGATAGAGCCAAAGAAGACCGTGAGTTATACACCTGCTTCGAATCCACAGATGTGGTCCTGAAGTATTGATTACACCCGGTTCGAACGGACTATGCTTCTGTTCGGCACTGACCAGCCTATGAAATAGGAACGAAGATGAGCGTGCTGTGGGAGCAAATACTGACGGCATCTTCCCTGGCGGCGTCGATAAGAGACATATACGAGGCCGTATGTCGTAACAAGATAGCAGTTCTCGAGCTGAGTCTCGGAAGGGGTTCCGTTGGACATTCCGTGCAAATACCCATGCCATTTTATGTAGCAGATGTGCAGCCACCAGGAAACGAGGCTGCCCGGAGTCTCTGGCTAACGACAGCCAATTCGGTCTCTGGCTATGATATGCTTGGTGGTTTAGCTGCTTTTGACAAGTGCACTGCGCTTCTACTTACCGACGATGACGACAAGAAGATCATTGCAGAGCTCCAAGCTCGCAGGGATAAGGCAGCCACGGCTATGATCGAGCTTGTCAAAGCTGCGAAGCCCACGCTCTCGTATGCAAACCCTGTCCCATAGAAACGCACTCGTGAAATGAACAAACTCGTTTGACTGACTTTCTTCTGGGGCACATACAAGTTTTTACCAGATTGCCCAACTTCCAGAAACCATCCTTACCATTCAACAAGTGCGCGCATATGCGCAGCATTTCATATACTGGCGACGGGCAATGGCCGTGCCACCAATTCACGCCCGAGACGTGTATGTTCTCTCACCAAACTGCGACTTGGGTAATCTTGGACGCGCTAGCTCAGCTTTCGCCCAAACATTTCCCTTCGCGCCACCAATGACGGATTTACTTGCCAGCTTATCAACAGCCCCACGCCCGTATAAGTCATTCTGCCCTACAAAGAATCTCCGACCTGCATACTTGCGAATATTGTCATGGCTAATCCGTGGAGGCTGGGTCTGTCAAATATGTACATTTGCGTACGTGGTTGTGTGGCCAGAAGTCCAATACGAAGTTGAGTACAGTTTAGAATCGGAAGCTCTTGCTCGAATAAAAAAACAGCGACAGAGAGACGGCAATGGAAAAGGAAGAGAAGAGCGAACTGGTCTTACCACGGATGCTAAGCAGAAACCTAGCGACGCATCTGATGCATCTGATATGGATGGGGACAGTTCGTCGGCCGCATCTTATGCACTGTCTTTGTCTCCGTCATCCGCGAAAAGTCAACCCCGAGACTTTGTTGGAGCTGAAAGTCGGCCAGGACCGTCGGCCGCGGAACATGCAGCTGAAAGAGCAAGGCAACAACGAATTGCTGAAAAGATAGCGCGCGATCTGGCAGAGAGAGCTACCATACACGCACGAAAGCCTGTACCGACTCGCACAGAGCATCCGTCAGTCAATGACGCAGTGCACTTGATGGGCATGCTGCCCTATATCATCATAGACGCTAGCAAACCTACGGGTCGCGAGAGCCTCTACCTCAGCGCCATTGAGAAGCGCCTTCGTTCGCGGCGTGTAGCGCCACCACCTGCAAGCAAAAAGGATGGAAATATGGGTGCTGCTTCTGTACCCACCATGCGAGCACTATCCGATGCACGATTTGGCCACGGCGATGAAACTACGGCTTGGAACGGACGCGTCGCAGACTTATGGCCTGTTTTTTGGAAATATTTCAATGGCCGTTCGGCGTTGGAGAGAATTCCGCTAGTAGAGGATATGAAAAGGAAGGATGTGTGGAACATTTTGTCTGCCATGAGCGAGTTTTTGCTCTGTGTACGGCACTGGTGAGACGGTGTGTAGTTTCGAAACAGATGTAGACTGGTTCCACCACCTGCTTCTACTGTTTCATGCCAGGGTTTAGTAAAGGAACGAGACAATTCTGACAAACGGAAGGCAGTTTGAAGTCGAATCATTGTTATATTCTACTACAGTGTTGGGAGTTAGCTGGTAGACCAGCACTCGGTAATATACTATTGTTCATTGCACCGTAAGCACCCGACCGAGACGACCGCAGGATGCAAGTAGGAACTAAAACATAAGGTGCATCTTATCAGACAACTCCACACAACTTGACCCCAAACTAAGTTCGATACAAAACATACTAAGCAGGTTATTAACAGGCCACGGATAAGCCGCAACAAAACACACAAAGACCACGAATAAGACGACCAGACGCGAGTGATCGAGCTGTGAAGCCTGCGAAGCAAATGAAACTGGCTAGCGATGTTCTAAGGGGCCGTCCCGCACAACCGAGAGCAAGGAGTTGAGAAACATCAAACACCCAGGAACCCAAACGCCTTGAAGGCAGAAGAATAAAACAGTATATAGCAGAAAATAATATAACCGGCCACATCCCATCAACCACAGAGGAGACCACAGAAAGGATAAAGGGGAATAAGAAAGGCTGCACGACATCAGAGGACATCCGGAGAAAGAAAAGACTGCTGCACGGCACGGAAATAGATAGCGTGGAAAAGGAGGGGTGTGGGGGTAACACTGGAAAGCATCCGATCGGTAAAACATCAGTTCAGGTGAGATCCATGAACTCGTCTTCTTCTTTGAATTCCATTTCGCCGTTCTCGTCGTCGTCGGCCCAGAAGTCACCCTGCTCCACAAAATCAAGAGCCACACCGTCGTTGCCAATGCCGGGTTCCATGGATATCCCTTCAGTCCGACCTGAGCCGTCCAACGGATCGCCTTTGTAATCGGTGTAGTCAGGCACCCGCAGGCCGGAGCCATTAGTGCGAGAATAAGTAAAGTGCTTCTTCTCCCCATCAGCGTCGGGATTGCGCATAGCGGTCATCAATTCTGACGTCATACGACGCTCATCGTCGTTGATGGAGAAAGGCATGGACTCGCCACGATCGTTAAAGAACTCTATCAGCTCCTCCTGACGAGAGACATATTTGTCTAACAACCACATGAGATCACGGCACCAGCTTACCGCCCCATTGAGAATGTCACCCTTGTTGGGGCCTTTGTCTTTCTCTTCAACAGGTAGACCGGTAGTGATATTACCAGCTGTGCTTCCGGCAGCGCGTCTTGCGCCGGGACCAGCAAGCCCAGATGTTGCCTGAGACGGGTTGGATAGGCCTGTAAGGGTAGGTGATAGGGGGGTGCCAGTAGTAATGAGCTTTTTGATCTTCTCATCATCCAACCGGTGACTCGGGACAAGTTTGCTAAGATCTTGTATACGCTCATTGATGTTGTCCCGGCGGCGGCGCTCAACTAGATTATGCGATTCCCTCCGCCGTTTTCTCTTCGCCTCCTGCGAGGTGTTTATGGGCGTACCCAGTTTGGCCGGCATAGAAGTTCCACCTTTCAAAAGAAGCTCGTTGATCTGTGCACTATGAAGGCCACCCGGCTGCATAGGGGAAGAGAAACCCGAGCCGGGAAAGGACGAAAGGCTATTTGGAGTCTGAGCCCACTGGCCAGAGTGCGATTTCTCGTGGTTTGAGCCATTTGTCCGAATCGGTTGAGGGGAACCGACAAACTCAGAGGAAGCAGGAGGGATAGCAGTGGAGATAGAAGCCGTTTTGACTGCCATGGGGCTCCGCGCCGTGGTATTTTTGCGAGGCATAGACTGGGACATGCGATGGCGGGATTTCAGGAAAGCTGCATCAGACCCATCGTTTGCAAAATCCGAGGCGGTAAGTGGCGAGCCCGCAAAGCCACCACCAGGCGACTGTAGAGATCCAAAGGCCTGTGCGTGTTGTACGGGACGGTACTGGCTCATGCTATTTGCGAAAGGGCTTTGTATGGGATCGCCCTCGGGTGTGTTCGAGAAGCCGTTCATACGCGAATGATCGAGTGGGAGGCTGTGCTGGGGGGAGAACATCGCCTGCGCATAGGCTCCAGACATGCCGAGATTGGAGAGGCTGGAAAAGTCATGGCCACCAGTGGACATACCAGACTGAGCACCGGAAGGGCTGGCAAGAGTATCGAACAGGTCGTCATCAGAGATCAGGGCTGACCCGCTGGAAAAGCCGGCCCCGTGAGCGTTCTGATTGGAGCTGAAGTTGCCCTGGAAAGACGGGTTGAAAGCACCACCCATGGCCAGATCGTCGGGGTTGATGTTTGTGCCAGCGCCGCCCATCTGGCCGAAACCGTGTTGTGCCATTGCGAGTAAGGCGGTAGCGTGGGCAAAAGCAGAAGTGTGCTGTTCTCACTATGGAAGGGGCTTTGGTTGATAGGCTGAGATGAGCTAAAGTAGAAGATGGCGTCTGTAGTTAGCACTGATGTTCCGTGGTGCATCGCTGGTTGGTGCTGATGCGGGTAGAGACCGTCCCACCAGTGCATGAATCGATAGATGTGCGGTGAGTAGAAGTGAGTCGGTGACTAATGAGGTTGGCTGGTGCCAAGGTTAGAATATATAACCAGACAACGGCGTTGCAAAGCAGTTCTCATAGGAGTAGCGTGATGAGACAAGGCAAGGGGTGTAGACGATAGTGTAATAGAGGGAAGGGTTTATTGCGTACGGAGTACTTATTGCGAAATGGTGGCTCTGCGTGGCAGAGCCTATGAAGTGGACTTTTGGTGATTGTGGGCTGGTTACGTAGGAGAGGAAAAACAGAGCTAATCTGGATGGGGAAACGTGCCGTTTAGCAGTATTGAGGTAATGCGACAGAGCGGCTTGCGGGGAGGGAAGAAGAAAATTACTATAGATGCGGGGGGGGGGGAACTGCCGCTTGGCCCGTACATGTATCATTGTAACCGAAGTTTGGTATTCAAGTAAGCATATTAGAACGAACAAATAACGTACTAGGACTGTCGGTTGTGGCGGGTGGCTGATTGCGTTGAGGCTTCAAAAAACCCGGTGCTATGTGACAAAGCTCTGGAAGTTCGAAACGAGGGCCGCCTGGATTTGGATCGTTGCACAGTAGCAGATCCAGCAGTAGTCTGCTTGGCAAGTTGATTTTGTGGCGCAGAAAGATGTTTGGTAGTGGGGTGGCAGCTATAACCCTCCAAAAAGGGCAAACCGAGCGAAAATGATAAATAGACGCTCCAACAGATGACATGAATGTTTGACCGCTTAGCTAGCCGTCGATGCTGGAACGGGCTGCAGAGACGTATTGAACTTTGAACTGCTGGTTGGTGGTGAGAGAAAGGATTGGGGGGGCACCCAGGCAAGTGCGGGGCCTTCTTAGATGACCAGGCTGCTTTGGATTTGGTGGGGGAATGAAGAAGAATATGAGTAATTATCGTACGAGTACTCGTACACAGCGCGAATCTCACACGTCTATGCTAGAAGACACCGTGCGGCGAAAGTCGTGTATGGCAGACGGGGTAAAGTTGAGAAACATGAAAACCAAAGAGCGCAAAACAGGACGACAGTATGAATATATAACCAGAATCCTTTCCGATCAAGTGCAACCTATGTGTACACCACACCTTGCCAGCCTTCTCACGTGGCTTGTCTCGCTCGGCTTCAAGGTCTTCTGACAGTGGCCTAGCTGGAGGGGTGCGAAAAGGTCTTGAAAGTGGGAATGGGAAAGGCTTGACTACAAGCAATAACAGGCGACTACGAGTAGACAAACTGGCGCGTTGAAGGCGGTTGTCTCGGACTTCTTTGGCTAGCTGGCACAGAAGGTCGCATTTAAACCACATATATGTATTCGAAGACTTGTAATCTTAGCCTAAGTGAGACATTAGTAGACACCATGACAGATCACGCCCGATCGCCAGCCTTAGCTCTCTGCTTTCTTTTGCTGCGCCACAGCATACTTCATACATAGTAATCATCTGTGAAGCCTGGCTGTGGCTCGTCGTGCGGTAGACGAAATAAACCGAGGCCCTCTACAAATCACAGCCAATTAGAGGTGTGTGTGAACCCAAAAGGAGTGGGTACCGACCGATCATGTGCATGGTAACCTCCTATTCGCTTCGGCACTTCCTGGATGGGTACTAATAAACAGGCAACCAGAATATCGAACGCGCATCCTTTACGAGGCACTACGACTAGAAGAAGCAGGCATTTATTTCTGTATATGCCGTCACAGAAAAACAGTCTCTTCAGTTTATGTGCTGACATCAATACTCTCGCACCACAGGCACATATCAATAATAATAACAGGCCAAGTTACGGATTCAACCAAGCACCGAGCGTTTGTCCGTTTTGCCCAGCTTCCGACTCAGCTTCGCGGTCTCCTTACATTTCTGCCTATTGCGTTTTGCATACTTTTACCCGCCCTCGGGCCATTCACTCACACCCACACCCACTTCGCGCACTTTCGCGCGTGACAGCCTTCGGCCAGATCCTTGCTTTTGATCAAACTCGCTGTTCCTGGCACACAGTCACCAGGTACTATCTCGAACTGACCTTTTTCAGTCCCCAAGCAAGGCTTGGGTCACGCCCCCGGTTTTTTGAAATGGCTTCGCAATCGTTCAGAGACTCGCTCAACTCGTTGGGCTGGTCACGCCGTGATGCCAACCCTCCCGTGAACACTTCGCGACGGTCGGGGCTCCTGTCGTCCCTCGAGTCCTGGAATCCCTTCGGAGATAGAGGCTATGTTCAGCTTCCCACAACAGAAGGCGTTGGCGCCCCTTTGCCGGCGCCAAATCGACGCGAGGAGGAGGAAGGCTGGTTCGCACGTAAGCCAACGCCCCATATCACATCCCTATTGTAGTAGCAGCCCGCAATACGCACAAAGACAAGGCGGCAGGTGTACCGGGACGTTGCAGACAAACTTATGACCTGGCAAATGGACTTAGAGGACAGGTTGCCGAAATGTTTCTGGGGCTAACAACAATAATACTGGTATTTGTTCAGTGAGCAGATGGGATCGTTTATTGATTTTTTCGGGCTGCAATATTGGTGCTTTAATCTGCTTTACGATATGTTTTGCTCTCCTCCCAATAATGGCCACTCGCCCGCGCAAGTTTGTTATCTTGTAAGTCTCCTGTACCTCTTTGCCCTCGAAGACTTGGGTTGACTGGTAGTGTAGGTGGACTCTCGGATCTGTGCTATTTTTGTCATCATTTGCCGCCGTAATGGGCCCATGGACGTACGTCCGACACTTGGCATCAACGCCGAGGTTGCCTTTCACAGTGGCTTACTTCGGTTCTATCGGCTTGACTCTTTATTTCTCTATCGGGGTAAGTCTGCTGTTGTCGAAAACGAGCTGTCTAGCTATGGATTTATTGCTCGCAGGTCTAACCATCTATGCAATACATTTAGCTTCACAGCACGATCCTGACACTCATCTCGGCTATAGCGCAGTTGGCTTGTCTCATCTGGTACTTGGTAAGCTATTTCCCAATGGGATCGAGCGGACTACGTCTTGCTACGACCTTTGGGGCTCAACGAGCTGCTGCTTGGGTCTCAAGCTAGATGATATTAAGATTGAAAGTGTCGTGGACCCATGCCTATTCAGAGTATGACCAATGAATTATCTTTCGCTAGGCGCATTGTGATTGTTTTGTTCTGGACGGTCTATATTGACTATCACAGCCATATATATCTCAATGTACAAGTATGCCTTTTCCCCATGTACAGGTTGTTAGCATCGATGGAGGACTGTCGCTTCCTTTTGGCACGACAATGGCCAAAACTTTGCTATTCTCTATGTTGTGCCCACGTGTGACCATTTTTAGCTGCCTGGGTTCTACTGGGTGTCTTGATACAGGGTGCGAGCAGTCAGCATGCTTTATGTACGAGACCACGGAGTACTTATATATCAGCGTAGCATAGCAGGGTATTGGGGGGGAGGGGGGGGAGGCTACATAACAGAGGTTTACAAGCGAAGTCAGCACGGCCAAAAGTGTACAGTAGTGAGCGGATGGTAGGGTTAATGAACGATGCGAATAGGTTGTGTTGGCTGTCAGGGCCTCTATTCGGTTTATCGCACTTGAGCTATGTCATGTAGTGAGCCGTATCCAATTGGTGGCCTCCTGGAGGACCTCGCACCGCTAAAACATAAATCGAGTCAAGAGCCTGCACTAATAATACGCAAACGACAACCAAAGTGAGGAGTATGTACGGAGTATGTGCATATGTACTGTACTTCGTAAATACATATGTAGTGTTTGGTAAGATAAGCTTACTAAGATACAATACAGAGTGGCCACCGCAGTGTCCTGTTTGCCCCTCCGCAAATTAAGCTCCTGCTGGCTGTCCATCGGTACAACCCACTCCAAATCACCCGCCCAACTCTTACTTTACGGAGTACTCTCATCAGCGACCCCAGTTTAAAAAAATTATCTTCACACACAAAATCTTCTCTTTCCTCCACTTCCTTTTTGTCTTGTGCAGAACACACCTAACCCCTCCCATCCTAAAGGGCTCTCCTCTTTCACTCTCTTCCACCCCTCTCTCCTGTCCTCTATATACTCTCTCTAGTGTTTCTGTCGAAAATCTCATCTGGAAACGAACCGGTAGTTGACGTCTCGGAATATCGCACTCTACCAACCGCCATTTTTTTGTTACATTTATCGGTTTTAATTGCCTCTGCTGCCCACCTTCTCGCCATCTTTGCTCGCACACAAGTGGCCCCAAGTTTTCGGGCCATTCTCATACCTAGCTACGCTTTGCCATCGAACGAGGTCACCGATATACGTCGTACCCTGCATCTGACAGACCGGAGCCTCCGGCCACTGATCGGGTTTCTTTTCACCTCGGTCCCTCGTTTGCTGCCCAGATACAACACGCTGCGTTCTTCACCGCGACCTATCCTGGTTCGGAATCTGACTGATTGTTGCGCGCTGGCTTTAACTGTGCGGCGTGCTGGTCGGAACATCAAGAAGCAAGAGATACGAAGATAGCTATTTCGGCTCATAAAGCAACATTCATACAAAAACAAACTCAAGCATTTGTTTGTCGCACGGAGCACTTCGTCTTCGGCGTCCTCTCATTCCCGGTTTCCGGTTGTCCCGTCTTTCTTTTCAGGGATACGGCCTTCTTTTACACTTGAACACTGGCACTTCCATTACTCACCTTTTTGTCACCTCACGTGCCCAGTTTTGGCCATCGAGAAAGAGAACATCGCATTTTCGCGCCGTGCTGTCGCCGTGCTGTTTGAAAGAAGACTGGTCACCCACTCCGAAAACCTCAAATACTTAAATTCACTATACGTATACGACGCTGACATCGAAAGCACACCAAGAGCGAGCCGGCCTCCCCCGAATAGCGTCGAAGTCGTCTCTGCCGATAAAGGCACCTTGGCGGTCACGCCAACAGCATTGATTGGGAAATTCTAACAGATCCGCAAGGCATTGTGTCCGCGGGTGGTGAAATCAAATTCCCGGTGCGGCCATTTTCAGCCAGGGCCGTGTTGTCCTTGTCCTGGATGTGTCAGGGCTTACCGCTTGCACAAACAACAGCGGTCCACACTATAAACTGAGAGCCATGTCTGCTACAGGTTTCTCTTATGCTCAGGCCGCTCGCGGCCAGGCAGCACCGCAAGTAACTACGCCTGTTACCAGCTCAGTAGCTCCTCCACGGGCGAGCCCAGAGGAAAACGATGTTTCGAATCCCACAACAATCCCCGAGGCAGGTACTGCCTTGGTGCTATCTGTCACGAGCGATGCGAGCAAACTAGCATCGTCTGAATCAGGATACGGTTCACGAAAGGTCGATTCAGATGCGGGCTCCGCAACTGATTCTGCTACGTTGATTGGCACGCTTGTCGAATCGACATCCAACATTTCACTGGACGACGTATCTTTTCATGCCAGTGCAAGCTACAAGAACGGCTATGCCTCAGCTATTGCTACACGGTCTTCCTCGTCTGATGATAGCGCCAGAAAGAGCCGGAAAGGCAAAACAACAAAAACATCTACTAAGGACGCAGATCTACTTTCTGTGGACGATGCAGAGAAAGACGCGGAGGCTCCGAAGGTGGTCTTGTCTCCAGCGCCCGTGCCTATCAAGAATATATGGGATGAGAGGCGGCGTGAGCTTGCTGCCAAGGCGAAGCAACCCCCCGCTAGCAAGCCAGACTCGTTGGTAGTGGCCACGGGTGCTACGGGTGCAAATGGTGGGCTTGTGAAGTCGCAGGAACTGAAGAAAGGCAGTGCTCCGCCGACTGATCTTGAAAATCATTCGGAGACATTTGGCGCGACAGCCACGTTCAAACCCCACCAAAGAAGACTGAGCGAGACTTCACGTGGCGACCAAACGCGCCGCAACGGTTCCCGAGTGAGCAAGGTGGTAGATAAGGATGCTAAGAACCTTTCGGGGCGCAGCATTTTGCCGTTTGTCCAAGATACAACTCTTTGGCCGACCCCTGAATCTGCCGCTGTGACTGAAGATGCAAAGGCGAAGAGCCTTGCAGAGAAGGTGGACAGATTAGATGATGGTGACAAGGACACCCAGGAGGAAGGGGCTCTTGCGAAGTCCCGGAAGAAGGGAGCTTGGGTTGCGCTGGATTTTGTCCCTACTGTGAATTTTCAGACCCCTCTCCCTAATGTCCGCGGCTCGAAGCCAAAGGCAGGATCTCGCGGCGGCCGCGATTCTTCTTCTAGAGGGGGCTACAACAGCATCGCGAACGGCTCCGCTCCGTCGGAGAAAGCGGTTTCCATGCCCACGCCAATGGACAAGACTCCAGACTTCCGAGACAAGGCAAAAGAAGCCAATGGTACAGCGATCACGGCGAGACCCCACTTTCACGCATCCAACCCTGCCAAGCGCTTCTCGATAGACTCTACCCATAACCGGGAGATACGAAAGTCATCTGCAGCTGCCGATCACGACAGGACAAAAAATGCTGTGTCTAACTATTCAGGGGTATGATATTTCAGCCTCTCTCCTCATCGCTTTGACCAATCAAGCTAACAGGCCTGCTTCCCTTATCAGCTCCCAGTTAGAGCCGATTTTGTTCCTAAAGGTACCTACGGAGGAGGAGTGAATGGCGACACTGACAATCACCACCACATAGCCCTTCCTGTCCAGTCCGATAGGCGATTTGCGACAGCCAAAGCCACCGACCATCATGCGTCTTCTTCAAAGGAGAACGGGACTTTGCAGTTGAAGGAACCAGGTTTGACTGCACGGGAACGGACAGAAGCTAGAGGTGAACGCACTGGCCGCGGTGGGTTCCGTGGTGGCCGTGGCGGCCATGCAAGCAGCGCTTCTCAAGGCCATCATTTTTCTCGCTCGGGGTATCAGCAAAATGGGCAAAGAGCTGCATCAAACGGGGCAGTATACGGCAGCAATGGCTCTTTGCCACCGTCCGCTGTACCATTTAACCCGACGGCACAGCAGTATTCCTTTGGACACGCAAGCAACGTGTCGCGGTCTAGCAAAACTCCTGGGCGAGCGCAGTCTGTATCGCAAGTCCCGACCTTTTCTAATCGCTTGCAAAATGGGGTGGCAAGCATCGCTCGGTCCCATAATCATGCGGCGCAGATGGCCGGGGTACCTGCTGAGTTCCATATGCAACAACCCTACCCATTCGCGACATATTCGAGCATGGAAATCGAGCACCTGCAGCCCCTGGTTAAGCAACTGGAATACTACTTTTCGTTGGAAAATCTTTGCAAAGACATGTTCCTTCGCAGGAAAATGGACGGCCAGGGCTTTGTTCGGTTGGCAATCGTTGCGAGCTTCAGACGGATGGCGGAACTAGCGCCAACTCTGGACTACGTACGTGCTGCATGTGAACAGTCTGAGAAGCTCGACTACATCCTTGACAAAGACCAGACTGAGCTGGTAAGGTCACGCACAGAGTGGAGAAAGTTCATCTTGCCGGAAGAGCAGAGAATGGAGGAGGTGCGCGGCCCCGGCCCGGACTTGAGGAGTGTCCATTTTCGCTCGCTTCATAGCAGGCCTCCGCCGCCTTTTTATCCCGCCGCCCTTGTAGCTGGTTATCCGACTACAAACCCGGCGATTTTTCAAGCGTCAGCATTCGCCCCTAATGGAAGCGAACCGATGTACCAGCCATACGACAATGGGATGTCTGTGGAGCACACACTCACGTCCAATGGCAACACTCAAGTGAACGGAGGGCCGCCTTCAGGTGAGAGCCAGCTGTCTGCTAAGGTTCCAGTGTTCTCCCCATCGGGCGGCAGCGGTGCACCGACGACGTTGGAGGACTATCAGAACTGTCCAGATGAGCAAGTCGAAAAGTTAGTCGTGATTGTGGCTCCAGACACGGATGTGACCTCAACCACTGTCTCAGAGATAAGTTTGGGACCGAATGGCTCACATAGTTCCCAGGACAACATGTTGAGGTATGTTTGGCAAGCTTAAGTGTGTTTTTTTCACCTTTCTGGTCCTATATCTTGCCTCCTTATTGTCCTTCTTTTCTATTTTGAAACACCGCCGTTTATCTCCTTACTCTAACCTGGGTACGACTTCAAGCAACGGTCACGACTATTCTCTCGAGACGTCTCTGGAAACACTTATTGAAGGCTCCAGGTCTGCTACTGTTATATCGTCAGCACCTCTCTCTCTCCCTGCCACAGATGCAGTTGGAGGGGAGCCTTACCCGGGTTTGCGGACGAAGGCCTTTGATCAACGGAAGAATTCTAAGTCCGGCGAGACACCAGCTGCTATGAAGCATCTTTACCAATTTTGGTCCCATTGTCTGCCTGACAAATTCAACGTTAGGATGTATGAGGATTTCCGATCATCCGCACTAGAAGATGCCCGTGGCGATATGCCATGCGATTTCGGGTTGCGGTGTCTTCTTCGGTATTACAACCATGTTTTGACCGACGCAGGTCCGAAACCGTACCCGTCGGTCTTTGTGCCGCACTTCACTGAAGCCAGGGAACTCGTGGGATCGTGGAAAGCGGCCAGTGGTGAGGCCTGAACATAGGAGGTCCGTTGCAGGCGGCCTTTACGTCCCTTGAGGTGGTGGTACATTCGCCAGTGCAATGACAGCGTTACGGCGGCTGATGGCAGGCCGTCGGCCCTGCTATCTCGAGCAGGGTGCTATTTGATGTATGCTTCGATTTCGTATTGGAGAGGCATTCAACACCCATTTTTTTTCTGTCGTCAGCACGACCTAACCCACTGCCACGCATCAGGCGGACTGGCTCTCTGAATGTGGGCTGGCGACAGGTACGCAGCTACCGATGGTTTGGCGTGTCCTTTAAGGCTGTCTTTCGTTCACCAGATGGCTCATAAAATACATCACAAAATAACATCCTGCCTCTGCAGCAACCTGCGTTTTCCTCAACTGCCAAACTGCCATGTACACTGCTTTCTGTATGTTCGGCAATATACGTCCAGGATACGAACGAGCCTATATTTGATGCCTAGAGCTTCAGCCTAGTCGGTATAGCCTAGTCGCCTTATGGAAGGTGCAATTTGGCAGCTCTAGGAGCGTTCGTCCGGCTCTGGTAGGGCAGACAGCGGCCGTGCGAATTATGCTTATATTCGGACCAGATTGAGCAAGTGTTGGCCTATCAGCAGATGCCGAGTGTAAGGCGTTTGTGCCTGACAGGCGGCCTTCCCTGATCACTTAATCAGCAGCGGATAGCAAGTTGGATGTGTGAACGTCGCCGCTGGCGCTTCTTTAGATCGCATGATCCTATATACAGATGGTCGGGGTCACGTTCAGTGCTGTGTCAGCCCGAGCTTGAGCAGCAAAGAGAGGGAGGAATAGAGCGTGAAAGGTGAGGGTGGCCCGGATGCTAAAAGGCCGAATGACAAACGCCTGCACCTGCCAAGGAAACACAAGTGCCCAAGGGAAACAGGCTAGTGGCGAGGATAACAGGATCTCAAGTGTTGAGCCGCCGGCTTTCACCTGTGCCGCTGCTGTGAAATCTGGGAGATAGTGCTTTATACTCCTAGAATAACCTTCATCATGGTCAATTTACAAGCTGCTTCAAACATTGGACCCAGACCGTCAGGCACATAGTGAAGGTTAACAACGTCAGACGGTGATGCCACGGTGGAATCCTGATGATGTCATCGGCCTTGGATCAACTGTATAGTGGGGACCATAGCGTCACAACAATACCGAGGTGGATGGGTGCACCTGTGGCGAGTCCGAGTAATTTCCCATCCACCTCGTATGTAGGATATTTCATCTCACCAACGGGCGGGGTTTTGCTGCAAGGCCATGCTTTCTATGGTGGGAGGCTGTGCCCTGTTGCCTCTTATGGGCCAATCCATTAGGCGGCACCATAGGCTGGCTGGGCAGCCAAGAGAGGACGGTGCTTTATTTGGCGAAACGCCCAGGTCTGCTCCGTAAAACGCTCCGGTCAACGCTAACGATCCGTCTTGGTGTCCGTCTTGGTGTCCGTCTGGCATCCGTTGGTTGATGTAAGATACAAGTAACGACGACCATCGTGCCTGCCGCACAGCGATCGGGAAACCCTTGTTCGAAAGAGGCAGCCGCTACTTCGTATCTTACATTGGAGCCCTCCAGATCAACTATGACGGCAGGTCGCCTTGCCCCACTACTCTTGGTTTTCGTCTGTCTACGAAGTTCGCATTATTGTAAGATATCTTACTTAGCATTCAAAATAACCCCTCCACCCCCACCACGAGTTTTGCTCCTCTCCAGCAGCCAAACTATTCCGTCTCAAAGCCTCCTCTTTTGACGTGTTCATAGACCGGCTATTCGTCCCCCCCTTTTTTTCCATCCACAACTGCATCTCAACGCCAGCCTAGCCAGACTTTTTCTCCATTTCCGGGCACACGCAGCCTCTCCACGATACTGCATCACTGCCATGTCAGCCCACGAGGATGGACGCAGTGAATACACTGCGTCCCGTTATTACGATGACCGGCGTTACCAACGTGACCCTCGCTATGTCGAGTCTCGCGACAACTACGCCAAGGGTCAGGTAGCTTCCCGAGATCTTGTCCCCCGGTACCGGGAAGAGAGCGACTATTCGGTCGAGGAGATCCATCGCGATTTTCCACCTCCAACGTATTCTCGGGATGTGTATCGCAGCTATGAAGATGACCGGCGCCCGCGCTCCTCCAAAGACCGCGATTATGATCGTCGCGAGGGAAAGAAAACCCGGACCAATTCCTACGACGATGAGAGGAAGAGGCGCCGCATGCTCAGCAACCAGGAGAAGATTTTGGCTGCGGTCATCGGAGGTGCTCTTGCTGTTGGCGGCAAGGAGATCTATGATCGCCGCGAAGCCCAGCAAGAAGGCCGTGGAATACAGCGCAATGCTCTGAGCTCTGCAGCTCTCGGTGCTGTCGGTGCCTTTGCCGCCTACCAGGGTGTCGATCTATACAACAAGCATGCCACCAAAGAGGAACAGAAGACGCTTACGGCATACAAGGGCCGCGATAGCCGAGACGTGGATGCTTACGACGACAATGACAGTGACTACGGCTCGAAAGAGCGGAAGGGGCACAAGAACTTCCTGGAAAGCGCTCTCGCTGCGGCCGGCCTTGGCGGTGCCGTCAAGGCACTGACCGGCGGTAGTACAGGGCACCGTGACGACAGCCGCTCGCGGTCCCGATCCCGGTCCGGGTCTAAGTCACGCGGCAAGGGTGGTGGCACCAACAAGATCCAAAAGGCCGCCATGGCATCGCTGATCGCCGGTGCTACCGAGGCCTTCCGCGTTGCCAAGGAGCCCGGCAATTGGAAAGGTGAAAAGGCCAAGCGTGTTCTCACTGCCGCTGCAGGTGCTGCCACCATCGATGCGGCGCACGGTGACAAACACAGCAAGATGGGTATTGCCGAATCGGTTATCGGCGGATTGCTGGGGAACCGCATCGTGAACGGATCACGCAGAAACATTGAAGAGGACAGACACACTGGCCGCAGCCGATCCCGATCTCGTGCTCGGTCTGACGGAGGCGGCGGCGGCAGCGGCGGCGTGAGTGGACTTGCCGCTCTCGCAACGGCCGGCCTGGGTGCTCTTGGTACCAAGAAGATCATGGAAAGCCGCGAACGGTCTCGGTCGCGTCGCAGGAGCAGTGCGGACTCGTACGACAGCCGCAACCGCTCTCCGGGCCGATCTCGCCGAAGCCGAAGCCGCAGTGTTGTCGACACTGCGCGCCGGAGCCTGGCGAAGCTTGGCCTAGGAAACGGCCCTGACGACGACTATCCGACGGACGAGTCGCCGCGGCGCAAGAAGGGCTCATCCCGCCACAACGACCGTCGCAACTCTGCGGACAGCTACGATGACGACTACCGTTATGGAGGCGCCCGGGACCGCGACCGCGGCGAGGGTCGCAGTGGCCGCTACGAGAACGACGACAACCGCAGCAGTACTCGCCGACGGAGCGGGTCGCGGTCCCGTCGGGATAAGGGCGGGTCGAGACATGATTCGGAGTCCGACTTGGGCAGCTCGTCCGAGGACGAGAAACGGGCGAAGAAAATGCGAGGTAAGCAAATCGTTACTACTGGTCTAGCGGCCGTTGCCACCATCCACGCGGCGCACAATGTGTATCAGAGCATGGAGAAGAGGCAGTCGCGGCAACGTGCAGTCCGGGAAGGCCGTCTCTCGACGGGGGAAGCCAAGAAGCTCAAAGACCAGGCTCTGCTACGTGACGCAGCGTCTGTTGGTATTGCCGCCTTGGGTATCAAGGGTGCTATTTCGGAGCTCAAGGAGGCGCGCGAAGCCCACCATGAATGCAAGGAGTGGAAAGAAGAAAAGCAAAGGCGGCACCTGCGCCGGCTTGAGCACATGCAACGCAGTCAGTCCAGCGGGAGGTCAGGCAGGAAGGCCCGCAACCGGGCCTCTTCGGTCCCACCACAGGCCGGTCGGTACTACAACGACTACGGCAGCGATGCCAGTGACGATGAGCCCCGTATGGTAAACGGGAGCCCCTACGCCGCCCTTCCGGCCCCTCCTGTTGGCACTGAGGCGAGGAGACCTGATGAGAGCAACAGAAGCTGAAAGGACGCAGTCTTCCTGCCATCTTTTGCCCCGTTGCACCGTTGTGGCGATATATCACATGTCGGTGCGGCAAGTGGGTTGGCTAGAAGTTGATCTGCCCTTCTGTTTCTCTGTGCACACATGCGGCTGATACACTGGATGTGATGCTTCTTTCCTTTTCCGTGTGCCGTTCAAACATCAAGAGCATACGAGACAGCAACCATATACACGAGACGTTCCTTTATTTCTTTTTTATTTGGCACCGAGCCATGACGCTGATGATTTTCCATTTTGTAACAGACGGGCGCCATCGCCACTAACGGCATACTCGGGACCAGGGGGGAGGCAAGGAAAGTGAGTGGATACACAGCAGCGACGGAGAGTGCACGCGCAACACACCTGCATGCGCGCTTGAGAGTATGCAGTTGGGTACAAGCAAGGCGTCGTTTGCACCGTGCATCGGCTTGGCCGGAAGCATGGCTGAAGGCGCTTGCTGTAGACATGACGGATGGAGGAACGATTTATGACTTCTGCTTCGTTACCGTTTTCACTTCGTTTTACTAGTTACATCATTGGTTCAGTTTCCTATGAAATCAATTTGCTCTGCGAGTATGTCGTGGATGCGGGTGGATCCCACACCAGGAAGAGCGGTGAGGTCATTCTTATCATGCGCCGAAGCAGGGTTTCTTCCTGCATGTCTGTCGTACAAAGTACGCCGTATGCACGAAGTACGCCGTAAAACTCCGTGCTCTCTCGAACAATCCCGGCCCACGATCCGCGACACACGAATCGGTCCAGAGTAGCTCCAATTGATCAAGTAAAATCCAATTTGTGGAAGAGAAACATCAACGGCCTCGGCCATAGATCCCATGCCAAGACCGCCCAGACAGCGGCCTGCCCCGATAGGTTAATTGGCAGTTGGATGTACCGTGTAAGTTACATGGCGGTGGGTATATGTATTACTGCCATCTCTGATCCAGCCGCCCTCTTCCTTGCATAGCTTACTCCGAGCCGTCTTCTCCAAGTCCTGCTGGCGGTGCTACCATTCCGCCCGTCTTTCTCCATGCCTGGGCCATGGCCAGAAGATTCATCTGACTCTTTGCCTGGCGGTCGTCAGCAGGGAAGACGTAGTCGACGTATTCTTCCCAGCTGCCGTCTTCCAGCCGCCTTCGCTTCTTGGTCTTGCGAGGCATCTGCTTCTGGATCTTCTCCACATCGTCTGTGCCGCCGTGCGTTCTCTCAAAAGCAAGCCAAGCATTGAGCAATGCCACCCGTTCTGCCTTGAGCTCCTTGTCCCGGAAGCTTGCATGTGCTCGCTCAAAGATTTTGCGCGCGCGCAGCTTCGCGTCGTTGCTGACGGCAGTCTGCTCGCCATTGTCGCCTTCGTTGTCGCCGCTGTTGACGCCGCTGTCGCCGTCGCCGTCGTCGTCGTCTTCCGGTATGTTGATCTCGAATTGTGCATAGCTGATCCACACTTTCGGGTGGTCTGCTTTCTCCAGCAGCCGCTCATAAAGCTCCCGTGTCCGCTCATATTCGCCCTCCTCCTCCTCAAAATCAATGTACGCCTTCCACAGCACTTCGGGCATGTCCAGCACTGGCTGACTGACTCCCATATCGAAGATCGCTCGGGCCCGATCGAGATCGTCCAGGCCGCGCTCCAGCTCCGCCCACTGAATCCACGTGCTGCAGTTGGCCGGGTTGTACACAATGTGCTTTTCATACAACACACGGCAGCGCTGGAACTCAAACAGCTTCTTTTCCAACTCGATGTAGCTCTTGAAGAGCTTGTCTTTAGGTGCCATGCCGATTGCCCGGCCAAGCGTTTTGCGCGCCGCCGTGATCTCGCCTTGGCGCACCTCGAAATACGCTTTCTGCAGCCACACCTTGGCAAAGGTGAACTTCTTGTGCGGAATGAGATTAAGACATGTGTCGTAGATCTGCCTCGCCCGCCCTGTGTCCTTGGCCTCTGTCTCCTCCCAGAGAGCGTAAAAGATCCACAGAAATACATATCGCCGCCAGAGCCGCTTTTCAGCGGCCGGGGGAATTTGGGCTACCGCCTTCTCGTAGACGTCTCGGATGCGATCGGCGTCACCCGTGGTTTCTTCAAGTCGCGCCCAGTCGAACCACGTGTCGTAGTTTTTGGGATTCTGCTTCACCTGCTCCTCGTACTGCCTCCGCCGCTTGGACACCACCACATCTTCGACACCCTCTCGGTCGCCAAACTGCTTCTCGAATGTAGTGTATTCCTTGTGCAGAAGCATGGACTTCGCCCGTGGTAGGTTGTCGAGCCCGAATTTGTAGATCGCGCGTGCGCGGTCGTACTCCTTGAGCTTCGCCTCGAACCGAGCATAGCTGGTGAAGAGACGCTCGTCGACAAACTCGTCGCCGAGGGATTCGATTGCTGTCTGAAACACTTCGCGAACCAAGTCGCTGGTGCCAAATTCCTCCTCAAACCTGGCCCACTTGATCCAAGTGCGCGGGTAAGGATGCACTATGGTGTAGGAGCGAAAGATATCGCGCGCTCGCTCGTACTCGGTGTACCGCTTTTCCAGCCGGATGTACGAATTCCAGACCTCCTCGGCTGGCTCCCACTTGAGCCAGCGGTCAAAAATTTGTCGCGTTCCCGATACATTCCCGAGCATCTCCTCTCTGTGTGGACAGGTTAGCATTGCAGAGCAACACGCAGAACCGAAGGAAGGCAGACTTGGCGGCGCTTCGTCTTACACATAAAGATACTTGTACCAAAGCTTATCCACCCGCGGTAGGCGGGTGACAGCCCTGTCGAGAAGATTTCGGGCATGGGCGATGTTTCGGTTTTTTATTTCTGCCTCGACATCTGTTCCTGCTGTGTTAGCACTTGCATCATAGAGCTGCTTTCGGAGAACGAAGACGCGGGAAACTACTTGCATCTGATCCACAGAGGAACGCTGTTTGGCAGCACATCCAAAGCCCGCTCGAAAACGGACCGGGCCCGCGCCAACTCCTTCTGCTCAAGCTCGAACTGCGCATATTGTACCCATGGTTTCAGGCTCGTCCTCGACCGCCGAACGTAATCTTCATATTCTCGGCGTTTTCGTCCCTGGTACTCGTGCAGTTCTTCTAGATCGGAAAAGCGGGTGGTAGGTGCTTGTAGGGGAACTTCTTGCCGGTCTACAGCTTCTCGAAGAAGCTGCTCTGCGGATATCTGAAGCGAGAAGAAGTAACACTGTCAGTACGCTAACAAAAGTGTGGACGCATCGTGGACGAGATATCGGAGCGACGGCAGCGTGTATCACAGACATACCTGCACCGGGGCAGCCGATTTGTTCTTTACGCGAGGGGGGCCGCGGGATTCCATATTTCGCGCGCTTTTGCGAGTATCTTGGGTGAAGACGATTGTTTTTTACAGCGTGTTTTGCTTTTCGTAACGGGCAAGATTATCCAAAGCGCCGTGTTTGTAATCATTCACGTGATAATAGAGGATACTCGCCCGGGCGCCACATTAGCGCGCCTGAGAGCTTTGCCGCTCTCTTCCTTTTTCTGTACAAAGTATTACCCTCCGAACAGAGGGCGCATCACAAGTCGACCTGGACCAAACCCACCAGGGGTAAATTCACCATCCGTCTTCCAGACCAGGACTCCTCCACCGCCCTGTGTGCTTCCTAAGCTTCTTTTTGCACTTGCCCAACATGTCGACACTAGCAGATGAGCTGCTACAGGACTTTGAAGATTCTGGATCCGAAACGGGTGGCATCGCGGAGGAGGAGGATGATGACAATACGGCAGCCCTTATGGGCCTTAACGAAGGCGATCTGCGGATGGACGGTACCGATCTATTGAGCTCGGATGAAGACGACGAAATGGGAGGTGTAGACGACGCCTATCATGTTGATGAAGAGAAGACAACGAGGGCTGGAATATTAGCCAAAGCAACTGATGTCCGTTCGGCAGTCAACCTCATCAAAACTCTAGATGCCGTGCTAGAGGTTAGTGCACCCCCTCATATACTCCTTGGGCCTATGAAACAGACTTGGGGACGAAGCGTTTACATCTCTTTTCGGACTTCTTTTCCTGAAATAGCAATCCTGACTTGTTGGACGATTGCCTACAGAAAATTGCCTTCTACCAAGCGCAATCGAGCGAAGACAGAAACGAACACGTCGGGAACGTTGAGGAGCACCCGGAATACCATCTTCTTACGCAAGCGAACAGCCTTTCTACCTCGATTGATACCGAAGTGGTCATCGTGCACAAGTGGATCCGAGATCACTATTCGGCACGCTTTCCCGAACTGGAGACGCTGGTGACTAACCCGCTGGAGTATGCCAAAACAGCTGCCATTCTCGGCAATGGACCAATGGACCCAGATGCGATGCGGAGAATACCACAAGCAATAGACAATCCCCTAGGGGTGTCTCTGGAGTCGGTATTGGATAAGCCTACCCTGATGATTGTCACCACCAGCGCAATCACCTCCAAGGGGCAGGATATATCAGGCACCACGTTGGACGGTGTGGTGGCGGCATGCGAGATGATTGTCAAGCTCGACGTAGCCAAGCGAACACTGACGGAATATGTGCAATCCCGCATGACGATTTTCGCGCCGAACCTGACAGCGCTGATCGGTTCCCTCACAGCTGCACAGCTGCTCAACACGGCAGGCGGACTGACGGGACTGTGCAAGACGCCGGCATGCAACATTGCGGCGTGGGGTTCAAAGAAAGGCGCCAATGTCAGCGCCCTGGCCACCAACGTTACGTACCGACAACAGGGTTATCTCTTTTCGTCTCCGATCATCCGCTCGGTCCCGACAGACCTTAAGAAACAGGCCATGCGGATTGTGTCTGCCAAGGTGGTCCTGGCGGCGCGGGTTGACCGGATCCACTCGTCGCCGGACGGTACCGCGGGCGAAGATCTCAAAGAACAGTGCCTGGAGCGGCTGGAGAAGCTGCAAGAGAAGCCGCTGAGCAAGGGTGCGAAGGCACTCCCGGTACCGGATGACAAGCCTTCCCGCAAGCGTGGCGGCAGGCGAGCGCGGCAAGCCAAGGCTGCAACGGCGATGACGGATCTTCGCAAGGCGCAAAACCGGGTAGCTTTCGGCAGAGAAGAGAAAGAGGTGGGGTACGGCCTTGGCGACGGAACGACCGGATTGGGCATGATTGGAGCTGCCAGCGATGGGCGGGTGCGGTCGCTGCAGGTCGATCAGCGCACGCGTGCCAAGCTCAGCGCGAAAAACAAGGGTTGGGGCGGTCTCGCATCGTCCGTGACGGGCGGTTCTGGGTCGGTATCGTCCATTAGAGGTGTGGGGCAAGCTGCAGGTGGCCTAGACCTGCGGGGAAGAGGCCTGCGAGCTTCTGGGGTGGGCACGACAGTGGGACAGGGTGGAACTATGTCGTCGTTGTCCTTTACTCCCGTGCAAGGGCTCGAACTGGTAGATCCGAGCGTGAGGGCGGACATGACCCGCAAGAGGAAGGCCGAAGAAGACCGCTACTTCAAGGGCGGCACCTTTACGCAGATTGGTGGTCCCTCAGGAGGCGACAACGGAGGCTTCAAAAAGCCTGCTTTGCCGCCAGCTAAGCGACTAGACACGGGGGCGACAAAACAGTGAGCATCGAAGGATAATAATCGGGGAGGCGTGAGGCATGCGAGTATGCACTCTGAGGAACGGCGTTGATACCGGGCACGGGCGTCTAGGACAGATCAAGGGCAGGAAAGGAAAACATCGTGTTGCCATACGCCTGGCTTAATACACCAATAATTGGGCCTTTGTAAGGGTTTCGCCGGCTCGCGTGCAGATTGGTAATATTGCAGCCGTGCCCATACATTCTGCATCGTAAGTTTATTCACGTGCCTTCAAATGGCGTCATAAGATACCAGTGCTTATATCTTTTGCAAGTCTTGGTCGGCCCGATCCTACGAACCATACGAGTACGAGCATTTACTGCCAAAGAGCCTTACTCTCTGCACCACTGCGCGCCATCTCCAGCTGCTCGTCTGTCTGACACACGAGCACTCGGTGCGCCGCATCCTTACTGGTGATATCGGTGACAGATCCTGTCACGCGTTGTACATTCGCTGTTGGGTCCACGGAAAAGCCGAGGCAGCTGCACTGGCTCACCACAGCAGCGCGCAGGCGGTCGCTGCGTTCACCGATGCCACCCGCAAACACCAAGGCATCAACCTTGCCACCGAGCGTGACATAGTAGGAACCGACAAACCCACAAACGCGGTCAACGAAGAGATTGAAAGCCAGGCTGTGAGAGGGCTCATCAGATGCGGCAATCTCGGCAAAATTGGTGGTGCCCGTGAGAGCCTTCCATCCGGACTCCTTGTTGAGGATCTCCTCTGCCTGTGTGATATGCAGATGGCTCGTTGACGCTGGTGCGAGTCTTCCTACATCTGAGGCATAGTGAAACACGAGGCTGGCCAGTCAGCCTGTATCCGGAGGGCGGTTGAGCAAAACACGACACACCTTGGATCGACACTGCCACTGCGCGTGGCGCCCGGAAGGCCGGCCAACGGCGTGAGGCCCATGCTCGTGTCCCAGCTGCGGCCTCCTTGGACGGCACATGCGGAAGCTCCACTGCCCAGGTGCAGGGCAATCAGATTGGTCTCGCCGGCCGGCTTGCCGAGGAAGGTGGCGACAGCACGCGTGATGAACGAATAGCTGAGCCCGTGGAAGCCATACTTGCGAAGCATGTTCTTCTTGGCAATGGTCTGGTCGATGGGGTATGTGCGAATGTGAAGGGGAATGGTGGAGTGGAACTGCGAGTCGAAGCAGGCCATGTTGATGGCATGCGGCAGCTCGTCAAGACAGGCGTTTATGATCTCAAGCGACTTGGCATTGTGCAGAGGTGCGAGGTCATTGAGCTTCTCCAGCGCGGCATACGTCCCCTTGCCGACGATCTGCGGCTCCGAGAAGTCGCCGCCGTGGACAATGCGGTGGGTGACGAGGGCGATGCTGCCACGGTGACCAATCTCGGCGAGTGCATTGTCGTTGACGAAGAGGTTCAGCAGCAGCTTGAAGGCGTCTGCCTGGCTGCTGATCTTCGTGCTGCTGTCCACGTCGGCGGCAAGCGCATTCTTGTGCACGACCTTGTCGCCACGTCGGTAGTCAATCCGCGGCGGCGGTGCAGTCAGTCCGCTGATCTGGGCCTCGGCCAGCTCATGCGGCGTGCCTCCAGGGGCCTCAACCACATACACAGAGATCTTGACGGACGACGAGCCCGCGTTGACGGAAAGCACCACTTTCATTGTGGCGAGAGTCGCTTCTGTGTAGATGCAGGAATGCTTTGCACCGAGAGCGGAGACCGAATGGGAGAGCTGTGCCGCTTGTTCTCTTTACACACTGCCTCGGTCTTCTCTCAGTTGACTATCACATGGGTCATCCCACCTCTTCAATCTCTGGTAGTTGTTCTGGGTCGAAATCTATCACACTTTTACGCCAATTGTGGCGATGCTGCATCACTGGCACAATTGGTCTAGGCCGAATTGATAAGAAGGATCGTGTCTGGCTAATATCATGCACTTTGATCGATGTGGGCTGACGTACACTCATGCGGGCACATGCAAGGGCTGAGTAAGTCTCTTACACTTGTACGGAGTACGTAAGTATGTACGACCTGATGCGTGCTAAGATAAGATGCGACCTATCAATGATGCTCTTATTTCCGACTGATATTGCCATGTGTGCGTCACCTTTACGGCTGTATGCGCGATTGGAAACGAACCCATATAGAAGGGTTGGTAGAATGCGTTGTCATGGGACCTCAACGTCATCTCCATCGTCATCTGTGCCATATTGCGGTTCTTCCACCACTGGAAGGCTCATAAAGGACAGTGGGTCGTTCAGTTCGACTCTATGGCCGGGATGAAGTTCTGGCGAGGGCAGCTCAAAGCAATTGACTGGGAAAGACACTCCGCAAAACTCTACGTCTGCGCTTTGGGCATGTGTCCACTGCTCCATGAATCTAAAGTAATCTCGAGTGGACGTTAGAAAGACGGACCACGACGCCGGCCGAAAGAAATTGAGCTTACCCTCGTTCCGGCTGAACTGAATGCCGAGATACCGAATGGCGAGAGTGTCACCGGGTGAGAAGAAAGAGGCAGATGAGGATGGTGAAACGGCAGAGGTTTGTTCTGAATGCGATTGCGAGCTCCGTGAGCTCCGTGAGCTGGAGGCGTGTAACGAGTGGTGGCGACCGGACGTGGACGCTCGTGGGCGATGCCGCAAGGAGGACATGGAGAAGCGACGGCTGGAATGACCGTCACCCTTGTTGTTACTGCTGCCGCTATCACGAGCACTGCCTCGGCGGCCACGCACGTTAAGGCGCAGGCGGCGGTGGGAATCATCGCGGATTTTGATCTCGGAGTCAAAGGCAGACACAAAGTAATCGTGGTATCGGCGGTCTGTGCGGTTGGCGTACATTGTGAAGTTGTGACAAGCGCTATAGCGATCTCGCCACAGCTTCATGCGCTGGATGGCGCCGATACCGCGGACGCTGCCAAAGGAGTCGGTGCGATTATCGCGGTCTGACCAGATAACATCGATGTCGAAATGGTCTACGAGATCCTGAGCGCGGAGGTCGCCCTGGAAGCGATGCGAACCCTCCGTGGTGGTGAATTCATACCGCACCTCCACGTAGTCATCATGTACGAGGCTGTTGTCACTGGTCACGTATCGTAGGCGGTGCGGTTCGAGAAAGGCGAGGAAGAGCTCCATGCCACAGGGATCACCATATGGTCGATGGCGGCCATGCAACGTGTGCGGAAAGATGTCAACTGGCTGGTTGGAGGGCACTGCCAGTTCGATCACGAGGGGGGAGTCAGTGGACAAGGGCAACTCGGGGATGAAACTCTTGAAGGGAGACGCACAGAAATGCTCTAGCACCTCGCCTTGGTAGCTGCATTGCCATCTTACCCGACGCGGCTCGGTGTTGATAAGCTCCTATGGGCCGAGATAGACAGTTGTCTCGTTGGCGGTGCGCTCAAAGAGAGTGTTGTCAGTTTGGTTAGCTATGAAGGGCATGCCGGAGGTTGGAGACAACGGCAGATAAGTAGATCGGGTTACATTGTAGCCTGGTAGCCCGGCGGCCCCAGATCGAGGGGCCGCAAGGGCGTTGGCGGCGGGGCTGAAGAGTTGGAAGTCACGGTGGAGGGGGTAGAGGAGCTGGAGGTTCGAGAGGAGAAACCATTCGGGCTAGTGTAGACATGAGTATAAGGCCGAGGGCAGCCGGACGAAGATGCGGAAACATTGGAGGAAGATGACCCAGTTGTGGCCATAACGTGGCGCAAAGGGCGACGAGAAGAAGGAGAATAGTAGGACGAGGAGGACGGGGTGAGAGACAAGCGCCAAAGGGATACCGAGGACTGACAGCGGGCCCTCGAGTGAAGCGGCACTAGAGGGTGAGAATATGTATATATTTGACGAGGCTGTTCTGCAGAAAGACGCTCATGGAGAGGCGACAAATTGCTCCAAGAACGGGGGAAAGAGATATTGAGGAGGAAGCGGGAAACAGAGCTGGTGCCAGTAGGTACGCTGATTGAGAACGGGAGCCCGGCCTTCAGGCACAGAGACCCTTGTTCTAGGATGAAGCCGTGAGATCGGTTGGTGAAGAGCCGGGGAGTTGAGCTGTCTCGGCCAGGCCAGGCTGAGCGTGACTTGCAGACAGGCGTCGACGGGATTTGTAGAATCCTAGCTAGTGTATCTTACTATGTAGACGGTGGGCTGGGGAAGGTGCGTCTCACGGCGCAAGCACCTATTGTGGGCTGACTTGCTGAATGACTCGAGAGTGAGATACATAGTATCCTAAGATATGGCTCTCTTTCACAACGCACCGCCGAGGTAGGATCAGGAAGAACTGCGCAGGGTGTTGCCGACGCAGGCGACCAGACAGGATCAACAGCAAACAGTCAAGAGAGATATGCGTACGACAAGTACGAGACGCCACCTACTCGTAGCGCATGGATATCCCCGCTGGCCATCACATCGAATCAGTTGCGCACATGGCAGTGACCAAGTGGAGAAGGTTTGCCGCGCAGAGCTACACACGACGTACTCTGCAGTGTCACCACCCAAATGGAACTTGCGCATCCCGGCTGCGCTCCTGTTCGTGCCTTTTGTCCCTTTTACTTGCATCACCTGCGAGGCTATCTTCCGCTTCTCTCGCCAGGTGCTTCTCCCACTGCTACTCCCATACGCCAACTTGATATGGCTGCAGCCGTGTATCCGGAGCCGGAATGCAGGAGTAAGCGCGGCTTTCTGGGCCCCGACAACTCTGCGCTCTCCTTGCAGGATCGCCATGTAAGTCAGGATACCCGCTCATTCCCTGTGTCTGACTCCCATTGACTTCCTGGAACCTGCGCATCTGGGGTGTCGCTGCGTCTGGCTTCCTCACCGACTCGTACAACCTCTTTGCCACCAACGTCATTCTCGCATCCATCTCCTTTGTCTACTTCCCCGAGGCAAAGTACCGCCATGTCGGCACCCTCATCAACGTCTTCACCCTTCTCGGCTCCGTTGTCGGCCAGCTCTGCTTTGGCTTCCTCGCCGACTACTACGGCCGGACCCGCCTCTACGGCATCGAGCTGGTCCTCGTGATCGTCTCCACCATCGGCGTCGCTACCAGCAACTATGGGTACAAGGACTTGTCCTTTCTGGGCTTGTTCATCTGGGTGAGTGCTCTCGTATTCTCCCGTTGTCCCCTCGGCCTCGACTGATCCGTCTCAGTGGCGCTTTGTTATGGGAATAGGTAGCAGCTTCCTGCCCAGCTTCTTACGAGGCACAACACCCCCAAACACACACGCCCGCTGACAAAATCCAGGCATCGGTGCGGAGTATCCGCTGAGTGCGGTCATAACCGCCGAGTGGGCCAGCACCTCTTCCCGTGCTACCATGCTGTCGTCGGTCTTCCTGATGCAGCCGGTCGGCCAGGCATTGGCCCAGCCGGTCGGCCTGTGGGTGGTCCTAGGTCGCGAGGACTTGTACCACCTTCAGGCCATGCAGTGCGGCATCAACACCAAGAACGAGGACAGGTGCCGTCAAGCCATCGATGGCATCTGGCGTATCGTCATCGGCTCTGGTGCCGTGCCCGCCCTGCTCGGCACCGCGACCACATGGTTTCTTCTCGATGTCAGCTTCTATGGCTCTTCGCTCGACAATAGCGGCGTGCTTGCCGACTTGTGGGCCACCCGCAGCCCACCGGCCCTCGATAGCTCGCTCTTCTGCTAGAACTCATCTCTACCCGACGGCAGCTCCACGCTGCCGACATGGGCGGCCGAAGGCGTCCTGCCCGTGTGGCAGACCGATGTCACCGAACCCTGCAACACCATATATGCCGTCCTCATCCAGCAGCCGGCAAGATCGGTTCCATCTTGGCCGTGCTGATCGTCTACGGCGTCGATGTCGAATACGACTCGGCCACGAAGCAGGGCCTGCTTTTCTTGCTCTTCAGCTCTTTCATGTCTTTTGGCGCTTTGTACAGCTGGGCTTATCTACCGGATGTCCAGCGGCGCAACGTTGTCCCGAATCACAGCACCGGCGAGGCTGCTCGCGGCCACCTCGAGAACAAAAATCTGGAGGATCTGGGAGAAGGCCGGGCCAAGGCCAAGCAAGAAGGTGAGATCATCACCATCCGCGGCAAGTGGAGCGAGTCACGGCGGTGGTATGACCAGAGGCGCTTGCACTCGACCGGCGCTGCCTGAGGCGATGTGACGATGCTGGGCTCGGAAGATGTGCTGTGCCTCTTCGTCTCTGACCAGAGCCCGACTCCTCTGGGGCAGTCGCCATTTCACGGATACCGGCCGCTCCTTCCCTGCCGTGTATATCGAGCTGGATGGTCTCCTTCAACGAATCGTTTATTGCAACGGGCCTGTCCTTTATCTATTCCAATACTGTCTAAAAAAGGGAGGTGCTGCCCGATGCCTGCGTTGCATGTGGGTGATGTGACGTTCCTTTACTAGGCTGCCCTTCCTAAAGCTAACGGGCACCCGATCCCCAAAATCAAGAAGAGCGTGGCACAGAAGCCCAAGACCGCCATACAAACATCCAAGGCTGTCGGCCGGACACTCGCTTCCTAACGACTGTCGGCTGCCCCCGGGCTGATGCTAATGATGCTGCTGCCACTGCTATTGCCATCGTCGCTAGCCGACTGCACATCTGACTCGGATGGACTCGCGTGGCCCCCGTTACGGTGCGGGATTGCCAGCTGCATTGTCGGCCCGCCATCATTGTAATCACCGCCAGCAGCAGAACCCGAGCCTCTCTCTTCGCCGTCCGCCTGACGCGCCTGTGCCAAGGCCTCCCGCAGCGTCTGGCCGCTGTCGTCCATGGCGGCTAGGAAACGTGCCAGCTCGCGGCACAGCTCCCAGTCGCCCTCGCGCATGGCACGACGCAGGAGGCGGATGCCCTGTTCGCTGGCCGTGGCCAGCTCGTCAAAGGTGTGAAGAACGAGCAGGTAGCCACCGGCAGTCTTCAGGCTGCCGCGCAGCAGCGATTCCTCGAATAGCTCCTGTGGTGGCGGCAGGTATGCAAACAACGTGCGCCACGATCGCACTTCGGTCTTGCGGGTGCACTGCACCACAATGTCTAGGTAGGCGCGGAAGCTCGACAGCAGCGACAGCACCCGCGGCAGTACGGCGGCGTCTGGTGCGGGCGGCGGGGCGGCGTCAACTTCTTCGTCCAGCACCTGGTGCAGCAGAATCTCAAGCGCATGTGCAAAGTACACTAGATGCTGGTACCGTCGGGCGAGCTGCAGGGCTGCCGAGCCACGGTTGCCGGCTAGGTAGGAGCGGAGAACATCGGGCAGGAAAAGGTTGGTCTGCACGGAGGTGAGAAAAGGTTCTTCCTGGATCTTCCTGGAAGGAAGAAAAAAGGGACGAAAGAAGATGGAGAAAGACGTACTCTGATGGCGAATCGGAAATATGAAAAGCCGACGTCTCGACGCTGCACCAGATCGGGCTCGACGCCCAGCACAAGGCCTTTAGACAGCAGTACCGACAGCGGATAGAAGTCGACGGCGATGGTGACAGGCGGCGGAATTTCGCCTCCGGACACCACTGCATCTAGAACGACCTGCGTGTCCGGCCAGACCTTGAGCTCGCCACCGTCACAGAGCCACAGCGATTTGCGCATAAAAGCAGCGTCCTCATCGCCGGCACCAGCACCAGCACCGTCCTCCATGGACGGCTGATCCTTCATGCACACATAGTACTCGACGCTCTGGGCCAGGATGCGCATGTCGTACTTGAGCTGGCCCTCGTCGTTGATGGACGGTCGAAACAGCACCAGCTTGCCGTCCACCAGCACCAACACGGATGCCACGGCCACGTCCTGTGACGGGTCACCGTCCAGCAGTTGACTGTCCGGCAGCACCCAGCTCAGGCCGCGCACTCGTGCAGGACTGCGCACGATGCCGTGGAAGCCGATCTGGCCGACCTGCACCAGCCGGATGCCGCTGGTGCTGCCGCCACCGCCACCGCTGGCAAAGATAAAGTGGTGCAGCAGGTTGTCGTGCGTGTACACTAGCAGAGAGTCCTCGCCCGACGGAGTCACCAGCACGACGGCTGCCGGCATCGGCTCCACGTGAAAAGCGCCGCTGTCTAGGGCAGACTCGCGCGCATACAGCCGCAGCTCGTACACCCCCCGGCTCGCCTCCACTGCGACCACCAGCACGTTCTGGTACCAGCACATGCCGCCGCGCACCTGAAACTCGTTCTCACCGGCGTCACTCGCGAACGCCCGCCACCGGCCGCTGGCCACGCTGTAGTGCGCCAGCCCGCGGCGTCCTGCCACCGCCACGTAGCGGCCGTCGGCCGACACGACGGCCTGCCGGATCGGCCACTGCTGCAGCAGGTATGTCGACGGGATGCGCGCGGTGTGCCACAGGGACGGCGCCGCCGAGATTGCCGTCATGTCGGGCTGGTCGTAGCCGCGGTAGACCATGATATTCTGGTTAGTCAGCAATACAGTGCGAAACACGTTCGCAGGACCATAGCAGCCAGCGGCTGCGCTGCGCGCCATCTCCAGCAGCCACACGGCCTCGTGCTGCCGTCCCAGCAACAGCATCTCGCCTGAGCCGCCCACCCAGGCGGCGTCCTGCACGCCCACCAGCCACTCCTCACCGTTGGCCCTGGCCAAGTCGCGCTCGGCCTGGAAGCTGTGGCCCAGCAGCTTGCCGTAGACGCTCCAGGTGGCCCAGCCGTTCTCGTAGCCGGCAAAGAGGCAGTGGCCGTCGGGCGAGTAGGTCAGCTTCGTGAGGCGGCCAGTGGTCGACGCCGATACGGGTGGCTGGTGCGTATGTGATGGCGGGATGTTGCCCACGTAGTCACGTGCCGAGTATACGCGGACGTGGCCGTCGACGCAGCCAACGGCCACGAGCGAGAAGCGCGCATTAATAGCCGCACGCCGGGCATTCTCTTGGGCCGTTTGTGGTGTGTGAAAGCAGTAGCCTCGGAAAAGCTTCTTCTGGGAGGAGGTAGATGAGATCGAGGCAGAGGAAGAAGCAGGGCTGGACTCCGGACGCGAACCGGACGGGCTGCCGGTATTCCGCTGCACGGCATAAGCCTTGCCGTCGCTTGTGACCCAGGTTGATAGGCTCATGGGCTTGTCGTGGGTCATCTCACAGACAGTGACCTTCTTGTCCAACCAGCCCATGCGGCTGAGGAGCTCCGTGCTCGTCTGGCTGCCTGTGTTGTCCGGCGTCCAACGGATGCACTGCACGGCCGCCGGTTTGGTTGTGGCCACGACCAGCTCGTCGTCCAGTGCCAGTGCGCTCTCGATCCCGGCATCCACCTTGATGACCATGCGGAAGCGCACGCTGATATCGTGCACGCCGCCGCCCTCCCCGGGACCCCACAGAATCTGGTCGGGGCGCGCGTGGCCCGGGTCGCCGACGTGGCTCTGTCGACGACGCTGCACATTCGTGTGGCTGCTGAACTGCGGCTTGTACACCTGGGAAACCGCATCTGTGGCCAGCGAGTAGGTGATCAGGAAGCCTCGGCTTGTGTACACCACAATAATAGCCGAGTCGGGCCGGAGCAGCAGGTCGACATTGTCGCCGTAGGACGCGAGCGAGACGTTGGATCGCACGACAACGGCCAGAACAACGGTCGGCTACAGGAAAAAAAAGAGGACAAGGTCAGCATTGGCCTCGTGGCCGCTCGACAGTCAGTGGCTCCATTTATAACATGCACACCTTGGTCTGCCATATCGTCATCGAGGTGGCTGTGATTGTGGCAAAGAGATGGCCTGACCGAGACAGCTGCAGGGCCAAGATAGGCTCCTTTCCCAGCACAGAAAGAGGCGGTGCCGGTCGTGGTGACAGGCCGTCGTGGCCGTCATGGTGGAAAGCATGCTCGACAGACTGGATCGCCGGGGTCATCGGTGTGGCCGGGGTCATGGGCTCCACAGGCAGGCCGAGAGCGTCGTGACCAGACGGCCCGGTCGAGCCGAGCGCCGGACTGAAAGAGCCATGACCGGGCGACAGCCGTTGGCTGGAGGCTGAGGGAGATGGCAGGTCGAGGCCGTCGTGGCTGACGGCATGGACGGTAATCGTTACCTGGCGACTGCTGCTGGTTGCGTAGATGCGCGGGGTGGCAACCGGCCAGTACATGCTTGGCACATTGATGAGCCAGGAGCCCGATAGGAGCTTCGACGCGCCGTTCGGAGGATGGATGGGACTTTGACGCTTTGCTGCCGTCGGAAATGGATTGGGAGGAGAATGAGCAGAAGAGCTTCACGTGCTGCGACACAGAGCTGGACGGAAAGAGCTAGGGGGCCACTAGCGTCCGCATGCTGTACGACGTAGCGCGCTCTACTCTACGACGTACATAGAGCTCCGCCAATCGAGCACCATCTCATCACAGGAGCACAGACAAAGCAACAGCAGATTGAAGCACACCCCGGCTGCTGCTTCTTGCCTGGCAAACGAAAAGCAAACACTGGCGACATTGCCTCCGCCTTTACTCCACCGTCGCCGTCATGGCTCCAACCTTCTTGCGCCAGCGCGAGAAATTGCCACGGGAGCGATTTGTGAGCTACTTTTCGGGCCTGAAGACACAGGCATACTACGATCCTGCCGCTGCCAGAGCGCTGTCCTACCACGACCCGGCTGCAACAGAGAAGGGCGAGATCATCGGGTACGCCCTCCAGACAGGCTGGCGCGATCGCGAAAAGTCGCGGTGATGACTGACGCGCCGCAGAGTGCGATCCATCTCCTGGAACCCGCTGAGCACACTGGTTGCTACGGGCTCGAGTGACAAGAGCATCCGCGTGTGTGAGTTGCAAACTGCACTTCCGTGGAGCTGGATGTCCGGCTGACTCCAGCAGGGAACCCCGAGAAACCGAATGTGCAGCATTCAACACAGCTAAAGGGTCACACGGCACCGGTGGAGAAGGTGGCCTTCAATCCTGTTCGCGATGCTGAGCTGTGTAGCGTCAGTGCCGACGGCGTGGTCAAGTTCTGGGATGTGCGCACAAAGGCGTGTGTCAACGAGGTTCGCAACCTGGGCGACACGTTCACGCTGGCCTGGGCGCCGGACGGGGACAGCCTTGTCGTCGGAAACAGGGTGAGTGCACCGGCAAAGACGTGTCTTGAGAGAGACGGGTGCAGGCTGACACCGGCAGGAAAACGACCTGCACGTTTTGTCGCCGACACAGCCGACACCACTGATCACGAAGCGGCAACCGGCGAGGACAAACGACCTTGCATTCTGCTGGGGTGGGAAGAAGCTGTTTGCCGCCTCTAGCGACGGCCGCACGAGGATACTGTCGTTCCCCGACCTGGAGCCGTGTTTCCGCGGCAATTTCACCGCGGCCACTTCTGCCACCGACGACGACGACGACGACACATCTGCTGTCGAGTTTGCGCTCCGAGGCCACACGGCCGAGTGTCTGACCGTGGCTATGAGTCCGACGGGGCGCCACCTGGCTACCGGCGGCTCGGACGCTATCATTGCGCTGTGGGATACGGCAAAGTGGACGTGCCAGCGGACGATCACCAAGATGCTCGGCCCGGTTTGCAGCCTGAGTAAGTCATGCCAACGGGTGTGTGAGACTGCGGTGCTGACAATCTGCAGGCTTCAGCTGGGACGGAAACTATGTGGTGGGCGGAAGCAGTGAGGGCACAGGCCTGGAGGTCACCCGGCCTGAAAGCGGCGATCACATCTACACCTTCAAGACAGCACAGCCGGTGCCCGTAGTGTCATGGGCACCGACACGGTATTTCCTGGCGTACAGCGAGCTCGGAAGTCTGCGCATCGTCGGCGTCGACACGGAGAGAAGGGCATGAGCGGCCGGGAGCGGCAGCAGAGACGGCAGCAACGGACATACGCGCCGCAAGATAGGCCCAGTCTTACCGACAGGGATCAGCGAGGCTGTGCACTTGGAACAGCGGGGCCTCGCCAACGGTGATCTGCCAGACCGTCAGAACGGCAGCAGGACTGTTCTTGTCCACGAGTAGTCCCTGCATGCACCGCCTCACTGTGCCGCCATATTCGCCCACGTGCCTGATTTCCACAATCCCATCCCCATAATCCCAATACCACAACACCACAATACAGCCTATGGAACTTCAAATCCCAGTACTACTCATACGTGCTGCGACACATCCTCTTCGATCGCTGAGCCGCCCGCCTGCGTTGCGTGTACTCGTACATCGTATTCGGCTGCATGTGCAGGAAACGTAACGTCAAACCTGCTGCCAGCGGATGTGGTCTAATTTCATCTTGGCGACTCTAGCGTATGAGGCTGATTAATACCAATCTGACGACCCACATACAGTGCGCAGATCGCTGTCTTTGGAATCAGCAAGCCGCCCAGGACCTTCTCTTTCCCTCTTCTCGCGCACGACACCGTGCCCAGAACACCGTATTCTGCCTAAGGCTTGCAACCCCCCCTTGGCCTGATGCCAAATCGCTTCCGCTGTTGTCGCTCGACCCTTTGGCTTCTACCATAACGGCTTTACCGATTGCAGTATTGCCTCCTCGACATCCCCCCTTTGTCCTCACCAAAGGCGTTAGTTAGAGCTGTATCGCCAGGCGCTCATTCGCTGCCAGCTGCGAGTTCGTCTACCGTGTTCAGCATTGCCAATCCACCCCTCGAATTTGTCACGATCTGCCGTACTCCTCCGCCTTCTACCAACGGTTGCGGGCTCACGGCCTTGTAGCCACAAAGCCGACGCCGACCGTTGCCGACAAGCTCAGCGGCCTGCCATGCTGAGGTGATTGGCACCCGTCCAGGCATTTTTCAGCACGACTGCCAGATCGAGTGACTTGCGCACGGCTCTGGTCAACGGTCTTATCGTCTCATTTTGGGGCAGTTGGAGAACTCGCTGAAGAGTGCAGCAGGAACGGGATTACCCAGTTAGGACTGTGATCCGATCACAAACACTGTGTACGGCATTTCTGTACCCCCGATCGTCCTTATGTCTCCGCCCGTGTCGCCTGATGGCACCAACCCTGCCGATGTGTTTGGCGACTCGATGACGGCCGCCCATATGGACGACAACCCCAATGCTGGCATCCCCCGCCAGAAGCGTCTCGCCTGCCTCATCTGTCGGCGACGCAAGCTCAAATGCGATGGCCGGAGGCCCAGCTGCAGCACGTGTTCCCGCCTCGGCCACCCCTGTTCATATGACGAGGTGCGCAAGAAGAGCGGACCAAAGAGAGGCTATGTCAAGGCTCTCGAGGAGCGGCTCAGTATGTGTTTTCTCAAGCATCGACCCCAGCACGACTGCTGCTGACAATGCGCATTACAGAACAGGTCGAGGTGATGCTCAAGTCGCAGGACAACATGGCTGTCTCCGGCAGCGCTACGGCTGCAGACGCCCTCAAAGGATATGCTGTTGACGGCGGTCCTGGCGGCTCTGTGAATGCTGCTTTACCCGCCGAGCGAACCCCATCCGCCGGCGACTTCCACGTTGCCGACCCGTCTATGGGCCTGTCCGGTGGGCGCGACATGGAGCGGTGGCAGTTCAACGGCGAGTCACCACCACCGCGTCAGGGCTCCTTGGACGAGTTCAACTTTGGCAGTCGCATCCCTATGAACGACATACATCCCGTCGATGGCAATTTCACCTGGGAGATCATCAATCTTGGCCTGGACGAGCCTCTACCACCACAGGAGACTATTGACGAGCTGTAAGTTTTTGTCCCTCGGCGCTCTCCGCTCGATCTAGAAGCTGCTAATGACGTCTTTCCCCGCAGACATCAAGTGTATTTCGACAAGATCCACCCATCGTTGCCCATGATCCATAAGTACCGTTACCTCGCCGCCATGAATCTGTAAGACGACGCCTTGCGTGCGATACAGCTCACAAAAGCTGCTCCTGGAGCTGACCTTTCTTGCCAGTGCTCCGAACCAGCGACCGCCGGTGTGTCTTCGGTACGCCATGTGGATGCTTGCCTGCTCTGTCACAGACAAGTACAACGATCTCAAAGACCTCTTCTACCAGCGGGCCCGCAAGTACCTGGAGGCCGACTACGTCAAGGGCTACGGAGAACATATGATCTCCGTCGCCCACTGCCAAACGCACATTGTCCTGGCCTCGTACGAGTTCAAGATGATGTATTTCCCTCGCGCATGGCAAAGCACTGGCCAGGCTGTTCGCCTTGCCCAGATGTGCGTCATCTTCCTATTCTCGGTGCTGTTTTGCCTCTGCTGACAAGGCTGCAAACCAGGATTGGGTTGCATCGTCTGGACGGCTCCGGCCTCGATGTCAAGCAGTGCCTGCCGCCCCCGCGCGACTGGACCGAAAAAGAGGAGCGCCGCCGGACTTTCTGGATGGCCTACTGCGAGGACCGCTACGCAAGTATCGGCACCGGCTGGCCCATGATTGTCGACGAGCGCGATATCACCACCTTGCTGCCTACTTCGGAGGAGGCATTCGACATGAGCCGGCCCGAGCCCGGCGTCTCGTTGCAGGATGCCATGTGCCCCTCGGGCATCGGCCAGCTTACATCCTTTGCTGGCATTGTCCTGATGGCCTGTCTGTTTGGCCGCAATCTCACCCATTTTCATCGTCCGGATGCCGACGAGCGGGATGACGACTTGAACGGCGAGTTCTGGAAGCGCCATCGCAACCTCGACAACATCTTGCTCAACACCTTGTTGGGCCTTCCTGCGCATCTCAAACTGCCAACCGGTCTTCAGAACCCCAACATTGTATTCACCAACATGTCCATCCACACCTCCACCATCTGTCTGCACCAGGCAGCCATTTTCAAGGCAGAGAAGAACGGCCTGGCCTCCTCTGTGAGCCCGGAAAGCAAGATTCGCTGCATCAACGCTGCCAATGAGATTGCTAGTATCATGCGTATGGTATCGCACATGGATCTCTCTTCAGTATGGCCCTACTGCGTGCTATTGCTCCGCATTTGACCGTCTGCTAACAAAGCCAGATGAATCCGTTTGTATCATTCTGTCTCTATGTGGCAGCCCGGGTGTTTGTGCAGTTTCTGAAGACGCGTCCCGACCAGAGCACGACGGTTGACTCTCTGCGCTTCTTGCTCACGGCCATGGGTGCTTTGAAGCGGAAGAACCCACTGACCGAGTCGTTTTTGGTGCAATTGGACGTTGACCTAGAAGCCCTGGCCGACCGCATCCCTGAGCTGAGGACGGCCTTCCCGTCGAGCAACGATAGCGTGCGTCCCGTTTCTTGCCTCCCTTCCTTCCCCTGGTGTCTTCCCGCTGACCTGGTGCTAATAGCGTAAGCAGCCTGCGTCTGGTTGCAATGTATTGGGACGTCAGGGAGCATCATGTGACGAGGGGCCAGGCGACGGCATTCTTTCGTACCAGAAAGAGATTTCCAAGTCTATAACGGAGGTGAACGCAAACACATCGAACAGCGGCACCGGCGACATGAGCGAGGATACGGGCACCAGAGACCGGAACTCGGGATCGAGCTCCACAAGCACAAGCGCGAATGGAGGTGGCAACGGAGCGGGACCACACGGCTGGCTCAAGCCAGAGCCGCGGCTGCCAACATGCGATCGCAGCAGCAACGGGCACTCTCCCATGTTCCAGATGGCTCCCGGCACGTATCCGGACCAGGCCGGTCAGGCAATTTCCATGCAGGGCTATGCCCAAGGCGACACCGGCACGGATAGTCACGAGCTGTCATCCACATCGCCCAGCGACATGCTGTCAAATCGGCCGACGCCCAATTCCAGCGTGGGTTCGGAGCAGAGACAGACGCTGGCACCACTGCCTCAGCCAGGGCCTAGCCACATGCACTCGGCTGCAGGCCCATACGACGCCAGCCCGGTGTCGCCGGCGCACGGTATAGGAGGAAAATCGGTCAGGGCAGGCAGGATCACTTCCAGTTTCTATGCGGCGGCAAGCGGAATCCCGTCAGAGTACGGGTCGCAGCCATCACTGTCGTCCGCGGGCCTAGACGGGATGATGTCCGGACCATCATCTGGCGAGTACACATTGTCGGCCGGGTGGAGCTTACCGGCACAGACAGCCATGACGCCTGTATCAGAAGGCGTATTGCATACGATCATGCAGATGGGACCGATGGAGACGATGGACCTTGGATGGGATGCGAATCCATAGGCAAGGGATCAGATTGGCGCAAGTGTTTAAGCCTTTCTTTGTTTGGCGATACGGCGTGGACGAGGCGCTTTGGACAACGTTTGGATAGCGTTTGGACATACTTTTTGGACTTAGGCCTTGCGGAAGGGCCAGGATATGGGGTGTGAAAATTCAAAAGGAGAGGAGCCATAGTAACGGGGAATCGTGTGCATTTTATTATACCTGGATGTACGATGTCTTCCTCACGGGGGTTTACATCCTTTGTTTTCAGGGGACGTTTCAGGGCTATATAGCGCTCTCCACTATTTGCTAACATATGTTTGCTACTACTGGCATTTCTGGTATAATACTTACGTAGTCTTGCTCAGGTTTATAGAGGCAGTCCAAAACTGCAAGCAGAGTGACTAAACAAGCCTGTTCATTTTGTATAGCACCAGGCTACCATCTCGCACCTTGGGTATATATTACGCAAGCGACGTAGTCCTCGGTCGTCACTGCCCACTTTCCGACAAAGAAAAATCGGGTTGGGGGAACAAAAAGGGAAAGAGAAAAGCACAAGAAAGATGACAAAAGGAAGGAGCATATGATCGTGAAAGTAAACGATAGACCAGACTTCAGCCAGGTAAAAAAAAGAAAGCAAAAAACAAAAGGCTCAGACACCAGCAAGCACTAGCATCACCACTCGCCGCCCATGTCCAGCATCATGTTGATAGTGCCCATAGTGATGGAGCGCGGCTTACGGGCGTAGCCACGCAGCATGCGCCACGCAGCCCCTCTCGCGCGGCCCTCCTCGACGATGGCGTGGACACCATCGAGGCTCTTGCCAGCCTCGTGAAGGGCAGCCCCAGCGGTGACGGTGTCGGCCAGGCGCAGCTCGCCAGCCGTCTTCTCCATCTCAGTACGCAGCAACCACCGCTCCCAAGACCAGCTACCGACCAGGCCAGTGATGGCCGCGACGCCGTCGGTTGAGCCGGTCACGATGGCCTCCAGCTCGACGGTTGGAACGGCTGAGCCGGTCGAGTCGCGCTTGATGACAGCAGGCCGTGATAGCGCAGATGGCCGTGGGCCCACGGGCAGACACAACCAGGCGCGACGGGTGTTAGCAAAGCCGGCACGGTCCAGACGACCCAGAAACAGCTTCGTCGGGGCTGGGTCGTATCCCAGGGTCTGCAGCACGAAGCCAAACTCGACGCTCTTGGCGTTGCCCAGCGGGCCGGCATTGACAATGTCGGCGTCCAGCAGGCTGAACTCGAGATAGCCGCCTGGCTTGAGCACGCGATAGCATTCGTGCAGACACGTCTCCCACTCGTCCTCCCCGTTCCCACCCACCAGCTTGAGGATTGAATGCAGCTCGGTCGCATGCACCAGGTCGAACTGGCCGTCGGCAAACGGCAGCCGCGCCAGCCTCTCCACTGCCACCTGGCGGTGATTGCTTGGTCCGCGCACGTTCGCGTTGGACAGCTGCCGGATCGCCTTGGTCGTCACGCTGTACACCTTGGCGTTGGGGTACTGCAGCGCCACATGCCACGACCAATCTCCCGTCGCCTGGCCGCCCAGGTCTAGGATGCGCGTCCGCTCGCGTCCGCCGGTGCCCCATGTCGGCTGGCTAATGCGGGCGAAGCGCTTGTGTACCGGTGCCATGACCAGTCGGCCGCCGTTGAGCAGCTTCGTCGCGCCCACGTGCCACAAGGCCAGGGCCATCTGGCTGAGCGCGTCCGCCTCCTTGTCAGCCCGCAGCTTGGCCGGGTCATCGATCAGCTCGTCATCACCACGCACCACGTTGGCGCTCATCCGCTTCTTGGCCGACTGCGGCACCACTGTCAGCTGGTACTTGCCCAGCAGCTGGTTGCGATGTGCGTTCCCCAGCAGCAGCCGCTGTGCCTGCAGCGACTCAAAGCGTGGCAGCCGGTGGATAAATATGTCCGACGAGTGGCTCCGCACGATGCAATTGGTGAAGGCGCGATAGTACGCCGACTCCTGGTGCACCAAGACCGATGGCAGCGTGCGCGGCAGAGCCGGCGACTTGACGCCTTCTGTGAAGCGCACAGTCTTTTTGCGTGCCGTGGCTACGATGACGGCCATAGACACTGCCGCCTCTGGCTCGGCGGTGCTGGCGGTGGTGTTGATGGTGTCCTTGGGTGGCACGGCGGGCGCTACCGGCGAGCTGATCTCTGGCCGCTCTGTCTCCGAGCGCTCGCCTTCCGGCGACCGAAGATCGTCGTGCGATTCCGTCAGGTCCGTTACGCCGTTGAGATAGGCTCGCTGAGCCACCAGCCACATCTCCGTGCGATCGAGCTGGGACAGGGCAGTCTGCTGCAGCTTCAGGCTGTCAATGGCTAGATAGTCCTCGACGATCTCCGTGGCCACGACCTCCTCGACCGGAGAGCCGGCAGTGAGTCGGTCTTCTGCCACATCGACGACCACGTCGACTGTTTCTGCAAGCGGCAGGCGATGTGCCGTGACAGGCGTCTGCTGGATGCGAAACGCCGTCATTGGATCCTCTGTCTCGACCGGGACGGCGACCTCGATGACTTGCTCGACCGGGGATGTCGACAGGTGCCGGGGTCGCTCTTCGACAGACGCTTGTGAAACGGGCGGAGCTTCTGCCGCCGCGTCGCTCCAGGGCATCCGATAGAACTGCTCGGCCGTGCCCGAGGTGGGCGGATGGGCTGAGTCGACGGGAGTCATGCCCGGCAGGTGCCATGTGTGCCGCGTCCGTGGCGAGAGGCCGGAAAAGAAGCCACCGGGCGATGGAATGTCGAGCCGAGTCAGGCCTGCCAGAGACCGCTGCTGTGCCGGCGAGAAGGGAAAGGTTTGCCGGGCGAAGCCGGAGGTGATCAGCCGCAGAGGACGTTGTGCGCGTGTCTCGGACATTTCTACCGGCGGCGGCACTTCTTCGCTGGGGATCTCGATGACGCGCTCCGGCCCCATGTCGCCATCGACGGAACCAGCATCGGGCCGGGACAGGGACTGCAGCGTGGCCAAGGCGCCGGGCTGCAGCTGTACACCAGACCAGCTGCTGCCATCCACATCCTCCTCGGCGCAGCCGATGATGGGCGTGGGAGGGGCCGACGCCTGGGCCGACATCTGGGACAACTGTTCTGACGTCTGGCTGCCGTCCAGAGACGGCGGGGCCGAGGCTGCCGGAACAGCCAACGCGTGGTGCTTCTGCATGAACGACATGATGGCCGGCGACATGGGCACCTTGGCGGACGGCGTGGGAGCCATCGGGGAGGTGCAAAGCTTGGGGTCCGGCTCTGTCGGGGCCGTGATCGTCGTCCGGATGGGGATGCTTAACTGCGGTAGCATGCGGCGAGAGTCTTCCAAGGAGCTGTGCCGAGAGCCGCTGCTGGTGCGGCTGATGCGCAAGGCCCGCTGCCTTTGCTTCTTGGCACGGCTGTCGTCATCGGACGCATCGTAAAGGTCGTCGAACTCGGTGCCGTTTGTGGACGCGAAACCACTGCCGCTGCTGCTGCCGTTCCACGGGCTGGACGGCGAGTTGCTGTTGGGCGAAGAGCTGAGATCCTCCGTGTCGGCGTCTCCGTCCATGGACGCAGCAGAGGGCGATGACGGCAGGATGGGCGCCGACAGGAAGTGAAAACCTCGCGGCGTCGGAAAGTGATCGCTCAGGGGAGACAGCCACAGGCCAATCTTCTGCGAGCAGTCGGCCTGTCGGCGGTCTTCGTGCAGCCGGTCCTCGCGGAGCCTCAGCGGCTGCTGCTGCTGCTGTTGAGGCTGGCGCTTTGCTTGTGCTAGAGCGGCCTGCATTGGTTGTGTTGGCGAGACATCGGTAGCGTCTGCCTCTTCCATTATAGTATTAAGGTATTGATACTGTGTCCTTTGATCCCGCAAGTTGGTCAGAGTACCGGAGTAGCCGTTGAGTGCCATGTTGGCTGATGGTGAGCCTCGTTGTGGAGAAAGACGTCCTGCGCCGGAAAGAATGATATTTGTCGAATCCAGCGACAATGAAGAGAAGCGCAAGAATGAGACGATGGGCCGGTTCGGTCAACGAACCAAAGGCTTAGCGACACAAGAAAGGAGGTGGTGAGAAGCAGAGCAGGGCGGAAAAGGAGCACAGGAAGGCCAGCCGGGGAGAGCGAGATATAACGAAGAAGGCAGCAGATGCAACCTCTCGGCGCGCGTGCTAGCCGCTCGCATTGCCACCACCACCATGCCATCTCGACCCGCGAACATGCAGCTCTGTCGTCGTTGTGCCTCCACCCTCCCGAGCCGGACTGCTATTCTTGTCCTTGTCTTCCCGTCTGGGCTGCTTGCTCTCTTGGAGGGTCGTCTGGCCTGTCGATTCGCTAGCAACGGCCATTCTCCATACGTTTTGCGACCGTGACGCCCAATCAGCTGCACCAGCACTGCAGCTCATTTTACCTAGCCGGAGCAGATGGGCTGCCGGTTGGATGGCGCGCGCCAACCAGGAAACGCAATGACGGCACCACCTGCGAACGTGGGGTCTGGCTGCAGATCGCTGGCCAATGATGAGGTCTGTGCCCACGGCCCGGCGCTTAACTGAGGCAGTATCTCTACATAGAACTGTATGTATCGTCGGGTCGGCGGCACGCCGGCGCGCTCCATCCAATGGCATGGGGTCTGAAAGAAGGACCACGATCTGTGCATTGGGCAGGCGTTGAAGAAGTACCGCCGGTTTGGCAATCGAAGAGAAAGACGAGATGAGCCACAAAAGCGACAGCCAACACTATTAGGGAGCCATGGGCGTACTTCAGGTGCTGTGGCATTGCCTGCAGGGTTCAAAGTACAGCGGAGTGCCCCTAAAGTCCGCTGCAGATTGCTACCCCGCCAAGCTAAACAGAAGGCGCGCGATCAAACTACGGGAAAGAGGGGCAGCAGCCGCGGAAAAAAACCACCACGACATCGGAGCTATCCCAAAGTGAAGGCTCTCACCACAACCGCGTCAAGGCAGAGCCGAACTGCATCATCCACGCGTACCCGACGACCTCGCACGACGACGCGCCCAGCGTACTGCCACGCCCCCTTCAGCAACGCATGTGACAACGGAATTGACGGTCTCCCCTTCCAGCGACAGATAACAGCCCAGCAGCCGATCTTGGCCAGCATGGCCGACGTGGAAGCTTCTTCCGAGGCCGTGGAGCCCCAGAGTCGCCACATTGTCTACTGCGGCGGTACGCCATTGTCCCCCGGGAGGTCCCATCCACCTGCCTTCATCCGCATCTCGCGTAGAGAGCTTAGGAGCTGACATGACCTGTGCCTGTTGTTCTGCGCCCATTGTCCAATTACAGTGTGCACATTGCCACCCGAGGTAAGACATGCCATCACCCCAGCTGGCACATGGGACCATGCTTGCCCGTTCTCTCCGCGGTGCTAACAGCTAACCACACACAGTACTGCGAGTATGGAGGAACCGCCAAAAAGTGCCAGGAGTGGCTAGAGAAGAACCACCCAGACTTATACCAGAGGATCTGGTCACCAGGTTTGTGGCGCGCGCTTTCCCTTGGCATCTTGCAGTGTGCCGCCCTGCTGACCGGCACGCTTTTACCCTCCTTGCAGAAGCTCTCGTGGCTGCCACCGCCGCGCTGTCAGTCGAGGCCCAGAAGCGCGCCGCCAAGGATGCCCTCAAGAAAACGGCCAAGGCCGAGGCTGCCGAGCAGAAGCACGCCACCTTGCTAGCTAAGAGCATCGTCACCGTCAAGCGTATTGAGCGCAACAAGCGCAAGTTTGTCACATCCGTCTCCGGCTTGGAGGCCTTTGGCCTGGAGCTGAAGAAGGTGGCCAAAGAGTTTGGTAAGAAGTTCGCCACCGGCTCCTCTGTTACGAAGACGCCAAGCGGAGGCGAGGAGATCGTGGTCCAGGGCGATGTCAGCGACGAGATTAAAGACTTTTTGCTGGAGAAGTACAAGGACATTGCGAAAACCAACATAGAGCTGGTGGACGACAAGGCGAAGAAGAAGGCAGCGGCAGCGGCAGCTGGCGCCTCATAGGAAACTGACAGCAACGGACCGGCCGACAGGCTTGCAGAGGAGAAATTAGGAACAAGGAAATCGAAAAGGTGAAATACGTCGAATCTGTGTGCGTATAATGATATATGCCATAGAAAGCATCCCGGATGCTAACATGCAGTGTAAACCCCATAACTCCTTACAGTTTCCCAATACAGCGCCGTTCTTTCCCATGCATTTCAGTCTCGCTTTCGCAAGATCCTCCCTGACCGCGTCGTTGTTGCTGCTGCTGCTGCAGCCTTGCTGGCCGCGCCCCTCTTGGACGCTGCGCTGGCAACGCCTTTCCGGATGGAGCCCATGACTGATTTCTTGGTCGACAGTGCTGCCGTGGCTACTGATGTTGTGCTTGGGACCTTCCTCACCGTAGCCGCTGCTGTGGTCCCTACAGCCCGACCTTTGCCCGCCTTGCGCACTACGGTCGATGTGCTGGCGTCGCTGGACTCGCTGGTGCCACTAGCTCTGCGAACAATCCGCGCGGACGTTGTGCTGTTCACCGATGACGATGCTGCGGCAGGTTTGCGTGAGTCGGATGCGACCCGGTTCGAGCGTGCCTTCTCTACCATGGAGCTCAGCAGAGTCGTGGCTGCGGCCTGCTTCTCTGGAGAGACAGGCCGGGCAATATACGACTTGATGGGCGACGACGGGGCAACTGCTCCGAGTTCACGATCGCGCGGATTGATCCGGGAATTGGACGAGGCTGGCGACAGCACCTGGGGCGGTGCTCCTGCTGCAGCGCCCTGCTGGTGATGGTTGGTTCGTGGCCACTTTTTGGCGCCGTCAAAATGGGCATTCCGGTTCTCCTTGTCGCCACTAACCAGATTGTCGCTGGACCATGTCAGTTTGCAGGAAGGTGCACGCAAGGGGATGAAACACACCTGAGCCTCTTCGGAGGCCGGCCTGGTGCAGCATACGCTGTCCAGGGCGACGGCTGCACCCGGTTGGCAGGCCGTGCTGCGTGGTAGTCCTTCTCTAGCGCAGATGGCGGCACGCGGTCTGCCATGGAGGCGACCAGCTGCTTGGGCGCCAGCGGCTTAGACTGCCCAGCCGAGTGCTTCAGAAGGAGGTCGCCCACCTTGAGCTTGCGGAGGGCCATGGGAATGCGATTGACGCGGATTTCGATGCGAGTTCGCAGTCCCTGGGCCTGGAGATTATATTGGGCCCGCAGTTTTCGGGCACGTTCGGTGACTGCGGCTGTCAGCAAGCAGAAGACGGAGAGACCGGGCGGCAGGAGGAGCGACCTTCTAGCTGCAGGTTGTCAATGAGCGCCTGCTTCTGGGAAACGGTGATTCCAGTCCTGCGTCGTTTGCTCGGGCTCACTGCCGGACTGTCCGTTTTCGTAGCGATTTTCTGGCCGACAAGGTCGGGTGTGTGTTGCGTCTCGGACGCGATGGACTGGTCCGACTTTCTCTTTCGGCCTCGGGGCGGCATGATGAACAGAACTGGGGTATTCGCGGGTACGTTTCTTGCTTGAGAATGTGTAGATACAGAGGTAACCGGCGGCGATGTTATCGTGATCGTTGTGCGCGTAGTGAGTCGCACTTTCCCGCAAGTAAACAAAACACCAGTACGGGTATGCTACGGAGTATATATGTGGTCCGTGCACATATCCAACTCACCGCCTTCTGCAATAGGACTAGATCTTGAACCGCTAACCTCTGCTACAGTTTGCTAGGCTGACCTCCGCCTGACGACAGCTTTCTGTGTCTTTCGCTTCATCCAAGGCGTCCGCCTACGACGACAATTCTGCATTGCAACAGCATCACCTCTCCGATCCGAACTCACTTCCGCGGCGAACTAATCCAACAAATTAAGGGTCCTGGTTTCCCGCATCAATCTTCTCTCCCCCCCCACTATCTGCCGTTCTCTGTCGTGGCCACCTGCCACCCCAAGCTGCCAAGATGCCGATGGAAGCGGTAATGATCATTGTCGACAACAGTGAGAGCAGCCGGAATGGTGACTATCAGCCGACACGGTTCGATGCCCAGTCCGACGCTGTTGGCGTCGTTTTCCAGCACATTGTCCAGGGCAACCCGGAGTCAGAAATCGGCCTGATGAGTATGGCCGGCAAAGGCCCCGAGGTGCTTGTCACCATGACGACCGAGCAGGGCAAGATTTTCGAGGGCCTGCACCGGACGAAGAAGCGGATCCGTGGAGATGCCCACCTGGTGACGAGTCTGCAGGTGGCCCTGGTATGTTCCTGCGAGACCCGCACAGGAGACTGGCGTTGCTGACTACTTTACTCCCAGCTCGCGCTCAAGCACCGCAAGAACAAGACGCAGCGCACGCGCATCATCGCCTTTGTGTGCTCGCCCGTGGCCGAGGACGAGAAGACGCTGCTCTCGCTGGCCGGCAAGCTCAAGAAGAACAGTGTGTCGGTGGACTTTGTGCTGTTCGGCGACCTGGACGAGGCCACGCAGGAGAAGCTGCAGAAGTTCAACGACAAGGTCAAGGGCAGCGAGGGCAGCCACATGGTGGTGATCGCACCGAGCGGCCGGCTGCTGAGCGACCAGCTCATCGCGACACCGATCCTGCTGGGCGAGGGCGCGTCGGCGGCAGCCGCAGGCGGCAGTGGTGGTGGTGGCGGCGACGCCGGCGACTTCAACGAGCTGGGCTTCGACCCGTCGTCGGACCCCGAGCTGGCACTGGCGCTGCGTATGAGCATGGAGGAGGAGAACGCACGGCAACAGAAGCGGGCCCGCGAGGAGGCAGAGGCAGCCAAAAAGGCGAGCCTGGACTCGGTCAAGGAGGAAGATGAGGCGGCACAGCCTCTGCTGGACGAAACAGGTCAGGCCAGCGGCAGCGCTAAGAAGGCCGACGAGGGCGCCAAGGACGGTAAGGACGACGACAACATGGACACGTCATGAACGCTGTCTTCGCGTCGCTCTGTTCCTTGTATGATTAGTAGACAGACAGCAACAGGCAATCTTTCTGTGAGAAGCACATTCGGCATCTATCTACGCCAGGCCATGCCGGTCGGCTAGCTTTCTAAGGATACAATGACACGGCCTCCACGCCATCAGCACTGCAAGGGCAGCCGTTCCTAGCGGTTGTTGGTCTCGCGGATGTACGAGTTGAGCTTGCGGTCAAAGATCTCGCAGCGAATGGGCATCTCAAGCTGGTAGAACGGGTTCTTCATGACGTAGTCGGCATACAGGTCGTAGATCCGGCGGATGGTCGCGTCAGCAGAAATCTGAGCGGTGTCGGTAAAGAGCAGGAATTTGGTCCCGGTCAGAGTGGTGAAGCATTGCATGCGGAAATTCTCAGACTCGAGCACCTCGAGGCCGGAAGGAGGGTCGGGACGGCTGGGCGCAAGGCCGGTCGGAGTCATGACAGATCCGGGAGGGGCTCCACCGGCAGCAGGACCCCCGGCAGCGCCGCGGAGGTGCTTCAGAGGGTTGAGGCGCGTGGTGATGGCATGGACACTAGCAGAACGTCAAAACGTCAGAACAGTCAGCGACAGGCGACAGACGACGGCAGGACCGAGGGGCCGAGACGCACCCGTGGAAAGTGCCAGCGATGATGAGGTAGTCGTTGGTGCTCAGCTGGTTCAGGCCGCCCTCGTGAAAAGTTCGGTTGTACACCAGGCCGCCGGCCTTGTTGATGACGGTGAGGGCAAAGATCGTCCTGCAGAGTGTCAGCAGGAAACATCGGGCGGCATGTCGCTGGGGACGCCTACATTGTGTGCTGTCTTGCGGCGACGATTGCATCGTCCCGGGCAGGGCCGTTCAGTATACGAGGCGCATGCGAATCTGCGGTCGCAAGGAGGGTCGGTCGGTCGTTCGGTCGGTCAATCGGGCACCCGGTCAATCGGTCTTCGTTTTTGGACAGAATGGGTTGTGGAAACCGGATGCGGACGCTATAAGCAGGCACCAGCGGGTGGCTCGTTTAGCGTGTGCACCCACTAGCAGATTCCACCAAGGCCTGTTGCCGGACGCCGCACATTTTTCCGCTCCTTTCCCCTGCTCCCTATTATTGTCATCTTGGTCATCTTGAACCGCTTCGGCCTAGCCTTACGATTCACCACCACTTCACACCGCGACACCACCCTCGACAGCCTGCCTGACCATATTGGCAACAGTGCGAGTGACGCGTTGCAGCAGCAGCAGCCCTTCTGTGCAGCACGACGTGTCGTCCACGAGGCCCTGGTGTAGTCGTCGTTCCCAACCTCCTTCTTTCGCCGTCGCTGTCGCCGTCGCCGTCGCTGTCGCTGTCGCCGTACCCGCCACCGCCTCGCTCTTCGTCCCCCCTCGTCTATGATGCCGCAGGTGCCCACGTCCCGGCCCAAACCGCCGCCGCCGGGCGAGGAGGAGGCTGGGGCCGAGCTGCGGCTGGGCGAGTTCGAGGGCGTGGAGACGCTGTCGTTGTCGGAGGCATGGCTAGTGATCAACGCCCTGATGGCCAAGCGGCGCAATGACCAGAAGAACGTGAACGAGACAGAGTGCGTATCGGACCTGTGGGCCACTGCTGTTGCAGCTCGCATCACTGACACCTTGGCAGAGTCCTCACTAAGACTGTCGACTACCTGGACGCGTTTGCTCGGTTCAAGCGCAAGGAGAACGTCGAGGCGGTCGAGCGGCTGCTGGCATCACACACGGAGCTGACCAAGTTCGAGCGTGCCGCACTAGGGTCGTTGTGCCCCGAAGGCGTAGAGGAGGCCAAGACGCTGATTCCGTCGCTGACGAACAAAATTGGCGACGACGACCTGTTGGAACTGCTCGAGGAGATGGGCAAGCTGCAGGGCTGAGCCCGAGCGAACGGCCGGACACGGCCAGAAGACCAGGCGGGCTTTCTTTGCATGGGGCGGCGCAAGGGACACAAAAGGGGAACTAGGGGAGCAGAAGGGACAGAGGGACAGGAATGCTTGGCCATCTGGCAAATTGCTTTTATGGACATGTTTTGTACTTTTTTTCTGACGATCTTATCGGTTGTGCTGTTCTTTCCGACTGGACAGTGGCACGTTATCTCCTTTCATTACTATTCAGGTCATCTGGCTATCCATCTATCCTTTCTAGCGAGACTGCTATATGTTGAAGACGGCAAAACAGACCAGTCGGGAAAAGTTAAGGCCCGGGAAGACGTAAGAAGACACAGAAATATTACAGGAGGGAGCAAAAGTAATGGGAAAGAAGACCCTTCAGCGCGGGCGAAGCTCATGGTCGGTAAGACGCCCAGCTGCCTACGTGCAACCCGTGAGTCTGCTCCTTGTGGGTTACATCCAGTGTCGCACGCGGCCAGTCTGTGGTCGGCGCTTGAAAAGGGAGTCCCTGGTTCTTGGTGTCGGCCAGTGGCACTGACATGATCTCCATACGTGGTGTGCTGTCGAGCTCGGGCGTCACGACGTCCGGACCCAGCATGCCGGCAGCGCTGCCGGTGCTACTGCTGCGCCACGACGAAACAAAAGTAGCGGCCGTGGTTCTTCTACCAGTGCTGGAAGACATTGCTGGCGAGTGCTGAGGAAGAAGGGGCGAGTAGTTCGTCGTCTGAGACTCGAGCTCGGCCAAGACTGCAGGGCCTTGGGCGTCGAGCTCGGCCAGGCGGGCAGGCGTTCCAGCCACAGGGCCGAGATAGCTCCCTATTGATATCAGTGAGGGTTGAAGACCGACAGCTGAAGCACGGAATAGGACAAAGTGAGAGAGACGGATTAAGGATGCGAGGGGGACTCAAGCCCAAAACAGAAGGAACGAAGGAGCGGCCCAACTTCAGTCCAAATCACAGCCAAATCAGACAGAAACACAACCAAACACTCACCCAGATCAGCAATGTCGTTGCGGCTGCGCAGAGATCCCGTCAACCGCTTATGCCGCAGGGCCGTGAGCCGGGCGCCGTGGAGGCCCCAGCGTGCCAGGACGGCCTCGAGGGTTCCTGGGATAGCAGAAACCTCGCCGAACAGCGAGGCAGTGCTGCCGTCCACGGGGCTGGTCGTTTGGGGCGAGGCAACACTGCCGGTTCCGCCATTGTCAGGCCCCTTTTCAAGAACGCCGGCTGCTCGCTGCTCGGGCTTCTCTGGCTGCTGTGTCTGCTGTGTCTGCTGTCTCGTTGGCCGTCGCCAGCAGTGTCGCCAGATCAGAAAGGCGGCCAAAAGAACAAAGGCGAGAACGCCTGCCGTGATAATTCCGGCGACGGCACCCTTGCTGATAGCAGCAGGAGACGGGGTGCTGCCGCTTCCAACTCCGGTAGAGGGCGTGCTGGAGGCAGTATGGCCGGTTGTGCTGGTGGCAATATGGCTGGTCTTGCTGGCCGCACTGCGCGTTAGGGGGGTGGAATATGGATCAGAAGCGGACGACGAGATCGACGGCAAGTTTTGAGCAGCGGTGCTAGAAGGCGATGGAGTAACGGGCGTCTGGCTCGAAGTGGTCGGAGTCGTGACAATGGTTGTGACGGTAGACGACGATATGCCTGACGACTCGGTCGCGGAGCTGTCAGGACAGCCGTCGGAATAGTCACACGCATCGACAGAGCAGCAGCCGGAGAAACCGTTGGAAGCACAGGTGTAATATTGGGTGCCGGAGGAGCAGTCCTCGCGGCTGAGGAGCAGGCGAGAACGCATGGCGGCTCTGTGCCAGAACAACACCAGTTGTATACGGCAGATGATGCAGCGCTGGACAGCTCTTTCACCAACACGACCGTTGCAAAACGAGGAACGACACAAGGCCAGACAGAGAATGTAGACGGGACCAGCAAAGGTATATCATCCATCTCACGGCCAAGAAGAACGGACAGCCGGCATGCAGAGGCACAACAGAACGCTAAGATCCTATCTTACCTGCGTCTTGCATGGCTGCTCCGGTAATACCAAACCTCCTGCCACCTACCAACAGCCTCGTCCTTCACTTTCAACATACCTCCGTCCGTCGTGGCTTCGCTAGCATCGTACCCTGCATCCCCCCCCCCCCCCCCCTTTTCACCAACAAGAGACCAGACGAGACGACCTCGGCGTCGGTCGGGTGCTGCAATTTGGGGGCCGGACCCGCAAGCTGGACGTTTTAGGCCGCTCTAGTGGTCTGGCCAGTTCGTATTGGCATGGATCGCGTGTGCATTACTGCTTTTCTGTTTCCAACTCTCACTAATTTTGACTCTGATGCAAGGCTCAGCCACCTTGCTTTCTCTCCACCTTCTTGCGTCTGCTTCTTCGATACGTCGCATTACTAATGCTCAGCTTTTATTTCAAGTACCACCCTGCAGCAGGACTAATCCATACTCGGAAAACTGGATGTGCAGTACAGGACAAGTCTGCCATCCTTTCGTCTTGGCAACCGGACAGCGCAGTTGCTTTTAGCCACCAGCTGCACAGATCATACCACGAGACCACAGCGATTCAGTCATATGTGACGGGTTCTATTCAATTAATGCATTTCCCCCCAAACGCCCTGCGAATCTTGCCTTTATACAAATGCGAGGAGGATGGCCTGACAAGGATCATGCCAGCTTCTCCAGCAGCAGTCGCGCTCCGGCATTGCCCACCGGCCGGTCCGATGCAGCAGCTGCTGCTGCTTGCTTGCCCTTCTTTCCCTTCTTGTCTTTTTTGTCCTTCTTGTCCGTCTTGTCGTCGGTCTCTGTCTTGGCGGCAGCCTCTGCCGCGGCCGCTGATGCGACCGCTTCCCGCTTTGCCTTCTGCTCGGCCGTCTCTTCCGTGGCCGCCTTCTCCAGCGCCTTGCGGTTCTCCTTCTTGGAGAGCAGCTTGCGCAGCTCGGTAGCGTGTGCCTTGTCCAGGTCGGTGGCCTCGAGTAGCGCCACGACGACAAACGAGCTGGCCGAGCCTGTGGCCCATTCTATCGCATGTTCCTGGATCTGGGGATACAGTATGTTGGCGAAGCCCAGCGGCGGGTCGACGGGCTTGACCTGGCCGGTCTCGCGGTCGAACCGGCCACCGGCCACGAGCGTCTTGAGCATGCGGGTGCCGAAGAGCGACTGCGACACGTGCAGAGCTCCTGACGGCGCAAACTCGCCGCCCTCGGCCTCCTCACCGCTCGTCGGTCCAGCTGCCGTCTGCGCGATGGCCGCCAGCGCCGGCGCCTTGTCGCCCACAGCAAACAGAAGCACGTCCGTCACCAGCTGGCAGCCAAACGACGAGGCCACGAGATCGCGGGGTGAGGCCGCAATGGCCGCCAGCAGCTGCGGCGACATGGCGGCAACGAGCTCGCGGCGACGGATCTCGGGGTCCTTCTTGCTCGTGGTCGCACGGATAGCGTGGATCTCATCGAGAATGGCTAGATCGGCAGCGTGGCTGGCCGGGAACAGCGCCTTGGACGCGCCCTCGAACAGGTACAGGATCGTGGTGCGCGCGTTGAGGTCGTTGGCACAGAAGATGATGTTCTCCACGCCCTTCTCCTCATTCTTGCCGAGGATCTCGGGCACAATGGCCTTGCTGGTCAGTACCGTGTCGTCGATGAGGTCGTATGCCGCCAGGATGATCGTGTGGCCGTGCGTGTCACCGCACAGAAGCTGGAACGTATCCTTGTACGTGCGCAGAAGCAGCTTGCGGTCCTTGGCACTGCCGTGGGCCAGCAGCAGGCAGACCAGCCGCGCCCCCGACTTGGTAAAGGCCATGTTCTTGAGCAGGTCGCCGCTCTCGTCGCCCTTGACCATCTCCATGAACTCCTTGTGGTCCTCCGACCCGGCCGGCACGTTGACAAAGTACTGAAGCATGGCGTCGTGCAGCATCGTGAAGCCGGTCAGGTTCTTCTGCACCAGCGTGTTGATCATAAACTGCAGGTTCTTCAGGATCACCCCACGCTTGCTGGGGTCATTGGCCAGGATCTCCGACAGCTCAGCCGTGATGTCGCCCGTCGGCGCCGCATTGGCCAGGGCAAACTCGGCCCCGTACCACTCGCGCAGCAGCAGCGCCTTCTGCCGCTTCGATGCAATGCCGCGGTACACGTCGTCCAGAATCCACGACGCCTCCGCATGGTTGATCAGCCGTCGCACCTTGCCGTAGAATTCCGAGATGATCATGTCGCGCACGCCCTCGTCGTTCTGCACGAGCAGCTTGCCGATCAGGAACTTGGCGTACTTGCTCTCAGCCAGCTGTGCGTACGTCCCGCGCAGCTCCTCCGCAATCACCTTGCGCTGCTCGTGTGTCGAGTACTTGACCGCTGTCTGCACCGCCCGCACTGCGTCGTGCTTGAGCACAAAGTCACGGACCCGGCCCGTCGTGATGCCGAAGAGCTCGTCCACCAGCGCCCGTCGCTCCTCCTTGGGAACGTGCGACTTACGCCGCAACCGCTCCCACAGCTTCTTGGCCCGTGCCAGCTCGTCTGCCAGTGGCTTTGCCGCCCGTCGCTCCAGTGCCAATTGCTTCTGCTTTGCGTGAGACTCCTTGGAGCTCAGGCCTGTGATCGTGTCAGCAGGAGCCCAAGTCTTGGTCATTGTCCTTGCTATGTGTGCTATATATATAGAGCCTACCGTTTGATTCGTTGGCATTGTCACCCGAGCCTGACCCGTTCTGATGCTGTTTCTTGTCATCGTTCTGGGGAGTCTTGCTCTCGGACGGAGGCTTGGAATAATTGCTGTCGAGTCGCCGTTTCTTTTGTGCGCCATTCTTGGGGACCGCCTTCTCAGCAGACCACGACTTTCTCTTCTCGCCTCCTTTTACTGCTGACATGGCCGCTGCTTTTTTTCGCTGTATGGATGGCAAATTGCGCTTGACCGACGAGACGTCCTCCTGATGGGTAGAGACTTAGTCGGGAAAAAAAAATCCTTATCGTTTTTTTTCTATCTCAATCGATACTGCCGGGCGGTGAGATACAGGTCTTTGCATCTCCACAGCATGCGATCACCTGTATTCCGTACGGAGTATGATACCCCTCTTATACGTCTATTTTTGATGTGGAACAGGAGCTGGTCGCCTGTCGCCTGTCGCATTACCACACAAACGCCAGCATGGGCCGCGAAGACCAGATAGAAGAGCGGGAGGTGCTCGATTCTATCTTCCCAGACGAGATCACAGACATATCCGAGACCGAATTTCGTATCGCCATCAAGCTCGACCTCCCGGAAGTTGCTAAAGATGGCGACGATGACGAAGAGGCTGAGGCGCCTGTTATCCTGCTGACAGTACGGTATCCAGAGGACTACCCGAATGTAGAGCCTGAACTGGACCTATTGGCGCCGGCTGGCGCCGTGCAGCACCCACTGCTCAATGTCGCCGAGGAGAAGGAACAACTGCTGGCCGGCCTCGCGGACACTGTCCAGGAGAGCCTTGGTATGGCGATGGTATTCACTCTGGTTTCGACGCTCAAGGAAGCGGCCGAGCAGCTGATTATCGGACGGCAAGAGGCCGAGGAGCGGAAACGCGAGGAGAAGGCATTGGCAGCCGAGCGAGAAGAGAACCAGAAGTTTCACGGCACGATGGTGACGCCAGAGTCGTTTATACGATGGCGGGATGCGTTTGTCAAGGAGATGGCAGAAAAGCGGAAGAGAGAAGAGGAGGAACGGCTGGCGGAGCTGGCAAAGCGGCGCGGCGGCGGTGCCGGCAGCAAGGACGGCACCCGGCTAACAGGTCGGCAGCTGTGGGAGCGCGGCCTGGTGGGCAAGATCGACGAAGACGATATCGATGTGGACGCTGAAGGCGAGGACAACAACGGCGGTGCTGCCGGAGCGACTGAGGGCGTGCAGAAACTCAAGATCGAGGCATAGGCTTAGTCATCATACTGAAATGGCACAAACATCTACATCAAGCTGTTGGGGCGACCAGAACGTTTACAACCCCGAATAAACGACGAGAAGGCTTATTGCCACAGGGAAACCACCTCTTCCGTCATATGCTCGACGCATCTCATAAAGCACATACTCGAAAGAAAGCCCTCAGGGCTGAAAATGCTATGATTCTTTTGTGATGCCAAACGCCCCCCTATAAAAAGCGTGTGAGAAAAAGTGTCCAAAATCCGGAATCAAGGGCCAGCTGTCTATTCCATATCTTCGTCGCCGTCATCATCTTCAGAATCGTCGTCCGCCCCATCATTCTCATCCACCCACTCGCCCTCGTCCTCCTCGTCTTCGCCCTCTGGCGCTGGCCCCAATACCGCCACCACATCGTCCAAAAGCTCTTTCGCATGCTGGCCAAGTCGCTCATCCTCGTACGACTGCCGCTTGAACTCTTTCAAACACCGCCCCAGACACCGACGAGCGTCCCGCCAATAGTCCTGCCAGTGGTGGTCGGAAGAGTCGTCATCCTGATCTGCCATCTTCTCCTCGCCATCTTCCCTAATTTTTCCCTTTGCTTTTTCCTCGGACTCGCCATCTTCACCTCCCTCCCGCAGCTTCTGCCCCTGAAGGTAGTGTGCATAGCCGGCAAGGTACCACACTTCGACGGCCTCGTCGTCCTCGCGCAACAGCCGCGTTGTCGCAATGTGTGCAGCCTTCTCAGCCCAATCCACAGTCAGCAAAAGGCGAACAAGGCCGACGCGGACACTGAATAGGGGTACCGCCGGGTGGTCTGGTGGGAGATCGGCCCAGAGATCGAGGCTGCGCTGGACAGCGGCGCGGGCGTCAGGGAGGCGTTCCTGGCTGACACGAACGCTTGCCAGGGTCTGCCAAACGTCGGGAGATGTGGGTGCGAGCAGCGAAGCCTCGGTAACGAGCGCCTCGCACTGGGCCTCGCAGTCGGGTTCGAAGGAGAGGTCTGTCATCCACACCTCAGCAACTGCGCACAGCACCTGAGCCAGCTTGTCGCGGGTCTCTTCGACGGCCGTCTTCTCGCCTTCTTCGCTCTTTTCATCTGCCTCGCCTCCAGCCTGCTGTAGACGTGACCGCAGAGCAGCAGCTCCCCGCTCAAACCAGGACACGCTCTCGCGCCCGCCATTCTCGCTCAGCTGCGCCAGGTAGAAATACTTGTCCGGCCCTCCGCCGAGCGCATCTGAAAGCGTTCCATCGGTGTCGAGATTCGCGGCCACTGTGAGGACCTGTCGTGCAACCTCGACGTCGCCATTCTCGAGAAGGATCTCGCCCAGCAAAGCGCAGACAGCCGCCTTGCCAATGCCGTCCACAGTCGTGTTAGTGCTATTGTCGTCATCCTCCGATCCGGCACTCGCAATCACAGCGTAGGCTGCCCGGGCCGACGTCAACGCCGAATCCACATCGCCCTGTGTCATTGCCGCGACGGTCGCATTCATGAACGTCTGCACCGTCTTGGTCGGCTTCTGGGCCGCCTTTGCTAGGGAAGTTACTGCCGCTGATCGGGGCTGTGGTTGACCCCCATGGCCCCTTTTTGACCGCGGTTTTCGGGGGGCACCCGGTCGTGTTTTTGCCATGACTATATATAACAAAATAAAATACTGAGAAGTAAAGTCAGTGCTGCAAGCTGACTTGCAAAAAACGGCAACCTTCTTGACGAAGCCGATGGGGGGAAATTTTGAAAAATCTTATCGCAGATAAGAAAACAGGATCTCGTTTAGTGGAGTGTTCTCCACATGCAAGTACACGGTAAATACGGGCATCTTGAACTCCTGTTTAGTCTGCACTCAAACCGACCAGAACTTATATTTCATTGGCGAGGTCTAGAACACTAACAATATGTACAACTATTGTATCAAAATCTGCGTGATACATGTGAAATTGTCCTCACTTTGTGTTAATAATTTCAATATTTGTCTGCTTGCAGTTCGTTGTACGTCGCTTGATGAAATCCTATGGCTCTGAATTTGTCCTACGTCCTCTTATGGACTTATATATGCCTTTTCTATGTCTGCCATGACTAAAACTATGACTAGTTGTAGGTATTAAGACACAACTTTACCAGAAAGGCATCTTTCGGACAATTGCTCTTTCCTCTTTCGTTATTCTAATCTGGAAGGTGCTTTTTGTCACATAAAGGACGCGATATCTCGTGAAAACAAGTCTACACGACCCTTCGCGAATGACTAAACTGGAGACCACTCAAGCAACTGATAGAGTCTCTCAACAGATTGCTATGCAGACATTGTCCCGACGTGCATTCTGGCAGTACAAAGTCTATTTCCACTCTTCTAAGTTCAGAGTCGACATACACAAAATGTGGACGACATTTGCTCTTCTGTTCTTGATTACGTTGGCATTGAAACTTCCCTTTGTATCTGTCAATGCCAGCCCCATTACCGACATCGTGGGGGCAGACATGTCCATCATTGACGCTAGTCAGGTTGTCTCTATTAGTGAGATTGACTTCACACAGCTGCCAACTCTCAAGTGCAAGCACACATCTGACCAGGTAAGCATAATGCCGACAAGTCGTATCTGTGCCCTCTAATAATTAGTTGTCCGTCATGAACAACTGCCGCGGCCTGGCCAACGGTTTCAAAGAGCTTTATAACAGGGACCACAAGCGCAGAGGCTTGACGATTCCGACCGAGAAGTGCATCTCAGTAGAATATGGGGCTTGTCTCGGCACACTTTGCAACTTGGACGTGTTGGCGAATTTCACGGATGTCCTCGAAGATCCTTTTGGTTCGATTATGGCCAATCCATCACAGAGCAGCTGCACCCAGAGTGCCAGTGAAGTCGTCTGGTCCGATGGGCACACACTGGTACATCTGCAAGGATTGGGTACATCGGCAATGATCGTCAACGATAACGCAGTCTCCCCGGACATCGATGTAGTTGAGCTCCACAGCACTAATTCGGTTTCGGCAGCCAAGGCTGCCCAGGGTACGGAATTTCCCTACGACACGGCACTGGATCTCTCTAACTGTCCTGGCTGGGAATACGGAAGATATACTTGCTGCAAGGTAAGATATAATACACATATTTGCACAAACGTGGATAAGAACAAATCTGACATTTTAACAGACGTCACGAATCATATGGGACGACTGCATGGAGGCAATTGAATTGATGGCAAATACAGGGGCAACAAAGATGATGGATGTTATGCAGAATTCGTGCCGTGCCGCGACGTCTGGTGGATGCACAGCGCAAGTATGTGCTAATGAAACGAGCGTGCAGGTAGTGCTGCATTATCTGCTTGATCTGCTGTCATATCCTCTTAATGACGTGTGCGTTCAGAACAAAAAGATGGGCGGGGTTGTTATGTTGAATCCAGGCGTTGAAATTGCATTGACACCGGCAATTGACAACTAGGCGGAAGGCAGAACCCCGTAGGCCAGAGTTATACGGAGTGCGGAGTACTGAGTACGGAGTACCAATATGGAGTCTTTAAATAGTCCCCACTACAATTGAGCAGCTAATCTACAAGTGGACATTTTCCATCGCCTTTCTTACTATGTACTCCGTATGTTCACACCTTTAGCTTAATTTTGATAGCAAAGCATCGTCGTCTGCCATGGTGAGTTTCGACAGTCCAATTGCAGCGCAGCAGCCGATTACCATGCTGACTTTTCGAATTTATCCCAATGCTAGAATAAAGACGGCTGCTACACTTCGGTGCACATGCACCAGTCGCGCAATGCCGATCTGTTCGAAGATGTGTGCAAGGACCGCCTGCCCGATGACGACATTTTCGTGCCTCCTCAGCACCAGCCGATCAACCCCGAGGACGAGGACGACGTGGTGCCAGACCAGCATGCCGCCTTCGGTATCCAGAGGGCCACGCAGGCTGTGCGCGAGCCGGCCTGGAAGGATCTCGGTCTGGCTGCGCTGATGCACCAGGGGCCGGGAGGCAGTAGTGGAGGAGCTGCTGGCGTCGCCGGTGCGAACGGAAGCGATGGGGGCAACCAGGGCCCCACGGAAAACACGTATGCATACTATGCCTACTACTACGGATACAGCGGCAATACGCTCGGGACAGTTGCCAGCGGCAGCGGCAGCGGCGCAGCAGGTAGCAGCAACGTTACCGGAGGTGTCAGTCGCTCACACAGTGGCAGCGGAAGGGCATTTAATGGGATGCCGCGGTGAAGTAGATGGGATTGATCACAGAATGGCGTTTTTGGCGTGGAATGGAGGATATAGACGAACAGCGGCACATACATGTCAGGCCTGGAACTACCGACCGCTGCTACACTTTACGAACGTTTGGATTGGCTTCCAAGCGAGCTACGACGAATTGGATACCAAAACTTTATTCCGTGATTCTGCCCGAAACAACCAACAAACGCCCGAGCCGTGTCGATACCCAAATACATGCTAGAAATGACAGTGTTCCGCCAAGAATACCACCTGCAATCTCGCATCATCTGTCTCATAATCCTGTCCCATCGGCAATGAGTTTCTGCCACTCCACTACCTTTCCCGTATCATGACTTTCCCAAGTAGGTCTCCCGGTCTAGCACGGATGCTTCGAACTTGACGAGGAACACCGTTTTGCCAGGCCACATCTCACCCTCCTCAGCCCGGCCGACGGTGTGAGCGGTTACGCGTGCTGGAAAGGCGGCTCCGTCACAGACTCCCTCCACAATACCTGCCACAAAGGCGGCGCAGTTGAGCTGGCTCATTTCGCGTGGCACGCTGATGTACTGGTTGACGAGCGGCTCGTTGTCGATGATCATATATTCGTCGGGCGTGTCCGGGTTGCTGCTCTTCTCCAGTCCGTTGGCCTGACGGCCAAATAGGTGTGTCCACACGTTGATCTTGACAAAGTGTAGAAGCGCAATGATGTTCAGAGGGCGTGTCTGGGTGCGTGCAGGTTCGCGATAGAGCAGGAGGTCGAGCAGCTTCATACCGATAGGGTGACCCTGTACATTGAGCCTGGCCAGTTAGACGGGACCAGAACACCAGGAGGTTCTCCCGGGACAGATCTTACCGCTTCTCCAAATCCTGGATGCCGGTGACCCGGTGCTGCGCATAGCTGACCATTTCCGAGAAGAGGTAGGCAAAGCTGGACTGGCTCAGCTCGGCTGTGCGCGTTCGGTTCAGCGGGCGGTGGTATATGGTCTTGCCACTGGTCGGGTAACGAAGGCCATTCTGTCCATGGCCATGCACCATCTGCTGCGGGCCCTGGTGTTGTTGTGCGGCGTCGTGCCCATGCTGTTGTTGTTGCGGTGTCAAGTCCCGCGAAGGCCCCGTCGCTTTGCCCACGCCGCTCATCGTGAACGAACGCAAGGCTTGCCACGGGATGGAGGAATCGAAGCGCTGTCCTCGTCCGCGGGGGGGCTGCGCGCACGAAAGAGCGAATGCGTCTGTGGGAGGGGGAGGGGGCTCTGGACGCAGTTCAGGGGAGAGATCTTGATCCCAGCTTTAAACCGCTTTTGCGAGACGCTGACAGATGTGGGGCCCTGGCCTTGCCGCTAAAACCGACTGGTGCTTTTTTGGCCTGGGTGCTTTGTGCTGTCAGCCTTGCTTGCACAGAGTAAATGCATCAATCTGTCGTCGGTATTATTACAATGTCTATCTCGAACAGGAATTTGGCTGGGACAGGGCGCCAGTCAGGCTAGAATGCGCATCTACAGACAATATGCTCCAAGTGATCTCTCTCCATTAATTCTGCCCATCTAAGCAGATGCATTCTCCTCGGCCTCGATACTTTTGCAGGGTCATATTCCGAGCCTGTCTATTTCTCAGTAGACGCCACGCCCGTCTCAGAGGCGCCGTTGAGGTAGTCTTCGAATTCACCAACTCGTGATCCGCCGGCTATCCACCGCGCCTTGCGTGCCTCGCGCCGTTCCTCGGTGAGCTTTGTCAATGCTGGCCAGTACGCCGCATGGTCGTATTCGAATTGTAATTTGCCGCCAAAGTCCGACCACAGCTGGTCCGAAGGGACATACTGGTTCATGTCCTCGTTGAACTTGAGCTTCTCGCGCGTCAACGGGTCGATAAACGGTGTGATCAGCTTGAAGAAACCCCACACAACCCAGGGCACTATACAAAAAGCCGTTAGTCTCTGACTCGGTCTCAATTGGGGCCAGCGTGCAACCCAGAGAACGCACCGTTGACGATGAGCGCCCGGCCAAGGCGCTCGGGGTAGTATGTCTGCAGGATGTGCAGCACTTCACGGCCCTGGCCGATGCCCGGCGCCGTGTTGGTGCGGCTCTTGCCCTGCTTGAAGTTGATGAGCAGAGACAGAGTCTCCTGTCCGGGCGGCAACAGGTCGATGACGCGCTCGAGCATGTAGACGAGGTGCTCCACCTGGCGGGGGGACACTTCCGTGTTCTGCCGGCCCGGGTTCAGATACTGACACACTCGGGTTTCCTTGTCAAAGCCCAAGATGAGCTGCTTGCCCGTCTCGTTCTCGGGCGAGATGTAGTCTGCCGTCAGCGACTCGACGCCGTAGTCGCGCCGCCAGCTGAGCGTTTCCTGCAGCCGCTTGGCCGCCTCCTTCTCGTTCCATTTGGTTGCGCGCAGAAAGCGCAGCAGGCACTCTCGGGACAGCCACAACTGCTCGGCCTCTGTGATGGGACCTCCCTTGTCCTTCTCGGACGCAACCTCGGTCCAGCTCTTTGCCTGCTCCAGGAGCCAGTCGTACTTTGTCTTCTGTGCGTCCGTCAGGGTCGGGCGGGCCGCCGGCTTACAGCCAGCCTCCGGAAGCTCAAAGGGCGTCTTGCGAGGCCCGTCGGCCTGCTTCTCCTGTAGAGCTGAGGAACCAGCCGCCGCGGTCTGTGCTGTGCCCATTGTGTGAGCTGTGGACGGAAATGGCAAGGTATGCTGGCGTTTTCGCAGACAGTGGGCTTCGGTGGACAGCTATATAGACCGTGGTAAGAACCCCGTTGGCTAATGCGCGCGATCGAACCCAAGAGGCTGGTCAGAAAAGGAGAGAACTGGGTGGAGCTGCCTCAGCTGTATGTGTACGGTCTATGTACATAAGTAATTAGCTCCTATATGAATATAGAGTAGCAAAGCTGTAAATGCATTTATCGAGCTAATGCGTAAATGGCCTGAATAGCATGTCAATGATGTAAATCCCATGATTGCAGTCGTGCACTTCGTATTGCGCAGTCTTGCAGCGTTGACCGCTTTACGTGGAATTAGCCGACATCCGGAGCACTGCTGCCTAGTCTTGATACGACAAGATCCCCTATAAGGCACGCTGCTTTCGACGCCCTGTACGGAGTATGAGACGACCCGGAAGTCTGGAGGCCAAACTAGTAGCGCAGACACACCGCGCTGAGAAAGGCATCGCTATCACTGGCTACAAAGGCTGTTCGATTTGTCAGACAGCGGCTTAATCGAGCTGTTAGCGTCTACAGGCTACCCTAGTTGACCCCGAACTCGGAACAGTTCACTGGAGGAGGAAAATATTTCTCGTACACCCCGCCAATTTGCCCCCGAATGGACAGTCCAGCCAGTACGGACTTTTCTTTTGTTTGTTATTTCTATTAGAAATTGCTCACAAATCCGTCTCATTCGACAGGCTTCCCCCAGCTTGTTCTTGGTATTCGCTCAACAGTTCTGCTCTCCATAACATTCAGTTCAGTCCTTCAACATCGGAAAGCCAAATACCCGTCTCTCTCATCTATATCTTGTGATAAAATTGCGGACGACGATCTAAGCGGCTTACGATGCCTCCCTCCGTGTCCATCGACATGCTCGATGACAGCGTCGACTTCTCTGGCTTCAAGACGGCAGCGGGTTCAAAGACGAATGCCATTCGAGTGACGGCGCAGCAGCTGCCTAGCTCGAAGACCTTATTGCTTGCACCGCCGTCTGTCGCTTCCCACGAGGAGAAACTACGGGCCGTCTTCGCCACGCATGACCGATCCACCTCTGACCTGCAGATGCTCGATCGAGTTGCCGCCGGTCTTGTCACCCTAGTGCCAGCCTCGTACGATCTTGTTCTCGTCCTGACCGACACCAATGGCTCACACCGCACCGAAGCGCTCCAGCTGCTCCAGCGCAGTGCTTATACAGCGTTGGTGCCGTCCATGAAGGTCGGTGCTAAGCTGCAGCTCCAGGACGGCGGTCGCCTCCAGGGGGCAGAGGCGCGTGAGGCTATCCTCGCCGGCCTCGTGGAGAAGGATGGCGTGTTCGAAAAGACAGAGGAAGAGGAGGCAGAGGTGGTCGTGCCATTGCGGTTCGGCGCGAAGAAGAAGACGGCGCCTGCAGCAGCTGTCGCTACGAGCAAAGGCCCGGTGGTGACCTTGAATCTCGATGACTACAACGATGGCGACGAGCTAGTAGACGAAGACAGTTTGTTGACGCAGGAAGAGCGAAACAGACCTCCTCAGCAACGTGAGTATCTCACCTCGTTAGCGATAGTCGTGCAAGCCGATGCCGCTTGTAACCCCTGTCTCTCTGGCGATACCCCACTCTACCTACAATTGTTACTGACACCGGAACTGCAGCTCCCCAATGCAACGTGGACGGCCAAAAGCGGCGACGGCCGTGCAAGGACTGCACGTGCGGACTTGCTGAGCGACTTGAGGAAGAGGACCGGACGCGGAGGGCCGACGCCGACAACAACCTCAGCAACGTGTTCAAGCTGGACTCGGACGACCTCAACGAGCTGGACTTTACGATCAAGGGGAAGACTGGGTCATGCAACAGCTGCTCACTGGGCGATGCGTTCCGTTGCTCGACCTGTCCCTACATTGGCCTGCCGCCCTTCCAGCCGGGCGAAGAGGTCAAAATTATGAGCGGCCTGGTGCAGCTCTAAGCGACACATACTGCATAAGTGATTGGGGCTGACCCATCAGGGACATATGGACGGGATACAGCAGCGGGCTGGGGTATTCTTTTGCTTTTTAAACTTATTTTACCCCCTTTTGGCGTTCTAGTTTACTTTATGGCATTGGATTTGCGTTATTCATGTTCGGGATTGCAGGGACGACCAAAATTTGCATTTAATGGTTAGACTGGAGGCGAAGGCAGGCGATAAATGGGCACTTGGAGAGGTCAACATGGCTAGAAGTGCTAAGGCGACTGGACTTGAAGGAAGCAATGCGAATGGGCACTCGTCTGGATAGGATATAGCATGACTTCCAAGTTCTCAATGTAAAGTGGCGAAGCACAGTCAATAGATCCGTGCATATATACACGAGCACTGTTTATGATCACTGTACGCGAATTGGTGGGGCACTTAACGCGTCGTAGGTGCATCGTCTCCCAAATTGGCAGCGACGCGGCAAACCTGGTCCGTTCTTCTGCGCCGCACGACTCGAAACACAATGGCCGATACGACGGTGGCAAAGCTCAACGAGCGGTTTGCGACGGGTGGGCAGGCCCTGGAGCCGGACGTGGTGATGCAGCTGCAGTCAATCATGAAGATGCACGGACTGCCAGTGCAGGAGCTGTTCTACAAGTGGGAGGCATACTGCATCAAGATGGACCTGGAGGCAGCGGCGATGTCAATGGAGCGGCTGCGCGCGTTCAAGCAAGATCTGCAGGACGCGCTGGAGCGGCGCAATCAGGAACAGCAGCCGTCGCTGAGCGTACACAAGAAACCGAAATCTGAGGTCAGGCGGCTGGCAGCCACGCAGAGAAATGCGGCCAAGCAAGGCGGTGTCTTTGATATGTGAGTTGCACGTTTGGCGGGTTTTCCTCGCGGTCTCGTCTTCCTGCTGACGTAGCTGTTGCATGCAGGCTCGACGGCCTCGTTCCTGGCACATCAGCCAAGACGGGCGGCAACAATGTCGGATCTGGGAAAAAGAGCACGCCTTCGGTCTCACGGGTGAAGAGTGAGTACATGGGCAGCTCACCAGACCACAAAACGCCGTCGAAGCTGGCCGACCAGCTCGGTGCTATGGGGGCAATTGCGTACGTTTTCACAGCCAGCAATACGAGGTATTCCTGTTTCTAACCCTGGCACAACTCTGGCGACAGGCCATCCTCGTTCAACGACCGGCAGAATGCGGGCGATGTCATCGAGATTCTAAACCGGCAGCTCCCGGCAGCAGAGCGGCCAATTGCGCCGTATGCAGAGCCGCGGGTTAAGCTGACAGGGGCCTCGGACCAGAAGAAGCTGGGCTACAAGCCGATGGCGATGAAACTCTCGGAGGCGTCTGAGATCCTGGACGACCGGATCGACGAGTTCACCAAGCTGGTTTTGGACCACCACAAGCTCGACGACGACGAGATCGGCAACGCGGCCAGCCAGGGCACGGCCGAGATTGTGGCCGTAGGCCGCATAGCGTCAGACTCGGCCTCGGGCAAGCTCAACGCGGCCTCAGCGGTTCTAGAGACGTCACGACGCAGGGGCGGCGGGCTACGCGTGCCGTTGGACCTCGGGCGGCTCAAGGGCTTCCAGTTCTTCCCCGGGCAGATTGTGGCCCTGCGCGGGACAAACTCGTCGGGTCACGCGTTTGCCGTCAGCCAAGTGCTAGAGCTACCGCTGCTGCCCAATGCGGCATCCTCGTTGACGGCGCTGATGGGACACCGCGAGAAGATGCGTGGCCATGGTGGTGGCGACGGCGACGAGGACGACATGATGGACGTGGACGGCAACAGCAACACACAAAACGCGCTAGCACCGTTGAACATCATCTACGCATCAGGGCCATATACAGCGGACGACAATCTGGACTTTGAGCCGCTGCATGCGCTCTGCAGCAAGGCAGCCGACACCGGAGTGGACGCGGTGGTGCTGGCAGGGCCGTTTCTGGATGCAGACCACCCGCTGATCGCGACAGGCGACTTTGACCTGCCAGAGGACGCGGTGGTGGAGCCGGACGCGGCGACGATGGCGACGGTGTTTCGCTACCTAGTGGCACCAGCACTGCAGCAGCTGACGACAGCCAACCCGGCGGTGATGGTGCTGCTGGTGCCGTCGGTGCGAGACGTGTTGGACCGGCACGTGTCGTGGCCACAGGACGCGTTTTCGCGGCGAGACCTAGGACTGCCCAAAGCTGTGCGCATCGTAGGAAACCCGATGACGCTGTCGATCAACGAGATGGTGCTGGGGGTATCGTCACAGGACGTGCTGTACGAGCTGCGGCACGAGGAGCTGTCGGGCGGGCGGCTGGCTGATGCCAACGCTATGTCACGAGCATGTCGCTACTTGCTGGAGCAGCGACATTACTTCCCGCTGTTTCCGCCGGTAGATCGCCGCAGTCTTCCGCGCACAGGCGTGGCCGACACGGATTTCGTGGCCACGGGCGCGATGCTTGACACGAGCTACCTGAAGCTGGGCGAGATGGTCAACGTGCGGCCGGACGTGTTGGTCGTGCCGAGTGCGCTGCCGCCGTTTGCCAGGGTGGTCGAGAGCGTGCTGGTCATCAATCCGGGCTACCTGTCGAAGCGGCGAGGCGCAGGGACGTATGCTCGCATGACCTTGTATCCGCCAGCGGTCGACAGTGCGGCACTTGCACAGGACGGAGAGCAGATGGTCGGCCACGGCATCTTTGAGCGGGCGAGGGTAGAGATTATAAAGATATGAGGGTATCCTGTTTTGTTTGATTGGATATCTGTAGCTTATGCGAATATTCACTTAACAGAGATATGCATACATGAATATACCCTTGCAGCCTTGCCTCCTATAGAGCGCCGCCCAGCGCCTGTACAATCCACATGGCCAGACGCACATGCGCGCGCACCCGTCGCTCCGGCTGGGCAAAGTCATCGCGGCTGACAGGCTGCGCATATGTCTGCAGCCAGGATTCCTCGGCGCCAAGGCGAGCCTGTAGCGCTGCGTTGCGCGTCACCACCAGTGCGTTTGCCTCGAGGTCCAGGGTGTAGCTGCGCTTAGTATAGTTGGAGCTGCCCACCAGCGTCATTGCCGGCGACATCTCGCCCGGCAGCGTGATCCAGAGGCCTTTGGCATGGTATGTCCACCCGCCGAGCTGACCGACGGTGCCGCGTCGCCACTCTTTGAGCGTGATGGCCGATGTTGCCGTGCGGTCGGCCGCCTTGAGGAAACGATGCGCCAAGAACGTGTAGGCGTCTGGAAGCATGCCTGAAACTCCCGGGGACCGGTAGAAGCCGTTTGCATACGGCGAGGCCGTGATGACCGTTCCTGTCGCGGCCGCTGTCGAGAGTAGCAGCTTAGTCAGCGACGGCGCCGGATTGAAGTAGCCAGCCGTGAACGTCCACGACGAGCCGGCATAATCGGGCCGAGACAGCGTCTGCAGCACGTGTGTAAGTGCAGGTCGCTCGGTCGAACTGTCGGGCCGAAGCAGCTGCGTCATCTGTGCCAGCACATACACAGAAGTGTCTGCACCCGGGCTTGCTGCTGCTGCTGCCTTCTGCGGTGCCACCAGGCCATGCAGCACGCCTGTAGCTGCCGTCACAAAGGCACCCGGCTGCTCCAGCGGCGAAGGAGCCCGGTTGTCGTCCGGCCACACCATCTCGAAGCTGTCAACGGCCGTTGGCGATGGCCGAACCTGAAAGCTGAGCGAGGACACAGCGCTGTGCAGCTGCCAGTAGAAATCAGTCACGTCTCTGGACGAGAAGACGTGGTAGCGGTCTTGCCGGTTGGTAAAGTAGTCCATGGACAGATTGGCCCTGCAAGCAAGACATCAGCCTAGATCATCATCCCGCGTGGGAATAGGGACCACCTACCCGGTCAGCACGATCTCGTCATCCACCCCGTACAGCTTCATGTGCTGTAGCCCCCAGCCTTCGTTGATCCGCTTGGGAATACACCGCCTGCGGAGACCCGTGAGGTTCGGCGTGTGGTACATACGCAGCTCGACGCGATCGGCCCCGAACTCGGCCACTAGCGGTGCCAGCAACGAGGCGCACGACGGCGCAGGAGACTCGCGCGTGCCACGGAGCGCGTCAGTGACGATCGAAAGCTTCAGGGCCGGTTTTGCGCGCAATGCCGTCTGCAGAGTGTTGATCTATCGTTTGCGCCCGCCTCATCAGCTCGGATTTTCGGCAGGAAAAAGATTGAAGAAAAGAAGAAGAAAACCACGCACCAGCTCTGTTTCCGACTTGCCAATGTAGAGCGTCGACAAGAAGATGCGATGCTCAGCACCACGGATCATCGTCTTGAGCGTCTCGTAAAACTCAGCTGGCGTCTCGAGCACCCGTACTTGCGACCCGTGAATGCGGAAGCACGGCGCGATGCGGTCTAACTCGTCGACAAAGGGAGCCAGCATGAGCCCAGCCGTCGCCACCGTTACTACCGCGCTTCCAGATGCCATTCCCGAGGCGCTGGCCATCATCGTCACGGGCTTTGCGCTCTTGGCTGCAGCAGCGACAGCAGTTGTGGACGACAGCCGGCGACCCACGCTGACGCTGCCGCTGGAGAAGAGACACCGGATCCATACCAGCGACCGGCTGCTGCTGGTCTTGGCGCCGGTGCTGCTGTGTCGCACCTGTATCGTCTTAGTCGGACTTGCGCTCTGAGATGGCAGCACCCGCTTGTGGCCGGCGATTTGCCGGCATGATGAAGCTGCTGAGAGACAGCCGGCGGTGCATCGTGCAGCGCCGCGAGCACTCATTGCCGGTGGGGCACAGAAGCAGCTGGCGGGGGGGAAGAACAGGCGTATGCAAGCGGACAGAACGGAGAGAGGCCCCAACGTCCCGCGAAACTGCTACGGAAAAAGGTCGCTTTCCGTTTGGGCCAATTCGTGCGATGTTAGTAATGCGCCTCGTCAAGCTGTCCTATTGGCTGTAGATCTTCACTTTTGGACCCACTTTGCTGCTTCTTCCTCTCCGCCATCAACCGACGAAATAGAGCCTCTTTTGTGATTTTCGCCATCTTGCTCTTGCGCAACCGATCCTCTGCCGACCGCGACCCATCTCTGCCCGAAATGTCGACGCTTTCACGTACTCTCGGCTACCTGCGCCGCATTGGCATCAAGGTACGAGCGAGCCGGCCACGATGGCCGCCCGAATTAACCGAAACGTGCACTGCTAACTTCTCGCCCTCTCGCCTCGAAACAGGAATACTGGCATCAACTGAACGTATGTCGCCTCTCCCACAGGCCGGTCCCGGCCCAGTCTCTACTGCTTCCAGACACAGACTGACTCCAGGCGTCTGGATGCCCACAAATCTAGTACATCGGTAAAGACCTCTCCCAGACAGGCATTGCGAGCCCACATCAGCACAGAAAGACTCACAGACCCCTTCTTTATAGGTGACACCAAGGCCGGCACCCTCATGGGCGTCGACAAGGCCGGAAACAAGTACTACGAAAACATGGAAGAGGAGCTGCCACGTGCGTAATGCTCGGATTCGATCTTTGCGCAGATGGAAGAGGAACGCTGACAGACGAACGAACTGGACCCCGGAAACAGTGCGCACCCGTTGGATCGACTACAAGAAGCGTGACTATGATCCGTACGTGCGAGACCTAACAGACGGGCCAAGGCTAGAGGAAAATGCTGACGGTGTATCTTTTTGTTACCAGTGGCCAGATCGAGCCTCTGTGGCACGCATGGCTCTCTTACTCCGTCGACCAGCCGCCTACACAGGATCCCTTGATGGCACTGGCTGATTCTCGCCCGTGGGTCACCCTGGAGCACAAGCCCAACTACACGGCCACCCGCGGTGCCTTTAAGACCTACAACACGTATGTCATGCTCTTTCCGGCTCGCTAGGCCTCGACCCGTCGTGCTGACTCTTCCGACCTTCAGAACCAAGCCCAAGATCAGCTCCTGGGAGCCGATCGCTGCGCCGCGTCAATAGACCCAAAGTATGGCGCCTGGTGAGCAGATGTGCCGTTGGGCATGTACATATCTTTTGCAGTGTGACGAGAAGAACGGTGATTCCAATATATACGGTCAAAGCTATCAAACATACGGCAAAGCCGCCAACGTGACACTGTGGCCGACACGTAAACGTTGTTCGTCATTTACAGTAGATACTTACCAACGCTCCGTAAAGGCACACAGCCTCCAACAGCAGCGAAACTGGCAGTTTGTCGGCCTATTGTATATGTGCAGGTGCAAGCTCCCGTCTGTCTAGATTCGCGCCTCGATAGCCGATTTTATAGCTGCACGCAGAGACATGTCAGCTTATCTCTGATTCTCTGGTAATGAAACGGGGATGCCTGTTCTTACCGTCACAGCTCGTCTTGGCATCACCAAAGAGCATCCGTGTTCCAGGCATGTAGAACATGGGATTGGGTACGTCAGCTAGCCGACAGTCAGCACAAACTTCGTCGTCCAGAGTATGATCAGCTTACCGTAGCCACTAGCCAAGCTCCGCTTCATGACAATCACTTGCTTGCTCTTCCATGCGTGAAGCACAGGCATGCCAGCAATGGCACTGCCTGGCTCGAGGGCAGCCGGGTTGACCGTGTCGTTGGCCCCGATGACCAGCGTCAGATCGGTGTCCGAAAAGTCATCGTTGATCTCGTCCATCTCCAACACGATATCGTACGGCACAGACGCCTCGGCCAGAAGCACGTTGCACTGCCCAGGCATACGTCCAGCCACAGGATGGATGGCAAACCGGACTTGTATCCCCTTAGAGCGCAGCATCTGCGTGATCTCCGAGATGGCGTATTGAGCTTTCGCCACCGCCATTCCGTACCCGACAACAATAATGACAGACTCGGAATTGACAAGCGATTCTGCAGTCTCCTCCACCGTTGTATTCGTCACAGAGCCTTCTATCGCCTTAGTGCCCTCAGCCGGTGCCGCGATGTTTTGAAGGCCGCCAAAGAGTACGTTGACCAGTGACCGGTTCATGGCCACACACATGACGTACGACAGAATGGAGCCGGACACGCCAATCAGCGCTCCAACCGATGTCAGCAGCGAGTTGTCCAACATGAAGCCTTCCGCCACAAGGGCGAAGCCGCTGTAGGCATTCAGCACAGTAATGACGACGGGCATATCAGCGCCGCCAATGGCGGCCGTCGTGGTATACCCCTTCAGGAAGGACAAGACTGTGTTTGCAGCCAGTGCACCCGCCGCTATAGCAGGAGAGCCTGGTGCCATAGTAAGAAAGGCGCCCATTGTTGCCGCATTTGTAGCCAGAAGACTGGAATTGATGATGTGGCGCCCCAGAAGATTTAACGGCTTTGAAGACATTTTTCCAGCCAGCTTGAGAAAGGCAACGATAGAGCCGGTAAAGGTGATGCCGCCAATCAGCACACCCAGGTATCCGGTGACTAGGTGAAGCGTGGTGATATCGGAGATGTCAGTCATGACACTGCCTATGCTTGTCAGGACGGCAGCGAGACCAACAACGGAGTGCAGGGCAGCCACAGTCTGCGGCAGGTCTGTTGGTGTGATACGCTTGCCAATTAGCAGGCCGATGATACTGCCGATGGTGGCAAGTCCTCCAAACTGTGCCAGAACTTCAGGCGAGAATCCCACAGCGAGCAATGAGGCCAGAACTCCGGAGCTGACACCGAGAATGCCCAAGATGTTGCCCATACGGGCTGTTGCCTGTGATGCAAGGCTGGAGATGGAGCTGATGCAGAGGATGGAGCTGACAAGGTAGCCAGCCTGTACGAGGCCGGCAGCACCAGTGGAAGCAGCCGCAATAAACCCACCGCCGCAGACAGCTGCCGGGATGGCGTAGAGCCAAGGGTACTCTGGCGGATCCGTAGGCCGCTTGAACATGTCAAGCATTCGCTTTGTGAGAACAAAGCCTCCAGAGACGTTCACAAAGGCCAGAAGAACTGAGAGCGCGCCAAATGCTTGAGGAATTGTCTCGGGAAGATATCCGCCGCCTAGAATGAAAAAGCCTCCGACGCCTACCATGCCGGATATGGCATTGGTCACACTCATCAAGGGTGAGTGCAGAGCAGGTGTAACGCCCAAAACAACGCGATATCCGACCAATGAGGCCAGCCCAAATATGAACGCGTTGCTCATGAAGATGGGGCCTGTCAGCTTTCCGAGGGCAATTGCTGTGCCCATTCCGCCGGTCACAAGAGCAACCTCACGTGAAGTCCTCTGGAAGGGGGTCAGAGCAACGGACTCGGCAGCAAGTACAGTTTCTTTCGGTGCGGGTGGTGCTGGAGGGGGTGCTGGTCGTGGCGCAGGCGGCAGGATCTTGCCGTTCTGGGTGACAATGGCACCACGGACGACCTCATCGGTCAGATCAATACCGAACTCCTTCTCGACAGGGGCCATTGACAGCATAAACTTGGTGATATTGTTCGAGTAAAGCGTTGATGACTGCGTGGGCAGACGTGAAGGCATATCTGAATAGCCAATGATGGTGGTGCCGTTGTATACCGAGAGCTTTCCTGGAATGGTCTTCTCGCAATTGCCGCCGGCCTCAGCAGCCAAATCCACGATGACGGACCCGGGCTTCATCATGTCGACGATATGCGTAGGCAACAACTTGGGGGCGGGCATTCCAGGAATCAGGGCAGTGGTGATTATGATGTCAACATCCTTGGCTTGTTCGGAAAACAATTTCATCTCGGCATCGTGGAAGGCCTTGGACACCTCTTTTGCGTAGCCACCAGCTCCAGAGCCATCCTCTTCGATCCCTTCGACCTCGATGAACTCTGCGCCGAGAGATTGTACCTGCTCGCGAGTGGCAGACCGGGTATCAAAGCCACGAACGATGGCACCCATGCGGCGAGCCGTGACAATGGCACTCAGGCCGGCAACACCAGCTCCAATGACCAGGACCTTGCTAGGTGGGATCTTGCCTGCAGCCGTAACCTGACCAGTGAGAAAGCGGCCAAAGTGGTTTGAAGCCTCCAAAACAGCCTTGTACCCGGCAATATTGGCCATAGAGCTGAGGGCATCGAATGACTGCGCCCTTGAGATGCGAGGTATCATATCCATAGCAAAGGTGGTGACATTGCGAGCAGCCAAGGCTTCCACAATTTCCGTGTTCTGGACAGGCTGTACGAAGGATATCAAGGTTTGGCCAGGCCGGGCATCAGCAGCCTCTGCGAGACTTGGTCCGCGAACCTTGAGCACAATATCAGCGCCCTGCCAAACACCAGCAGCGTCATTGACCAGCGTAGCACCGGCCTTTTCGTAGGCAGAGTCGAGAAAACCGGCGTCGGCACCAGCACCACGCTCAATGAGCACGGTGCCAAAGCCTTTCTTGATAAGCATGGAGACATTCTGTGGCGTCAATGCGACACGATGTTCGTTAGGAAAGATTTCTCGCGGCGTGCCGACTGTAAGCCTGGCGTAAGGTGTGGTCAGTGGGATGACCTTTGTGGGGTCAGTGACGGCCGATCCAGCAGCAGAATCATCAGAAATCACCGAGGCACGGCGGACAAGCTGAAGAGGCTGCAGATTCTTTAGAGGCGTACTGGGGCCAATAGAACCTGGGACCAAGGCTGGTAACCGAGGGTTGCGCTGATAGCTCGAAGAGTTATACCATTGTGCCCCTCGGCAAGCGACTACGGTAGCCCGCGCCGCGGGCCATGTGAAAAGATCTGTTATAGAGTCAGTCGGTCGGAACGGGAGCTCGCAGGTCTAGACTTTAAAAGAAGCAGACGAATAGGAGGTACAAAACACACCATGACTAACACAGCTGGACGAAAGACTTGAGATGGGCGCAGCTAAAAGCCAGCCCGTCTGAGCCACGACCGGCCGGACAACGAGAGACCACGGAACCGTCATAGATGGCGGAGGTACCAGAGCATTTGTCACAGTGGAATTTGAAAGTCGATGCTTCTTGTCCCTGTATCTTTGTATGTCGTGGGCTCGTAGGCACCACGGCTAACATAGGTTTCTACCCTCGGCAAATGTGGGGCAACGTTGCAAGTTTGACTCAAGCCTTCGTAGCTCTACTACCAAAGCTTTGACCGAGAACGGCTGTCCCTCAAGCTAAGATGAGGGAAGTGGACTCATTGGGCCTCGGATGCAGCCAAGCCGCCTAGCCCGAAAACAGGAAGCTGATGTTGCTCTGGACAGAGAAGGGATAGGAAGGAAACGAGTCTCGGCTTTATAAGAATGAGCAGATGAAGACAGAAGAACGCTGTCAACCGATGCGATGTGGGACAGAAACACGAATACGAGGTGAGAAACCGGAACAGAAAAGAACAAACAGGCCTCATGGAGGAGATGCTCGATTAATTTTACAGCAAAGAGCAAGATCACGCCCAGAATCCGCAAACGGAAGGTGCCATGCCACACTGGTCCGCATGCACGCGGGGTATTATAATGTGATGCGCCTGTCAAGAGAAAGCCCACTGTTGCATTCCCCGCTTTTTTGTGTTTTGTCAGGAACACCGGCGACTTGCCGTCGTTGCGCTCCTTCTCTGTCACCCGCAGTCCTCTACGTAATGACGAATCTTTTGGAACGGCAGGGACGAGTCGAGCGCAATTTGTCTTCCCGACCAGTCAGTGCAAAAAAGCCCCACACAAAACAACGAGAGAGCCTACGACTATCGTACGAGTATCGTGCTCATAGCTTCGTTGTGTGCTTCCAGGGCAGTAGGTTTCGCAGAGTCTGAAATATATACCAGCCCGGCGGCGTCATTGTATAAAAAATAACTGCCCCCTGTCCCGCCGCTGAGGCGGTACTCGTACTCGTACTCGTACACGTAAAGCTGGCCTGGATCAGCAATCTGCCTGCTAAGATGAAGAGAAAACCGATGCTGTCGCTTTCCTAGACTCCCAGACGGCAGATTCGATATCTGGAAGCAGTACAGTGAGCAGAGACATATGTTGACGCTACACTGTACTTGTAGATCATCTCTAAGACAAGCTACAATAAGCATGTCGATAACTAAGAGCTGCCACAGCATTCAATGTTGCTAGCTAGGTGAGATACTCTTTGATCCAGTTGATCTAGGGATATATGCCCGTACATAGCTGCGGCGATACTTAAACGACCTAGAGGTATGCGTCTTAAAGATACAATCCTACGAGTACTCATACAGAGGCAGACGCAAACAGCAGAAATGGCTTAATCCCGTAAAGCTAGGGGGGATCTTGCGGTGGACCCTCGGGACTGATAGATGCATTAGTGTTGGTCAGGATAGAGTATCATATTATTGAGATTCCGCGATGGCTTTCTGACAACCAATGCTAACGCGGGTTTGCTAATTAAAGGCTGTGGTAATTATGTGAGTAACAAGGCACCCTACACACTTTTGCAAGCTGTATCGTATAAGAAATAAGTATAATAAAAGTGGAAGCAACCTGTACCAGCTCGTACTCTGTATTTACTAGTACGGCCAGGAAGCCCCAAGATGAAGTGCAAGCTTTTTTCTCAATAACAAGTGTTGAAAAGGGTGTTCTACAAAGTCGAGTGTGGAAATTCATTTCCATATCAACGCCGTAATCCCCTCCGACTAGAGAGAATTAGGATTAATAGCCACCGGCATACTCTATACACAGACAGGATTGCGGGACTTGCAAAATAACCCGGGTGCAGAGCAACTCTACTACGTACGTCGTATGTATGAAAGTAACGTCCCACCCACTCTCAATTATGCTTCTTTTAGAGAAACAGGCGATGAGACAAGTGCTGCCCTAAATAGCCTAGTCGGGTAGCTAACAGATGTACTCTGTACCGAGCCAAATTTAGATCCACTTATTACTTGCTTCGATCTCGTTTGTACATACTTCGTCAAACGTGACAGCTCAGCCAGTTCAGCCTTAATGCTTGTCAAACTTTATTTAGCACCCACGTCAAAATATAAACACGATACACATTCTTGTCTAACCCACACTGCTAAGAAGGGTGTTCGAGGTAACAATAACAAGTTCAGATTACAAAGCTTTATACTATTTTCCATAGTGCCGCCATTATTCCGCCTATACATATACACTTGTGAGTCTGATTGATGACTCAGTCACCACCTGGCCCTGAGAGGAGACGATGAAAACCCAACAGAAAAGCGCAACGGCAAGACACCAGGAAGCCAGCAGTATCCAAAAAAAACGTGTATCTAATATAGCAAAAAAAAGACCAAACACCATTCAGTGCCCCTTCTATAAAAGCAAAACATCTGCTTAACACCACCGAGGTTGGTCCAGCCAGTAATCTGAGTTGCCTGGAACTCACCATTGTGTGCCTGGTGGCACATCTATCGAACCAAATCCATCGAATGCCGACGCATTGGCCTCGGTCGGCATAATAGCCCCCCACATGTCCCAATCTATGTTCGAATCTATATATGGCTGAGCAAAAAATTGATCCAGTGTCGCATCCGGGCCTGTTTCTATTTTGGGTGTTTCGACCGATCTTGACATGTCGACTGAGTGCGCCACAACCGAGGATGCGGGCATCGATGCCAGGTCGCTCTTCGAATCGTCTTGTGGTGGCATGGAACACTGTAGCTTGAGGATGTAATCCGGCGTTTCTGCCGTCAATCCACCCGACCGAATGCGCAGAATTTCCCTTCGTACTTTCCATGCCTTAAGCACGTACAAGGCGGCCTGGTAGTGAGGTCGTTGTGTGATGTCAAGAAGCTGTTCGTAGTTCTCGTATGTTGCTTGTACAGCCTCCCAGGCCATCTCGACCAACCTTCCGGACGTTCGCGAGCACAGTTGTCCAACGACAAACAGGAAGATGTTGACTTGAAAATCCAACCGCGAAAACCAGGAGAACCCTTTGGCTCTGGTCTTCACAAGCTGCTTGTTTTCATGCTGGATGGCCCTGACACTGATCCTGAAGACAGTGTCGGCTGGAGTTTTGACTTCATCTGTAAACGTTTTTTCCTCTGGTGGAAGCAACAAGGTTTCGATCTTGTCTAGGATATCGGCTTTGATATCGATGGCCATTTCGTGCAGAGGACCAGCACTGGGGTCGCAGTACTTATCGATAACCTCGAGAAGGCTGTTGCCGAGATTTGTGATCATCTGCCGGTATATCGCAATTTGCTCCGGGCTCGGCCCGCCAATGTCCATGAACGAGTCCGTCTCGCCGAGGAGAAACATGGGCTCGATGCCTGGCGTTTGCAGAAGAAACCGAGCAACCCGGCTCATGAGCAACACCATGATCATCTCCGTCGGCCCTTCACGGTTCTGCACTGGCTCCGTCGAAGCCAGATGGAGATCGGCGTCGTTCACGTTACTGGGCTCCTTTGTGTCCCAAAGATGGGGCAGCATCGAGTGACTCAGACCCGACATCAGTGCGTATTTGGCGTCGACCATGATGATCTGCCACCACAGGCGTCTCCGGATCTCCGTATCAAATGGGCTCAGGCCAAGAACCTCGCCGTCGCGATGCAAGCCCATTTTCTGAGCGATACGGAGCACAACGCCGTTTAATATCCAGGCGGCATGTCGGTTGTACCGGCCCTGGAGAGAAATCTGACAGCCTGTGAGTGTCAAGCGCTACATGTGCGTAAGCACTGGTATGTTGGGTAGTGCTTACTAGGTAAATGACTAACGCCTGCAGCGTTTCAATATCGTAGGCCTTGAGGAAGCCCAGGCGTATGAGGGATTGGCGAACACCTTCGGAGAAGCGTTCCAAAGCGGCCTGCCGCGAGTAGCCAAGAAAGTTGAGGCATTCGTCATTCGTCATGGAAACGGTCGCCAGAGTGTAGATGGAGAATAGTAGCGTTTTGATATTCTGCGGAACGTTGTGGCCGCCACTCGTGGCTTCGGCCACATACGGCTGCAGGGTAGGCACATGAATGATCTTGGTGAGTGGGTTGACGCGTTCGAGGTAGATCTGCCACAGCCGAAATATGAGTGCCGGAGGGGGCATAAGCTCCTCGAGAGTTGGCTGCGTGGTGATAGTGGCGTGCATGGCGCCTAAAACCATATTGGCATTGTCGTCTGGCGTTGCAACAGTCTCTGGTGTTGTATCGTCATTGTCCTCGTCGTCGATGATCTCGCGCATGGCCCGCAGCTCGTCGTGAATGGCCCCAAGCATGAACGAATCGACAAAGCGAACCCCGCCATCGTCCTCTACGATGAGCTTGCCAGGCGGCTTCCACTTCAAAGATGACTCTTCCCCGAACAATTGGCAGCCATGGCCATTCAGAAATGAGGCATCTCCACCCGGCTTTTCTGTGGCATAAGCTTTGAGAAGCTCCTCGCAACGGGCCAAGCGTTCCTGTAGGTCCTGGTTGGGGCGCCGCCTCTTTCGAGCTGGAGCAGGGGTGCTTGGTGTGCATGTAACATTGGCCTATCCGCAGCGGGGGTAAGCATGCGGTTGTGTTTCCGGTACGACGGGAGAGTATCGCAAGCGGGTGGCAGAGCTTACCTTGACACAGTTGGCACAGGGAAACGAGCGGTCGCATTTGATCTTTCGGTGTTGGCATAGGACGCAAGCCAGAATTCGCGTCGGTTTGGAAGAGTTCTGCAGTGCGGGCGAGGGGTAATTGCCAGAGTATTGGCTGCCTGAAGGCTGGCCGGGCGTAGAGGCCATAGACATCGTGGTGTCACTGTCTGTCTGCGATTGTGGTGATAAAATGGGTGATATAACGTGCGTGCGTGGCAAACTGGCTACAGACGCCAGCTGTCCATACGAATATTGAGATTCCTCTGTTCTAGACAGCGAGATGTGAAGCATCCCCGGCTTGGTGGATCGGGGAAGCTCGCGTTAAATAACCTCAGCAGAACGATAATTGCATCGGCGATCGAGCGATTATGATCGCTGCGCATTGACGGCTCTCAGAGGAGGGAGTGTAGGAAGGAAAAACCCGGCTGCGGGAGAGAACAACGTTGCGAGAGATGGGAAGGGAAAGAAACAAAAATGGACAGAAAATGCGGCAAACCAAATTGCTCATCTCCGTTTGTAACTCCTGTCAGAGGAAACTTTTAGCACAACAGCAGTAAACTTGCTAAGTGCCAACGCGGAAACTATTTCTCCCTTTCCCAACTCCACTGACGTCGTCTCTCCCAGGCTGCCTCGATTTCAGACTTTAACGGACTGGTCAGCTGACCTAGTCGGCCGAGGGGCAAATGTAATAACTGCGATCCCAGACTGACGGGATGTCTAAGAATCCGCCTTTCCGCTTTAGCGGTATATATGCACGTGATTGGAGTATGTACTATCACACGGTACATGCTAGTGACTAGATCCGCCTTGCCGAGAGATGTACTATTGCTAACTCGGAACTGCCGGAGCTACACATCTACTTCTGCTTAAATCCATGTTTGCTAAATTCCTTTCCGCGCTGTATCTCGGCATCGCTACAGTGCTGGCTGATCCCTACGAGGAAGCGTTCGGTACACATTATAAGTATATGCATACGGAGTATTTATATGGTATATTAGTACGAGTATTGCCGCGGCCCCTTCTTGTAGCGTTGTGTCGCATTTCCCTTAACTTGGTATAGCACAGGCTTGTGTCCAGCACGATGGTTGCGAGTGCCTGACGGGAAAAGGACACGACCGTATCTTACGAAGTAACACAGCCTTATTTTTTATATTGACAGGGCGATGCCAAGTGCTCGGCGAAAACTAGCCAATTAAAGCATGCTCATGTAAGCGGCAGTTCTGGCACTATGTAGACAACTAGTCGGATCTTACCCCATTCTATAGCTAGCGTGGAATTGCGGACGGTCCAGGCCTATTTAAGTGCTCCATCGCTGTTGGATTTACGGAAGTACGTAAACCGCTGGGGGTAAACAACTCCTTGTCATGTTTACCGACATTATAGAGTACGACGTACTCCGTACGACTGACACTTATAAACCACATACGTCGTATTGCCAAAAAGACGAAGTACGACGTACGGAGTAATATCATGACGAACCCAGAGATACCCCAATTACGAAGTACTCCACGGAGTACTCCGTAAATACGGGCTATATATTTTTAGCTCTAGAAAAGCTGGCTTGACGGTCTGTGCCGGGGTTTAACTCCGTGCTCCGCTCTGTGACTACTGTTTTCATGTCTGCTTCTACCGACTGCTTGGGTACAGCTGACACAGGAACAAGGGCCCTTCGCTTCTGCTTCACTAGCACACGCCGGTGCCGCTGCCCCTTGATATGCTTGTCCCACTGATCTTCAGACACGAGCGTCATGCGGCACATTTCGCAGGTTCGACTGAAGTTGTTGTTGCGGCTCTCACGTTCGCTCTGGCTGGCCGCAATGGTGGCTGTCAGCACATCCCGCGCCGTCTGGGACACATCGACAGGCGCAGGCAAGGTCGATACATCGCCTTGCGCAACATGCCCTACGCGTCCGCAGACGTGCCTGTCCCAACCACTACGAGCGAGAAAAGCAGCCGTCAGCTGTACGCCCACCTGGGCAACGTTTTCCTGCCATTTTTCTCTCTCCGTGCTGTCCAGTAGAAAGAGGTGATCCAGCGCACGCTCCTCGGCTAGCATGGGAATTGTCTTGTGCTTGATCCATCGCAGCTGGTAGCGAGCGTAACGTCGGGTGGCAAACTTCATGCTGTCCAGGCTGGCCGCTTGGATCTGGGCCAGACGATCGTCGGTCGCTTCAACGTCAGTGTTCAGCCCGCCAACTGCATCTTTAACTTCTTTCAAGGCAACCAAGTAGGGCTCCAGTTCCTTTAGCCCGATCGACTGCCAGATGCCCTTGGTACGGTCAATTATCTTGCCGCGGGTTCGGCAGTCCTCAAGGATGTTGTGCATCTCGGTGGCCTCCTCCATGAGACCTCGAGATAACATTGTATCGATGCGAGCATCTAGTCGTTCGTTCAGCACATCGCGCTGGGCGTACACCCATAGGAGTAAACATTTCCAGGGAGCAGGTCCTGCTGATGCTGGGCCAACAGTAATACCATCCAGCAGATCAGTGTCCCCTAAACCCTGAGCAGCAACCTGTTTTTTTACTTTCTCCTGCTTCTGTTGTGCATATATTTCTGAAGCCTGCCGCCCCGTGGTCAGGTAGATCTCCAGTGACCGCCGAATTTTCCGACGATCGTTGGGATGCCATCGCGCAGCCATGGCAGGATCCACTTCCCGCAGCCTGGAAAGGATGTCCTCTGTCGACGCTTCTAGAATCGGATATCGGCTTCCGATTTCAGCACTGGCCCCGGTGTCACCCTCCATGTCGTCATCGACAACCGCTTCATCCACAAGGTGATTCTCGAATAGAAGTCCATCGGTGTAGTACTGCGATCCCCCGACGACGATGGGCAACCGTCCACGACTGCGAATTTCACGGATAATACGTGTAGCTTCCTGCTTGAATCGTCCCACCATCCAGGGCTCCTCGTCCACGCCGATAACACCCAACAAGTGGTGTGGAACTCCACGTTGTTCAGCCTCGGAAATCTTGTTTGTCGTTACTGGCAGGCCACGATAAAATTGCATGGCATCTGCATTGATCACCTCACCGTCAAAGCGAAAGGCAAGCTCAACAGCGAGCTGCGTATCGAAGCACGATTAGTTACCGATGAGACATGTTAAAAATCGTTGAATGGCATGTCATACATCCGATTTTCCTGTTCCTGTAGACCCAAGGACGACAAGCAGTGGCTCGGTGAGCGGGCCTGTTTTCTGCTGATACATGGTTGCGACATGTCGTACAAGCCGACTAGTGAGGCTTCGGAGCATGTGTGTGCTTCGACACTATTCATTCAAAAACGGGGAGGCAGGAGTGATATAGTAAGCTTTTCTTCGACGGGGTTTTCATGCGACGATTTAAACTACTGGCAACCCCATGCGCTAACTAAGGTTACTATTACGATGGGTAAGAGCACACAAGGGGCTCAAAGAAGTCACGTGAGTACCCACACATTTGGCCACATCGCAAGTTTTGGGCAGTTGTAGAAGCCAGATCGTTCATTGCCAAAAGCTATGGCTGCGCACCTAAATTTTTCTCCTTAAACCACCCCTTTCCGCAAGTCGCTCCTTGCCAACACCGGGCTTCTTTCCCTTTCTTCTTCATTTCTTTTTTTCTTCTGCAGTTCCTCTGTACAGAACAAAAGGAGAGCGCGTTCTCTTCTTGTGCTCGGTTTCCCTTTCTCTTTTTCGCCCTTCTAGTCTTTCCTTTCTTCTCAGTGTCTTCGGACTCCCAAACCGCCAAAATGAGCAGCCGTAAGTCCACCTGTATCCGCTGTTCGACGTGTCCAATGGACGCAGGGAAGCTTCCTTGCCACTGCAACTCTCATTGTGAGATGGCCGTAAGTTGGATCAGTGACTGACCCGTGAAATAAACAGTACGGTTTCTCGACCTCGTGAAGCCGTTCGTGCCGTTCCTCCCCGAGGTCCAGCAGCCGGAAACGAAGGTCCCTTTCAACCAAAAGCTGATGTGGACGGGTCTGACGCTTCTGATTTTTCTGATCATGAGCCAGATGCCGCTGTACGGCATCGTCTCGTCCGACACGTCGGATCCATTGTACTGGCTGCGAATGATGATGGCCAGTAACCGGGGTACGCTCATGGAGCTCGGTATCACACCCATCATCTCGTCCGGCATGGTCTTCCAGCTTCTTGCTGGCACGCACATGATTGATGTCAACCTGGACCTCAAGTCCGACCGGGAGCTATACCAGAGCGCACAGAAGCTGTTTGCGGTTATCCTGTCCATCGGCACAGCTACCGTTTACGTGTTCACAGGTCTTTACGGCCCGCCGTCGGATCTTGGTGCTGGCATCGTGTGCCTGCTGATCCTGCAACTCGTCACGGCTGGCATGATTGTCATTCTGTTGGACGAGCTTCTGCAGAAGGGCTATGGCCTTGGAAGCGGTATTTCGCTGTTCATCGCCACCAACATCTGCGAGTCGATTATGTGGAAGGCTTTCTCGCCCACGAGCTTCAACACCGGCCGTGGCCCCGAGTACGAGGGCGCCGTCATCGCGCTCTTCCACCTGCTTCTGACGTGGCCCAACAAGCAGCGGGCGCTGCAGGAGGCTTTCTATCGCCAGAACCTGCCCAACGTTATGAACCTGCTCGCCACGCTCGTCATCTTTGCCGCCGTCATCTATCTGCAGGGGTTCCGCGTGGAGATCCCTGTGAAGTCGTCGCGCCAGCGTGGTGCCCGCGGCTCGTACCCCATCCGTCTCTTCTACACGTCCAACATGCCCATCATGCTGCAGTCGGCACTCTCATCCAACATCTTCCTTATTTCGCAGATGCTGTACTCGCGCTTCTCGGAGAACCTGTTGGTGCAGCTGTTTGGCATCTGGGAGGCGAAGGACGGCTCGGCTCAGCTTTCGGCGACGTCTGGCCTCGTGTACTACATGTCGCCTCCCTTGAACTTCAAGGATGCTCTCCTGGACCCGATCCACACTGTCGTCTACATTGCCTACATGCTCACGGCATGCGCCGTGTTCTCCAAGACATGGATTGAGGTTTCTGGATCTAGCCCCCGCGACGTGGCCAAGCAGCTCAAGGACCAGGGTCTGGTCATGGCCGGTCACCGCGACCAGAGCATGTACAAAGAGCTGAAGCGGATCATTCCCACGGCTGCTGCCTTTGGTGGCGCTTGCATCGGTGCCCTGTCTGTGGCCAGCGATCTTCTTGGCGCCCTTGGCTCCGGCACGGGCACCCTTCTTGCTGTTACGTAAGTCTTAAGCCACCACCGATTCTCGTGTCCCTCCACGAGCTTCAAGTGAGACCTGTGTCCCGTTGCTAACAGACGCGTTTACAGGATTATCTACGGCTACTTTGAAATTGCGGCTAAGGAGGGTGATCTCAGTGGTATGAAGGGGATGGTTATGGGTTAAGCCACGATCGTCAGAACGACGCGGTGTTCGTACACCGAGAGTCGATGCACACTATTTATATGATGGCAGCGGCTCCTACGTCGCGATCGAAGTGGGTCGGTTCGCGTGTATCAACAGTTTCGCATTAGGCAAAGGGAGGGCTTCATAGGAAATCAAGAAAGGGCCTTTTGGTAAGGCTGAAGTCTTGGATCTCGCCGGCGGCGAGGAGTCTAGGGCAGAGAAAACAACACTTAAACCGAAGGGAAAGACGGGGCATGGGAGTCAATATATTCCATGTCTCACGATGTATGCTTGAGCAGAGATAAAACAGGGCTGTGTTGATCGCTATTGGTGCACAGCTCTCAAATATGTGAGACGCATGTATGTACGTGCCGATCTGGCTCTGCTGATACGATACAACAGAAGCATTGGTGCGTTTAATTATGTCGGCAGTATGCCGACTGGCTAATCGAAACAAAGTAAGACGAGGGTCGAATAATGGTGCGTTCCGCGAATGGACAGCTGAGAGATCAGTTACGGAGCACGAGTACGAAGTACGGAGTACTCGTAAATTGAAGTAGCCACAGTTGTGAACACACAAAGGGGTACAAATCAGAAGATGAGACAGCCAAGGAGCAAGGGACGAGGGCAGACTAGGAATGTCGCCTGCACAGTTGGCTGGTAGCCGCGACGACAATGCAGAGGAATGGCTAATACTACGGAGTACGGAGAATGTAATGCGAACAAAAAGGAAAGCTGCCCTGGCCAGTCAGATGGCTGGCAGTTGATGAGCGGGAAAACAATGTGACTAGTCTCTACGCCGTATGCAGGAAACGGTACCGCAGCACATCTCCAAGCTGATAGTCGTAATGCTGGCGGTAAGGAAAGGCATATATGGAGTAGCGTTACGTGTTATTTGAAAGGCTGGTTAGATGGTATCAATGGGTGGCCACGTACGGACGGCCTAGAGCCTTTTGGGATAGCGGTCTGAAGGACAATGATGTTGTTGTCTGTACGACTGACAATGTCTGACATCATTTTGCAACGACTCTGGGTGCTGAAGCCGGTCTTCGCAGCAGCATCTTTAGGGATGTGTCGAAAGTCGTCAGGGAGCGGGGCGCAGGTTACATAGATTACGGAGCCGTACACGCAATAAAGTAATAGCGTGGCGACTACGATCACGGGCTGGCAGGAGCGACCTGCCGACAAGATCAGCTGCAGGATTTGGCCTCGTTCGAGCTTACTATGCTGGCCTGGCGTCCATCGCCCCTGCTGCCGATGAGCGGCGCTGTTCAGTTTTCCTGTGGGCCCCTTCCTCGAGAAAAAGACACGGTCGCGGCGAGCGGAAAGAGCGGAGGACTGCCGCAGGACTAGTGTATTCGGCCGCCGTATCTGAGTCGTATTGTGCTGTCGTTTTAGGCTGTGGCAATCGGCCTGCCTGCATATCGAAGGTGGTATTTCGTTGCGCTCTCTGCGAGAACTAATGGTATCTTGTTATCGCCAGGGCTCGTTTTCGTTGCCTTCTCCACCTCCACATGCCAAAAGGCCTGCCGCGCCGGGATCGAGCTAGTCCTCCCTCCGCCCCTCCATACTCATTACATTGTACGGAGTACATGTACCGCCTGCAGAGGCTGACTAGTATTATAGGACAGACTGAGCTATAGGTGGGCCTAGTGACCGCTTTACCGCTTATACTCTCGTCTTTTTCTCGGCCTGCTGCTCTTTTTTGGATATTTCTCTCTTCTCTACTGCCAAAGGCTCTGCGGCCACCAGCCTTTTTTTCCCGCACCCATTCCGTCTGCCCCATCCCTCTATCTTCCTTGCCGGCTTATGGGGTTCCCTCCGGCTGGCCGCTTTTCCTTTATCCTTCATCGCTTCAACGAATCGTCCGCTGCTGCGTGGGATCAGCATGGGACAGCCGTCCTGTTCGTGGCCAATATGGCGCGTTGACGATTTCACCGTCTGCTTCCAGAGAGAGTAAGTCCGGTCCTGCGCCTTCTCACTGCTGTTTGCCCTTACTGACACTGCTGTGCTCAAGCTATCTCAAGACCCTTTTTCCCGCCATCATCATCTCCATCTCTTTTCTCATTGTCCTCTCACAGACGCTTCTGCGTGCGGTCAAGTTAAAACGGACGACGAACTACCGGGCGCTTCGAACCGATCTTGACCACACCGCATTGCCTCAGGCAGACTCAATTGACAGTGAGGACGACACCGTTGCTGCTGTGGCAAGTCGCTCGGCAGACGATGCCGATGCCGATGACGATGACGATGACGACGGCCTTTCCATCAACACTGGCCGCAACACGCTCGTCCGCACAATCACAAAGGGCTCGATCGTCCAGGCCGACACACCGGTCGGCCAGACTCTGTCTATCGTCGTCGAGGATCTTGCCATTGCCGGCCTTGTCGCCGTGAATGCCATCGCTCTCGCTACAGGTGCCTATGGTGGCAGTCGTTACGGCGCCCCCGAGAAGGGCAAAGGCTCCATTGCGGCCGTGGTTGGACTGCTTCTCTGGGTATATGCTTTTGTTCTGGTCACGCTTCGTCTGGTGTTGGTCAAGACGCAATGGCGCATTTCGCATCTCTGGAACCATACTGCCATTATCTATTTCCTGCAATGGCTCATGGATTCCGTCATCTGCCGCTCTGTGATCATTCACCCGACATCCCGCACTGTTGAGGTGCTCGTCATTGTCGAGTTTGCCCTGACATCACTCCTCTTCTTTATGGCTATCACCACGCGGAAGGGCAACAAAACGGTGCTTCTTGAGTGGGAGGATGGCGTGCCGCCGTCGCGGGAGAGCCTTGCCTCTTTGTTCTCGCATTACACATTCTCGTGGGTTGACAGTATCGTCTGGGACGGCTACCGAGAACCGTTGGAGATGAGCCGAGTCTGGAATTTAGACCCCAAGGACAAAGCAGCTGCCGTGCTCTCACACTACCGCCGGATGCAGAAGCGGGCGTCGTTAGCCGCCCATCTGCTCTTTTTTTTCAAGGGAAGTTTGGCCGTCCAGGCCGGATGGGCCATTATCTCCGGTATTTTCACCTTTGCGCCAACTATGTTGCTGAAGGCTATTCTCGAGTACGTCGAGGATTCCAAGGGCGCACCCATCAATGTTCTGTGGCTCTATGTTTTCCTCCTGCCCATCACCGATCTGGTGCGTGCCGTTGGTGACAACCGCGCGCTCTGGGTAGGCCGCAAGATTTGCATCAACATCCGCGCCATCCTCGTGGGAGAGATTTATGCCAAAGCTCTTCGTCGCAAAGCTGCTACCGGCAAAGACTCCGTTCTGGGCGGCAGCGAGACCAAGGATGCAACACACGCCAAAGATAAGAGCTGGATAGCGTCCATCCGGGGCAAGCTGGGCCTTTCGGCTAAGAAGAAGGGCGCTGCGGATTCGGCAAATGGAGCCAGCAAGAAGGCCGGCAGCAGTGCGGACGCATCTGCCCAAGATGAGCAGGCTAATATCGGCACCATCATCAACCTGATGTCTGTCGACAGCTTCAAGGTCTCGGAGGTCACGGCATATCTGCACTATCTCGTGGCTTCTGCGCCCACCCAGCTTCTCGTTTCCGTCTATCTTCTCTACCGTGTCATGGGCCTGAGTGCGATCCCCGGCTTCATTGTCATGGCCGCCCTTCTGCCCATCAACATTGCGTTTGCCAAGGCTTTTACCACGACCCAGAAGAAGATCATGGCTGCTACCGACAAGCGAATCCAGACCACGAACGAGGTGTTGCAGAACATCCGCATTGTCAAATACTTTGCCTGGGAGCTTCGTTTCGGCAAGATCGTCGACGAAAAGCGTCGCATCGAGCTGCGAGCCCTGCGCAAGCGCTACACCATCTGGGCATGTGCCGTTGCCATTTGGAATACTGTGCCCATCCTGATTACCTTCTTCTGCTTCCTCGTCTACACGGTGATCGAAAAGAAGCCGCTGTACCCATCGGTCGCGTTCACGGCCATCTCGCTGTTCATGCTGCTCCGGTATCCGCTCGACCAGCTCGGAGACATGATCGCCCACGTCCAGGAGTCCCGAGTGTCGATCGATCGTATTGAAGAGTTCCTGTCCGAGGAAGAGACAGAGAAGTTCATCCAGCTTGGCGAGGAGAACATTGACGAATCCACCGGCGAGCGCGTCATCGGCTTCCGAAACAACGCCAGCTTTATCTGGGGCGGCAGGGATGTCGTGGCCAGCGACGGCACGACGGCGTTCCGGCTGATGGATCTGAACGTGGACTTTGCAATTGGCAAGCTGAACGTGATCACGGGACCGACGGGATCGGGCAAGACATCTCTCCTGATGGCTCTGCTTGGCGAGATGACGCTGACCCACGGCCGGGTCTACCTCCCTGGTGGGCGCAGCCGCGAGGATATCCGACCCGATCCAGAGACGGGGCTCGCGGAGTCGTGTGCTTATGTTGCGCAGCAGGCTTGGCTGGTCAACGGGACGATCCGGGAGAACATTCTGTTTTCGTCCGCGTTTGACGAGCAGCGTTACCGTGACGTTATCGTGGCCTGTGCTCTGGAGCACGATATCGACGAGACCCTGGACAACGGTGACGAGACGCTCGTGGGCGAGAAGGGCATCACGCTGTCGGGCGGCCAGAAGCAGCGCATCTCGCTTGCCCGTGCGCTCTACTCGAACTCGCGTCATCTGCTCCTGGACGACTGTCTCAGCGCGGTCGACTCGCACACGGCTAAATGGATCTTCAGCAACTGCATCCGGGGCCCGCTGATGCGCGGCCGTACCTGCATCCTGGTTACGCACAACGTCTCGCTCTGTGTGCCACACTCGGAGTACTCGGTCATCATGAACAATGGCCGCATTGCTGACCACGGCCCGACCCAGGGCCTCATTGACGCCGGAAAATACGGCGATGAGGTGCAGCAGAAGTCGCTTCCCGGCTCGGCCACCATCTCACGGATCCCGTCGCGTGTCCCCTCCAGCGTCGGCGACGAGGCGGAGAATGAGACGAACGGAACACTTGTGGACGACGGCGGAGCGGCTGACCCGTCGCTGCCTAGCACGACTACTAACAGGACGAAGCGGGCTAAGCAGGCGGCGACGCGTCAGGACTCGACCGAAGAGACAAAGTCTACCGGAGCTGTCAAGTGGTCTGTCATGAAGCTATATCTCTCGTCCATGGGCTCCTGGTGGTTTTGGCTTGTGGCCGTGCTCGTCTTTTCCACGCAGCAGTTCAGTCTGGTGGCATCCAACCTGTGGATCAAGCAGTGGGCGAACCAGTACACGGAGGAATCGGCTGACGCTGCGGCAACGATCTGGAACTCGACGGTGTCCGTGGCCACCGGCCTTGGAAGGCAGCCTTCAATATACGCTCGGTCTATGGTGCAGCATGTGATGTCGCCCGACACGTCATCGTATCTCTCTACGGTGTCGCAGACGTGGATGCCCAAGAACTCGACTGTCTTCCAGGCCGATTCTGCACTCGCGGCAGCTATGGACCCCCAGGTCAACGTGCAGTACTATCTGCTGATCCTTGCCATCATCGGCATTGCCGGATCAGTGCTTGCCTTTGTCCGCGATATCTGGATCTTCTTCGGCTCGCTGACGGCATCGTGGAAGCTGCACGACCAGCTGATGCACTACGTGGCCTTCTCCAAGTTCAAGTTCTTCGACGTCACGCCGCTCGGCCAGATGATGAACCGGTTCAGCAAAGACCTCGAGGCCGTCGACCAGGAGGTGGCGCCTGTGGCGATCACCGTGATGACGTGTGCGCTCGGCATCGTCATTACGATTGTGCTCATCGCCATGATCACGCCTGGCTTCCTGGTTGCCGCCCTGTTCATCACGGTGCTGTACGTGCTTCTGGGCAAGTTCTATCTGGCCTCGTCACGTGACCTGAAGCGTCTTGAGTCGGTGCAGCGCAGCCCGCTCTTCCAGCAATTTGGCGAGACGCTGTCGGGCGTGACGACCATCCGGGCGTACGGTGACGAGCGGCGATTCGTGCGTGACAACCTGGCACGCATCAACGCGCAGCTCCGGCCGTTCATCTATCTCTGGGCGGCTAACCGCTGGCTCTCGCTGCGGACGGATCTGCTGGGCAACATGGTCTCCTTCTTTGCCGGTGTGTTTGTGATTCTGAGCCTAGGCCTGATCGACGCCGGGTCAGCGGGCATCTCGCTGAGCTATGCGATCGGGTTCGCGGAGAACATCCTGTGGCTGGTGCGGCTGTATGCGATGAACGAGCAAAACATGAACTCGGTTGAGCGCATCAAGGAGTACCTCGAGGTCGAACAGGAGGCGCCTGCTGTCGTGGAAGACTGCCGGCCACCGGCCAACTGGCCGAGCCAGGGTGCAGTCGAATTTGTGGACTATACGACGCGCTATCGGGAAGACCTCGACCCGGTTCTGCGGCATCTGACCTTCCGCATCGCCCCGCACGAGAAGGTCGGCATTGTCGGCCGCACTGGTGCTGGCAAGAGCTCGCTGGCTCTGGCGCTGTTCCGCGCGCTCGAGGCAGAGACTGGCAAGGTGCTCATCGACGGGCTCGATATTGGCCAGATGGGGCTCCGGGATCTTCGCGAGGCCATTACTATTGTGCCGCAGGAACCGACGCTGTTCATGGGCACGATTCGCAGCAACCTGGATCCGTTTGACAACTATAGCGACGAGGATATTTTTGCGGCCCTTCGCCGTGTGCATCTGATCGGGCCAGACGAGCGGATTCCCGGCGAGCCGCTCGGAGAAGCGACTGCCGCAGCAGAAGGCAGCAGCAGTAGCAGCGAAGCAGACGTTCCGACGCCAACATCGCCAACAAACAAGAACGTCTTCCTCGACCTGTCGACAAGCGTGGCCGAGTCGGGCTCGAACCTGTCCCAGGGACAGCGCCAGCTCCTGTGTCTTGCACGGGCGATGCTGAAGAACCCCAACGTGCTGCTAATGGACGAGGCCACGGCATCGATCGACTATGCAACAGACGCCAAGATCCAGGACACCATCCGCGAGCTGACATCGACCATCATCACAATTGCCCATCGGCTGCAGACGATTGCCGACTACGACAAGGTCCTGGTGTTGGACCGCGGCTCGCTCGTCGAGTATGACCACCCGTGGAAGCTGATGAGCAAAGAGGACGGTGTCTTCCGGTCGATGTGTGACATGAGCGGTGACTACGAGACGCTGGCCAAGATTGCCAAGAAGGCCTTTGAAACGAAGACGCTGATCGACGTGGAGCAGCAGTAGAAGGAGAAGGTAAAGAAAGAAGGACAGGAGTAGAGAGAAACAAGGGAACAGTTGGATATATAAAAGGGGAGACAGCCGTAATACCTGTATATCTCATGTCGTTGATTGGTCCCGGATCAAGCCTTCGAAGGCTCGGGCCTGCATTTACCGCAGTTCAGTTATGTCTTGGCGTTTTAGCGTGTGGGCTGAATAGAAATATAAATCGTGCCGTCACGTGGCCTCGACCTCCGTCAACTCCGTCCATGTCGACTAATACGGGGCAGCAGTCTGCCATCGCCATCATCCAGTAGGACATCATCTGCCGCGCTTACTGACGGCTCGGGCCCTGTCCTGACGGAGAATAGGCCGTCTGCATCTCTCAGTGGTAATTTGCTACCGAGACTGTTCGAAAACCAAGAAAGAAAAACAAACTAGATAGATAGATAGGGGGCAGAGGAGAAAAGAATGGAAGAAATGAACGAACAGATCCAACAAGCACGCCTGGTAGCCAGGCCGTGTATATGATGGCCCCCTTCGAAAACTCGTTTTTTTGGTTGTTTTCATTGTCTGAACCGCCCATTGACCAGCGCTCCCAATCTGCTCCAAGCCACTCCTCCAAGCGACAGTCATTAATTCATGCAGCTTCTTCGACCGAAGCCGTCTTTTCTGCCTCGCCTGCAATTTCGTCAGTTTCAGCAGCAGCCTCCACTTTGGGCTCAGCCTTGGCCAGCGTCTCGCCTACAGCCTCGGGGACTGCTGACGCCACCTCCTCGCTCTCTTGTTCGACCGTCTCTTCAGTCTTCTCTTCAGTCTTCTCTTCCGTCTTCTCTTCGGTGTCCAGCTTTGTCTCCTCAACCACATTCGCCTCTTCTGTCGCTTCGACCTTTGCTTCTGCCGCCTCTTCCTTCGACTCTTCATTGGGCTCTTCTGTTGGCTCCGCCTTCGACTCCTCAACCTTCGCAGGCGCCTCAACGGCAGGGACGTCACCATCCTTTACACTAAGCACATCCGCTTCGGGATCGATGCTGAACAGCGTGAATGTCGTCGAGAAGCTTAGCGTTACGGGTACAGAAGCAGCCGCAGCCGTGGTCGCACCGGTCGCTGCCACCACTGCAGCAGGACTGGCGCTCGACCGTGGTGCACGTCTCTGGGGACCGCGGGCACGACCCTTGCGGGCATCCAGAAGCGGTGCTTTCACGGCTTCTGCAGCGACCTCCTCTGCCGGGGCAGCTGCGTCCTCCTTCTTCGGCGCCTGCGGTCCGATCTTGAGCTTCTTGTTCAGATCTGACATGAAGCTCGCTTGCAGTTGTGCGATCTTGCCACCGGCAGGCCGAGCCGGAACAGGCGGCTTAGGCTTGGCTGCCAGTTCTGGTCCCTTGTCTGTGGCGGGACGCTGCGCCGGCTTCACAGGACGAACTGGAATCAAAGGTTTGGCTTTCTCTGAAACGGTGGGTTTTGTGTGGCCGGCCTCTTCTACCGTTGCCGCCATCGGCTTCGGCCGAATGGGAACAAGCGGTAGAGCCTTCTCCGGGTCCGTTAGTTTCCTCGTGGGTCTCCGCGGAACGAACGGCTTCGTCGCTTCGACCGGGGACGCATCGTCGTCCTCAGGACGAGACACAGTGGTCTCGAGCTGCAAGCTCTCGGGAGCATCTTCCCAGACATCACGGCTGGGAAACCGCTGTCCCATAGCCGGACGCCGGAGGTTGCTGCTGCTGCTGGCAGCAGAGGTAGGTGAGCTAGTACCAGCCATGACTCCCTTGGTTAGATGCGACTGCTGAGACCACGTGCTTGGCGGTTGGGGTTTCCGGTTTTCGATAAACGAGTTTGCCCCTTGTAACTCGTTTTCGGCAAGCTCCTCCTGACGTCTTGCGAATGCTTGTGCTGCAGTCTCTCCGTCACGGGCCGAAATATTTGATGCCGAGACTGTCTCGGCTAAAACATCCGGTGTTGAGACTTCGGCGGTGTACAGGGCGCTACTCGGGGCGTCTTCCCAAATATCCCGACTAGGGAACCGACCTGTGCCCTCCTCGCCGTTGGCTGACTTTGACGAGATCGAGCGGGGCTTCTCAACCTTCTCGTCGTCTTTCGGAAACAGCGGCTCGTATTCTTCCTCCGCTGTGACTTCTGTCTCCTCCGGAATATGCGAGCTCTTGTAGATGCTCGAGGGACGACTGTTCGGGCGACTGTTCGGACGACTGTTCGAGCGACTAGCTACCCGACTACTTGAACGGCTGCTCGAACCCTCGTAGCTCAAACGACGCTCATAAGCAGGCTCGACGGCAGGCTCGTGGTTGTAGGCGGACGGGTCCTTAGCGACCTCGTCAGGAGCTAAAATGGGTGCTTCGTCTTGAGGTTCTCCGTCGACAATGTAGTCTTCAGTAAACATCACACTCTTACGCCGGGTTGAATCGTCGACGTGAATGGTGGTGGGTTGATCTTCGACCGCCTGGGAAACGGAGATTCCAGGAGTTGCAGAAACAGCCAACTTCGGCACGGTTGCTGTGACAGACGACTGGCTGCCAAAGCTGCTGGATTTGCCCTTGGGTGCCACCGATGCGGGGCGTGAAATCGACTCCTCAATGGCTTGCCAGCCCACCTGTTCGCTAGGGGTGCCGTTTGAGTCATGGGCGCCTGTGGGACTTGGGTTAGTGGCGGATACAAGCCTGAAACGAGATTATGCAGTTCCGGTCCACCTCCTTCTCGTCCACTTACCAACGCCATTGCCATGGCTGGCCGTTTCGTACACAATCTTGTTGAGCTCATCACTCGACTTGGAAAAGTCCTTTGCGCGGTCCGAGTGGTGGGGTGTGCGCTCGAGCCGAGCCAGCTCGGGGTGCTTGCTGTAGTAGTCCTTCTCCAACTTGTCGGACGGGAGGACGCCGTGGCCATGCAGGCCGTAGCTGCCAGGAGGCAGGTCGACAAAGTTGCGAGAGCTGCGCTTGGACTGACTCTTCTTGGCCAGGAGCTCGCCCGTCTCGTCGGCCAGAGCCGGAGAGGGAGCCTGGACGTCGCCGGCATTGGGGTACATTGGAACCTGGAGGCCAATCTCAGGAATGCCGTGTTCGTCCTCCTCGATGGCGTCATCCGAGGGAAACTCTTGACTGGCGGTGCTTGCCTTCTTCTTCGTCGGCTGGGGCGTGGCATCGTCGCCATTGGCAAGCCCAATTCCGAAGGAGGCTGCTTTCTCACTGTTGGTGTGCGTTACTGTGGCCACGCGCGCTTTAGCGCTCGAAGCCGGGAGTGACGGCTTCGGTGCATGCAGCTTAATGTCGTCCCCGACAGTCCTGGTGTGTTCAGGAGAAGATGCATGAATGCTGCCCGCCTGTGATTTGGAGGTGCTCAACTCCTCCACAGCGGCGTATTCTAGACCTTCCTGGCCGAGCGAAGGGAGCTCGACGGAGTTGCCATGGTCCACGGAATCGGACAGCTTTGAGGAGCCATTGTTGTGGAGGAGCAGAGTGCCACCGGGGCTCTTTGACAACGTCTCGCTAAGCGGAGACGGGGCGAACCGGTCTTTACTTGGTGACAGAGAGCGCTCGATGGCTCGGTGGATAGGGCGTGGCGGCACCTTTGGGGTGTCCGCTGATCTTTCTGGGCGCGGAGGCACGGCAGGTATTTGCTGGGTGGCTGTGGCAGACATTTTGCAGATATTATGAAGAGGAGGACATGTGGTTGAGTTCGAGGAGTTGAGGGAGTTGCGAGGAGCTGCCTAATAGAGTCAGACTGAGAATTCTGGGCGAAGCCGATATAAGACTCGACAGAAGGGAGAGCGGATAAGATGGACACCAATGGCAATGATTGTTGGTGGTGCGGTGGAGTTTGACCGGTGTAAGACCCAAATAGAAAAAGAAGAAGACACAGGTGTTATAGTATTATAGCAGATGAAGGACAGAAAGATAAAGCGAAACACCATAGAACACAGGCCGGCGCTATTTGCACAAGCAACAGTGGGGGTGATTATTAGAGGGTGAAGGAGAATTGAGAGGCAACAAGAAATGAGCGATGCATCGTCTTGGGCTCAAACAGGTGAGTGCCTAAGAGATAATGGGAGAGTTTAGGGGCGGTGAAGGACACGAAGCTGGTGGTTTCTGATAAGGAAGGACGTGCTAGGGAGAGACGACGACAGAACGCAGAGGTAGGGTGAGGCTCTTGGTATTGCTTCTGCTGACGCAACGGCCCCGCCAGTATTGACAGATGCAATGCCAACAGTATGCATTGCCAACGCTTGGGCTACAAGCTGCATATTCTGCTCCCAAGTGTACAAGGTTGCATGGAAGAAGAGAGCCGTGAGCAAGCGAAAAGGCCAACCAAGAAGAATCTGGAGTCAAAAAGCGACGACCGATAAGGTGCAGGGGAGGTTGAAAGATGGATTGGCATATTGAGTAGAGGGTAGTGCAGAAAAGAGGTGTCTGCCAAATCATGATCACGGCAAATGCGATGCGTCATGGGCTGGCAAGAACGTAGGGCTTACCTGAAGCTTTGACAAGAAAGCAGTCGGTGCTAGTTGTGTGGTAGGACGTCGGGTCAGTCAATTGAACTTATCGGCGGGTGGAAGTAGGAAAAGAAAAAGGCTAGAAGATTGGAAGACTGATGATGAGGCCAAGTGAGCAAACGAAGAAGAAAGGAAGCAGCTCAATGAAGTATGTAGAGACGAAGGCAGGAGGCAACGAGGAACAGTAACGATACAAAGCGAGACACTGTGCGTCTTACAGCAGAGGATGGTGGGGCACGACCCAACAGGCAAGACAGGCCACTCACAACAAGGATAAAAGGGCACCAGGCGCACCACCTGGCAAATACCTCACTAGCCCTTGGCTGGGTATTCAGGTACCCAGTTGTAAAGATACGGAGTAGTACGCTTTGAGAGCAGTGGCAGAGGCGGTGCTAGCAGTAGCCAGGAGTAGCAGTACCCCAACTCCTCCGCTCTGCTCGTACAAAGAGTGGGTCTAAAAGGGCGATGGGCAGCCGTGCGAGATCCATTGCAGCACCGTCCCGCAGCAAGCTTCGTTTTGGATCACGAACCGGACTCTAAAATTTGCTGACCGTCTTTTCGTCACACCGGCAAGCCCGAGGCACAGTTGCCGTGTGCCGGATGGACAGAGCAGACTGGGCAGCAGACTGAGCAGTTTGGACAGAAGCACCGGGTGCCGGGAGGTATGCAAGCGGCAAGGCAGCTCGACCTTGACAGATCGCTCCAGCTCAAAGAACCGGGAGCATATGATGAACTTGCTAGGCTTGGTTGTTCTTCTATGTACGACTAATACCGCCTCCACTGCCCGCCTGAGGCGCAGCGGGTCTTCGCTCCACCTTGTGACCTGCAAAAAAAGCAGCGTTTCGCGGTCGGTGGGATTCCAGAAGCTGTCGCTCGGTTCGATTTTTGGACGATGCCTGCATGTTTGCAAGAATCTGACCCAGGCCGGTACGCGGCCTGCTGTCATTTCTACACGTACACGCAGTGCTCAGGCACGCATTCTTCTTGGCACCGGTTCTGGCCTCTTCACTGTGCCGATCAGCTTCTCGTTTTTCCTCTGCCATTGATGCGAATAGGATTCCCCCCAATAAGCGGGGCTCTAAAATAGTGCCGTCCTTTCTGATCGCCAACAAAGGAGCTGAGATATGCAGGCGCCACCAATGGTTCACTGCAACCGACTCAGAGCTGCGTACTGCCGTGAGCCGGGAGACGGACAGGGACAGTCAAGGCACGGCGGTAGTGCCGGATTGCATGGTTCAAAATCTACACACGTCTCGTCTTCTCCGTGTCGTACGTGTCCTATTTCTATTCTTTCTCCAGTGACTAGATCGGTCATTTTTCGTTATTACGCTGAAGACCTTGGCAGTGGAAATCCCATTGCCTTGACAGAATTTGCAATCCCCACATGCTCGTCATCACGGCGATCTTATGACGTCTGGACGGCGACCAATATGCAACGAAGAAAAAATAAAGAAAAATATGCAAGCGTGCAAGCATGCATGACGAGACATAACGCCATGCCCTTGAGGAAACCCTATCCTGCCCAGTCGTTCGCCCCCTTCCCAAAAATATCCCGAAAGAAAAGGGAAAGGACGTGAAATAGAAAACGAAAGATACCAGAAATAAGAAAAGAAAGACCAAAATATAGAAGGCCGCGAAACGCGGAGAGACGTCCAAATCATTTCTCAATACCGCATGAGATTGGCAAAAATCGTAATCTTCTCCAGCTCGGCCTCGGCGCCACTCTGCGGCTCTTGGTCCTTGGGCAGCCCCGCGATCACCTGCACCTGGATGACGTTGACGCCGGGGTGCAGGTTGACCTCGTATAGCTTGCCGCCCGCCTCTGCCGGATCTGCTGGGGCCGTAGCCAGGGGCGCAGACTGGCCCAAAGTCGCACCGTTCGCAATCACAAACAGCTTGAAAGGCCGCTGTTGCTGCTGCACCGACGGCGCCAGGCTGACGATCAGCTGATGGCGCCATTGGCCCTGGGGAATGTTCAGCGTCACAGACCGCTGCGTCAGCTTGGGGTGTGGCGGCAGCTTCAGCTCGAACAGCCGGTCACCCGTGTTGATCGTAGGGTGTGTCCGCATGGCCAAGTTGGTGATCAGGGGTTCTGTCACGCGTCTGTCAACAAAACACGTATCTCGTGACAAACAGAAAGAATAAACGTACCTCGGCCTGGCTCGCGGAACTTGGACTCATGAGCAGGTCGTACAACGGCCGCAGGCGTCGGAGCTGGGGCCGGAACCGGAGCTGGAACCGGAGCTGGAACCGGAGCTGGAACCGGAGCTGGAACCGGAGCCGGAACCGGAGCCGGAACTGGAGCCGTGCTTCCGTTTGTCTGAGGCGTGCCGGGAGCGTCAGTTGTCTGCACGTTCTGAACTGCTGCTGGCGCGGCTGCTCCGTTCGGCAGGGTTGCTGCTACAGGCACCCCGTTGGGACGCTGCTGCGGCGCAGGCGACGCGCGTGCTGAGGTCTCCTGTTTCGTGCTGGCCACGACAGACGGACTCGGAGAGACGCCGGGTGTGCTTCTCGTCCTTTCCAGCGCCGGGTGTGAGGCTAGAGTGGTCGGCGCTCCTCCGCCCACCAACTTCGGGCCCGGCGATTCGGTGGAGCCGCCGCGGGCATTGGCAACGTGGATCGTGATCTTCTTCGATGCTGGCGCCGGCGTCTCTTGGCCTTGGGTCATCTTGATCTTAATCTTTGTCTGTGGCGGATCGGAAACCACCTCTTTGGCCTTTTTGATCTCGCCCCGGAACATGATCTGCAGAGCATCGCGCAAAAGTCAGCGACCGAATTTCCCACCCGTAGAAACGTTGACATGGAATCCTACCTCTAGCTCCTTGGCCATGTTGGCGATCGGGCTCTTGTCCTCGTTGTAAAAGTATGCATTCTCCCACAGCAGGCTGGCTTTTTCCTCAAACGAGGCCCAGTTCTTGAAGTCGCTGACCCCCGACCGGTCCGATCGGCTACGGATGCCCTTCACGAGCTTCTGCAGCTTCTTCAACGACAGCGGATCCTTGATCAGCTGGAAATAGTCCTTTAGCGAGCGGGGTGGCAGGTTTAGGAAGGGTTCAAAATAGGCATAGCTGTCGTCGCTGTCATGTTGTTAGCACACGAAACAGGGACTGCAGGGGTTGTGTATCGTAGCTCACTCCTCGTCTGTACGTCGAATCGCCTCCTCGACAATCTTCTCCTGCGCCTGCTGGAAGGTGAGGCCCTTGTACGGCACACCGGCATATTCGTGGTCTGGCTTCGCACTGACGCTGGTTGCCCGCTCTGTTGTCGATTTGCGCCGTCCACGCAGTGATGCCTCTCGCGAAGCCGTTGAGGAATTTGGTCGGCGCGATGCTGGCCTGGCATCGTCGTCCTCGTCGCCGTCTGCCTCGTCTTCCTCTCCCTCTTCCTCAGACTCGTGGGCATCTGCCTCTTCCGCTTCCGAGTCGGCCCCTGCGCCGACATCACCGTCTTCCTCAGCCACTTCTGCCTCCGGTCCGTCATCTGCTGCCTCCTCCTCCGCATCGTCCTCTGCCGGTGACTCCTCCGGAAGATCGACCGGGATGGGGGTGGGAAGCGCGGAATATCCGTGAATCAGCTTGTAGGCCGGGTTGTGCTTCACCATGAAGTTGCTCGTGGCCTTCCGAATCCGCTCGGCGTCGTCGTATGTATGTGATGACCGTGGGTAAAAGTCCTTTGCGTTTTGCACCATGCGCTTCACATACGATTCTAGCTCGGCCAGGTTGGCAAAGTCGCCATTGCGCAGCTTCGTCTCAATCGTGCCAAGCGAGATGGGCATCCGGATGGCCTGATAGTATTCCTTGTTGCTTTCTTTTGGGAGCAGCTCCTCAAAGTACTTGGCCACGCGACGGCCGCTGCAATTGCACATTAGGCGCCGCAAAGACTGCCTGCATTGCTGGCCGTGGACGACTCACCTCTTGTCCCCCGTTCGCCGTATTTGCTCGAGAAAGGCGAGGCCAACCTCTGTCGTCGACGCTGCCGTTTCGCCATTGCGACGCTCCTCCTGTGGCTTGTTTGTGTCAGCCATTCAATTGCACTCTATCGTGTATGTGGTCACAGCAGTTGGAATATGCAAAAATGCTCGACGTCTCCAAAACCTGGGCGGTTCTGCGTTGTGCGCGCGCTGGAGGACGGAGCCGCCATATCGAGCTATTCAGAGCTGCCCAAAGCTTGCGCCGCAGTCTGCTCATCGCCCCTCTGTCGCCTGGCAAATAAACGAGCACCGCCGACAGTCGCATTCTCCATCCCGAACCCGCCGAAAAAAAAAAGGAGCTTGCGCCGCGCGCGCCAAAAATCATGGAAATCGCTGTTATCGCATCGCACGATACGCAGAGTCCAAGAAACTTACTACAGTGATTTTTTGCCGCTTGGAGGCGCGATCGTCCCCCTCAGCTCCAGTCGACTTGCGCTTCGATTCCATGGCTCGATGCACCAGGCTGGCGCAACCTTGAAGCACCAGGACAAAGTACAAGGTTCAAATATATGGTTCCAACTTCCCAGGCAATTGCCCAAAATGAGGCTCGCAGGCGGCTGTGTCTATTAGACCAGGCGGGACGTAATGCGATGGAGGATTTGGTGCTTAGGGAACCTGCAAAGGACGCGTTTTTTGCAGGGAATTTCCTGTTCTCTGACAGTCAGCAGAAACTGGAGCTTGTTCGGTGGTCCGTGCGGGTCTTCACTGAGTGCTAGAGGCAAACTGAGAAGTGCCCAGGCATCAAAATGTCCCTTTATGAGACACGCCACTGTCGCCACAAGTTCAGGACGTGCCTCGTCTGAGAGATCTGAGCGGAACCCGTGATCGACTGTTTTGATGACAGGACTGGACTGACGCGCACAATGTTCCCTTCTCGTGAATAAAAAGCACGTGACCCCAGTTAGCGATGTCACAGCTTGTCTAGCGCCCCCGCGTAGGCCTTGCTGGCCCGAGCGTCTCGTTTGTTTACTCTTAGGTGCTCCGAAACACGCAGCCTAGGAAACTAACTTCACGATTAAAGGATTTTGCCCCTCAGTTCTTAATGGTCCTCCCTTTTTTCCTCGCTTCCACTTGTTCACTCACTAGGCCTCTTCCCGAACCGCCCTTTCTGCTTCGAGCAGCTTTTCTTGGTGCGTCACTAGAGCCTGTCCGTCTCCCCTTTTCCTCCTTCAGGGGCCCGTCAATCGTCTTGGTCGTTCTCTGCATCGTCTGCATCCTACATCAACTAACGCGCTTCCCAGCCAAGCTCCTTTCTCACCACGTTTCCCTCGGCACTGCGAAACACTCCCTGCAGCACAAAACAGTGCGCCCCTGTACAAAGATGTCGACGCTTCAGGAAATGCGGCAGCTGGGCATCGACCCCTCACGTCGGAACGCACGGGCGCGCCCTCTGGCCGATGACGAACGAAAGGCTCTCGAGCCGTTCTTGGACAATATACATTACTCGCAGAGGTCTGCTTGCTTGCCCTGTCGCCACCCAGCTCTGTACTGACTTGGGGACCGTAGATACTCCGATGATGAATACGAATACCGACACGTGCTGCTACCGAAGCAGATGCTCAAGCTCATTCCGGACCAGTATCTCGACCAGAGCAAAAAGACCCTGAAGCTATTGTGGGAAGACGAGTGGCGGTCCATGGGGATTACACAGGTACTTGCTTGCGCTGAGCTGCGTGCATGCTACGATACCGTCTGCTGACATCCCGGCTAGAGCCTCGGCTGGGAACACTACGAAGTCCACGAGCCTGAGCCACACATTCTACTTTTCAAGTGAGTCTTGTCGCCCGCGCATGGTGGCGTTGCAGGCGAAGGAAGCGTGGAACGGAATGCTAACCGAGAGTGCGCTTACTCTGTTCCAGGCGGCCAATTAACTACCAACCACCTGCAAATTGAGCTACTGCCTTGCAGAGGTAGGCGACAAAAAGCGAATCGCATAGCGATCACGTCCCCGAGCGGCCTTTCCCCCGCGGCGGCCATACTCGACCTTTCTTACTGCCCACTCGGTTGCGTATGGCAGCACCCTATCTCAACAGACTTACGAACGCGGCCGTTGATTCTTAGTTTTTCCTTTGGGGTGGCGCTGGAGACGCAAGGGGATATGTCGAGGGGCACCACAAATGCGCCACCAAGACAGAAGCGCCGGAGCAGACGGGGATGGAAGTGCTGCAAATCGGCACTACTTGACAACAGCGGATGGCAGGAAGCTGGAAAAGGGCTGCTAGAAAGCGAATGGGCTTGCATAGCATTCTGTGGGCGCGCAGCCTTTCTGCAAATGGGTTCTTCCGGTTGGTGTTTCTTGGCTTCAGGGTTTCTCTCGGTGTTACTCGGATTGAAGAGTGCTGGATGGCTGTCGCAGTTGTATGATTATTGGCAGAGCGTGAGAAAAATCGGGCATGCTGATTGAATTTACGAGATTCGACTCGAGAAGAACGCACGGCGCATCCTTGCAGCCTGGTCCACTGTCGTCATTGAATGTGCACCTGACCAATGAATGTAATGAGCCCCATCTCAGCCGTTGTCCCGAGCCAAGCCTGTCAAACCGTCTGGCCTGACGAGGCCACTTTCACCGCATCTTACCAGTTTAAATCGTCGACGCATCTGCTGATTCTCGTGTCCGATCTGGACACATATCCTTAAGCTTTGCCTGCACTCGTCACGCTAAGTAGAAGCGCCTATGTCTTTCGATTTCAAATCTAGAATTGTTTCGAGAACCGTATGAGCTGCTTGGCATTTTAGTGTTCTTTGTCATCAAGTCTTCTGCAACGGTGGCCACATTCTCCGTCGACTACAAAACGTCCAAGTAGATCGTCGGTATTTGAGTGGGGCCCCCTTGCCGCTTTTTTTTGTTTCGCCTTTGGAGAGGTACATAACTTGCATTTACTACAATTATCCTTCAAATCATCATCTCGTTTGTATTATTGGTAGCCGGCTCTAGCAGCACTCTCCCATTCCAGCGCAGACCTCGTTCTCTTCAGGTGAGCATTCAGTGTTCTCATGGTGGCGTTTTGAGCTTGGACGACTGACGAATGTGATGTAACATAGATACAAGTACAGGGGCTTTGGCCAGCCATACATCCAATACCAGTTTCAGACCCAACAATTGAAACCGAGCGCATTTGCGCTGCTCCTGGGCCCTTGTGCCGTATCGTCCAACCTCTTCATCTGTTCTAGATGTGCCAGTTGACATATAAAACGAGCGTCTCCTGAAACCCGCCCGCCTACGTCGCATACCGTCGCTCCTTCAACGGGGAGACAAATCGAAGCAATGAAACCAGCTTCTAAACTTTTCTATCTGAACGTCTTTGCTCTTTGGAGTCCTTTGGGCTTCTGCCAAAACTCGCAAGATGCCTGCGTGGTATGCCACATATCAGACTCATCCTCGCCCCTCATCACACTCATATCCTAGTCTTCGTTGTCTATGCTTTTTTCTCGTTCGATGGCACGTTGTCATCTTGGGGCTGCTCTCCCTTCACGCTACTGGCAGCTCCGCCGCCAGATCTGCACCCTCACAGTACCACTTTGTTGTGTCTAACAAGTCCTACTATCAGATCTCACCGAAAGCCATAGTCTCTGACGCTTGTGCTTCCTACTCCACTCTCGAGAGGCTCAACGAAAGGGTCTTCCCAGCCGTGACCGATCTCACCAAGACAACTGACTTCTTCAGCCACTACCGAGTCAATCTTTTCCACAAAACATGCCCCTTCTGGAACGATGATGACGGCATGTGCGGCAACATTGCCTGTGCCGTGCAGACGCTAGAGAACGAGGAGGACATCCCAAAGATCTGGAGGGCCAGTGAGCTGGGCAAGCTCGAAGGCCCGAAAGCCCAGCACCCGGGAAAGCTGACCCAGAAGCAACTGCCGCAGAATCCACTGCGGGGCGGCTTGGGCGCAAATGTCGGCGAGAGCTGCGTGGTCGAGTACGACGACGAGTGCGACGAGCGCGACTATTGTGTGCACGAGGACGAGAGCGCCGGTTCCAAGGGCGACTACGTGAGCCTGGTGCAGAACCCGGAACGGTTCACAGGTTACGCAGGACAAGGCGCTCAGCAGGTGTGGCAGGCGATCTATCGCGAGAACTGCTTCCAGAAAAGCTCGTTCCCTCACTCGGCACAGCTGGGCTCTGGGCCACCGGCCAAGGGACCAGCAGCTCTGGACTTCCGGACGGTGCTTGAAGCCGCTGGCCGGCAGCATGCATTGGAGCAGCAGCGTCAGCAGATGCCCAGCACGCCGTTTGTAGCGATGACGGGCCTCGAGGTCGAGGACGAGTGCATTGAGAAGCGCGTTTTCTACCGACTCATGTCTGGCATGCACGCATCCATCAGCACGCATCTCTGCTGGGATTTTCTCAACCAGACCACCGGTGAATGGACGCCCAACGTGGAGTGCTACGCCAACCGTCTGCAAAAGTTCCCGGAACGCATCAGCAACCTGTATTTTAACTATGCCGTGGTCACACGGGCGATTGCCAAGCTGGGTCCCCACCTGTCGTCATACACCTTCTGCTCGGGCGAACCGGAACAGGACCAGGCTACACGGGCCAAGGTGCTGGCTGTGACGGACAAGGCAGCCAGCGTGCCGCAGATCTTTGACGAGTCGCTCATGTTCAAGAACGGTGAGGGTCCCTCGCTGAAGGAGGACTTCCGCAACCGGTTCCGCAACGTGAGTCGGCTTATGGACTGTGTGGGCTGTGACAAGTGCCGGCTTTGGGGCAAGGTGCAGACGGCCGGCTATGGCACGGCGCTGAAGGTGTTGTTTGAGTACGATAACGACGGCAAGGTCCCGCCGCTGGAGCGCACCGAGCTTGTGGCCCTGTTCAACACGTACGCGCGGATCAGCAGCTCTCTGAACGCGATCCAGAAGTTCCGCATCATGGCTGCGAATGACGAGACAATTGTGGCAGCTGCCAGCGCTATCGCAGACGAGCCGGTGCAATCGATCTCTGACCGGGTGCGGAAGCCGCACCACGTCATTGTGCCAGAGCGGTCTGATAGCACGGCTGCTGGCGAGGACGAGGAAGTGTATGACGAGTCTCATTACCCCTCTATCGGAGAGTGCATTGGCGAGGAACTAGACAACGTCCTGAAAGCGTTTAAGTTTCTCTTCGAACGGTACATCGCCTTCCCTCAGATGATGTAAGCTGCGCCGTTTTGCCCTTCCCAACTGCGTTCGACGCTAATAAGCGAGTAGGTGGCACATTATCTCGACAGAGCTGCTGCGTCTGTGGCAGTTCTTTATCGGGCTGCCGGTTCGGCCGCGATCATGGGCATTTGAGCGGCCAAGCGTGGACGAATTGTAGATGAGACTATCTTGGCCTCCCGCTGGTTCCAGTTCCCTTACGGTTCTGCATATATTTTCTTAGACCTTGCATGGGACACGGTGTCAAGGTTTGGCACCATTCGCGTTTCGGAGTAAACAGGAGTAGATACAAGGCTGGCATGTATTTTTTTTTGTGCTTTCAGGGTTACACACAGACACACATACTCGAAAGTTCATAGAACAGAAGTTGTTTCTTATTTGCCTCTCAGGAGAGCGTGGCTCACGCCGTGTATTTGCAGCTAGCTTTTAAGTGACTGTATACGTCAATATAGGCCAGAAAGCTTCTTTCTTGGCCCGTGATTGGGCCCTGTATTTGTTCGTGCCCTCTTAGCTCGCCGCTCGCTGGCTGCCAGTGGGATGTCTGACACGATGTTGCCGATCTTGATCTTGACGCTATCGACGTTAAAGTGTAGCGGTTCCTTGCTTTCCTTGCGTTGGTTCTGCTGCCACGTGCCATAAGCCTGTTCGGTCAGCTTTACCCAGGCATGAATGTCATCTGCCAATGTCCAGGCGACGGAGACGTGAAAGGCGAAGGCGACGGTGTCGTCCTCGTCGCTTTCGGAGGCGGTGCTCTGCCCGTACAGGGTTGGCTGGCCCACAGATGCAACCTGGCTGTTGCACCGCGCCAGCAGAGACACCAGCGGGTGGTTGTGGCCGCGGCCCCTGCTTTTGCTTACGTCAGCCACAGCGGCCTTGTCGGTGACCGCAACCCGAAGCACCAGAAATGCGCGAGCCGAGTCGGGGCTGCGATACCAGTCGAGGCCATTGAAGCCGACGTAAGATCTGGGAACATATGAGAAGGGTGAAGCTGTGCGCAGAGAGGGAGCGAAAGAACATACGGCACAACACGCGACGACGACACAGAAGCGATGAGGCTATCGAGGAAAGTCGGCTTCTGTGCCGTACGGAGCACAAACGGCCTCGACAGGCTGATGTGCAGCGGCAACGGCACGCCGAGATCGCTGGTGAGCAGGCTGTGAACAGCCGGCCGTCCGGGCGGATTGCCCGTCTGGGGTAGGACGTCGATGACCGCAGTGAGCAGTGCCTCCAAAGACGCGTGCTCTGGCGACGTCGGGAACCCTGCATACGGACTAAACGTCAGTCGTATGATGGCAAGGGCAGAAGAGTCTAGAAACCTACACTCGACGTAGATGTGGCTCGGCCACTGGCCGGCGACGTGGGGAATTGCCCGAGTGCGACCCTGGTGCAGGCTGGGGCAGTCGGCAGTGCTGGTGCGGACATTTGCGGCGTAGATGTCATGAAAGGACCGCGGCAGTGGGGGGAGGCTTGCAGGGGGTGCAGCTGCAGCCGCTTCCAGGCTGGTCCGCTTCGTCACGTCCGCTGTCTTGTCCTCATCTTCTTCGCCGGCCGACGACGAGTAGTCCACCAAGCATGCCATCTGGCTCCCTAACCTGCCGACTTTTTCCCCGTTTCCAGCGCGGAAGGGTCGCTGGCAGATTTGGGTGCAACATGTACTGTTGTCGTTGTAGTGGTTACTGGCAAAAGGCAAGCTCACCGCATATGCAGCACAAGCTCACATAGCTCCAAGCTGTGCTCCGTACGAGAACGTTATCGGATGGTGTCCACTTAACACGTGGCGGTGTCACATGCAACGCCTAGTCACGTGCGGCTGACAGCATTTCTTGACTCATACTGAACAGTTAACGGATACTTCGTACATACTCAGTCTCTAGAGTGATCCGTACCTTGCATTATTTCACGGCATTGTTGAACAGCGATAACTTTGCTATCAGCTCATCACCATGGTCGGTTTTGTAGCTGCCTAAAGCTGTAGCTCTTTGACGCGTAAGCGACCGGAGAATGCTGGAAAGCGGATTATCACGGAATAGGACTTGCGCGGGTGACTTTTGCATGGTGGCAGGCGGCAAGGTACATCATTCTCCACTAAATAGGGCAGCAAGTGCCGGTAGCTTCCCCAACGCAGCCAGATACAGCACGTTTCCACTATTCCTCCAAAGCTTACGCAACAGGGGGGCTGGCTCACTGCTGGCATCTGTCTGCCAGCTAGACTGCCTAAAGAAGATACGTCGTAGACAAATGGTCACAGACAGCGATGCGCGCAAAGCAGCTCACCGCTCCATTCCTTGGTACACACGGGTCACATGTATTGCACGTATATGCTCTGAGATTCGTATCCCAGTCTGTGTATGAATATATCGCTTTTGTCCCAGCGTGGGTGTCGGCGCAGTATGTAGAAGACAGGCAGCATTTACAACTATCTTACCTTCTAGGTGGTATGATCTCGGTCCCATGACCAGCCAACCGCAACTCACCACGTCCATCTACTCCGTACCTATTCGTCGCCTGCGCTCTTATCTCTTTGCGTCCTTTCCCTGACCCCTCATTTTGCCCAGACTGCTGCGAATAATTCTCTAAGGAGGGGAAAACCCCCAATCACAGACACTAGCCCGAGGCCGCGCAATAAGTCGCAGAGAGAAAAGCGTCATCTGCGCATTTGACCTGCAAAAGCGAGAATTCTTTTGGCTAGCTAGGTTTCCACAAGTGATTAGGCTCTAGGGGACATGGCTATGACCTGGCTCCACGGTCGAAGCAAAGGTGACAAAGGCCAGGAAAAGAAATACCATATTATACTAGACAACCGGGAGGACCGGCAAGACAAAGACTGGGTTAGTCACGTTTTTTTTCGGCCTCTTTCTGTATTTTTTCCGGATGTCCTTTCTTTTTCCAACTTAGCTGCTCTTCTTTGACTTTGCCACTGAGCGTCCCCAAACCTGTTCGGGCGCTGCGTGACTCCATCGGACCGCGAAGACAGACGACTTGCGTCACAATCGCTGGCCGCAGCAGGCACTAGTCACCGCTAAGATGGCGGCTAGGGTGGGATGATGTGCGGAATCATGACCGTTCCGAACTGCCCGACTCTGCTCTTTATTATTTCCCATCCCATCTCCCTAGCCGTTCTGATGGCTGTCTCTTGTATCTATTCATTCCTGTCTTTTGGCTGATTCGAAAATTTGAAAGGCCAAAAAGTACATTCTCGATCCGTTGACTGATTCCGAGCCGCACCAATTAGACGGACCCGGAACGTCTTTTTTGAACCCCCGGCGCTTTCTTGCACTGAACCGTACGCCGGAGCAGAACCAGGTGAACGATCTGCAGCGTCGTACTTATAGCCCTGCACCTCGCCTCCCGACGGACATCCACCATCCCAAGTCCACAACCCCGGGTCGGCGATATTCACGTCTCCCTTCAACAGTCCCAACATCAGCTGACGCTGCTGCTCGTACTATCCACCTCAAAAGCAAAAGTGTCGACACCATTTCAACACATCCGAGAAGATTCGAAAAACGTCAAAACAGTGCCAGCCGACCACCTTCCAGCTCTCGGTCAAGCAAGATCCGAGCTAGCCGAAAACCACCGCAAACACATCGTATCCAAAGGACTACAGATTCCGTCACGGAAATCCTCGCAGAACGATCGGGCAGCGCTATCAACAGAACAGTTCACTCACCTGTTCCATTCCAGGCCCCCTCAAGTCCGACAGGACACTCTCTCCGACGAAGCACGTTGCATATTCCGCCCAAGCTCAGCGCCATGGCATCATCCGTGCAGACCAAGCAGACGTCCAGTCACCCACGCAAACGCCAGTCTCGTCGTCGTGGTCTTCCGCTTGCCGACTCGATCGATATACTAGACAAGACTGGGTTCGGTGGTGCTTATCACCATGGCGGGCCCTATGACGCAACTCTTGCGGCCGTGAATAAGAACAAGAAGTACGCGCCTCTGGAAGCTGTCAAAGATTCCAACCTAGAGGCGCTACGAGCGACGCCAAAAGAGTACATTGTGGACTCACTTGAGCGACACATTCCCCTACAGGGGACAGGAACGATACCGTCGGGCATGCCAGACATGAACGGAAACATCATGAACTACAAGGAGGGCGCAGATTTGATGCGTGAGGCTGATGCGCCGGGCGGGGCGTTTATGCGCTACGATTTCATCGTGAGTATCCCTACCACGGATCTTTTGTATTTGTGTCTGTACGCAGACTGCTGACTGTGTTGTAGAAATACCATCCCGACGATCTCAAGGGCAAGGGGGAGCCATCGTTCAGCATCGAGCGCAGCCTCAAAGAGCAGTCAAACAAGCCGTACAGACACAAGGTGTCGGCCAGCTACAGCGGCGGCAGCACGTATGAGATGAAAAACCAATTCCGGCCGCTGTTGACGCCACCCAAGGATGCCAATGCGTCGATCCGCCGTTCAAGCTTCAGCAGTTCCGCAACGGGTGCGTCCTGGCGGTCGCCATCACCACTGGGCTCGGGCTTGCGGCCGCGCGCCCAGGACGACACCATCTACTCCACCCAGACGGACCTGAGGCGGAATGCCAGCCACGGCAACCGCATCACAGAGGGGCTGAAGCGACGGCTCGGTAGCTTGCGGCGGAAATAAGCACGGGGGCGAAGAATGATAGGATATTGATTGGATTCAGGGCTTGTTAGAGATATCACGATGTTTTCGCATTTCTTTTTTCTTGGTTTATACGTTGTAGAAGTGGGGCTTTCACGGTTTGAAGTAGACGGTCAAGGTTCTAGACAGTCATAAAAATTTTCAAGATTTCACATTGTCGATTCCTCTCACCGAACACAAAGATAGGATGCTCACCTATGACATAGTGACGCGAAAGAGGAAGGAGATGGCCCGTGCGGCTAGCTTGTCGCTTCCCCGCGAGCACCGTTGCCCCTAACGAAGGAGCTCCTGCGCGCAGGGGTGCTTTCCGTTCTGGGAAGCCTGTCCTTGTCATTTTCGCCACACCACCGTATAAAGTTGGCCACGGTGGACCGAAAAGCAACTGACGAGCAAGGCCACTGCGAGATATCGCGGCTGGCCAGGCAACTTCCGACCGACTCTCCCAGCGCACGCATCCACACGAGAAGACGAGTCTGGTGTTTACAAGCACACGCCCTGCAGCCATGTCGCTGGTGCCTTTTCATCCACAGGAGGGGCGCGAAATCGTTCTGTAAGTTTCGGGGCAGAGATCTGGAGACGGTTTGTTGCTGACAGCCGGAAATCTGCAAACAGCCGCCATCGCAATGCCATTGTCGTGCGCGACCCGTCGTCGCAGCGGCTGGAGATCCGCGGCATCGCTGAGTGTCCGACCTGCCACCGGCCGATGCGCGCGTCATCGCCCACTCGCTCGCCGTTTGCCTCTGATGTCGATGGTGACTTCATCCACCGTCACGAGGGCTATGTCGACCCCAACTACTTTCGCATGCTGCGTGCCGGCCACCACCAGCTGCGCGGGACCGACCATCCGTCCCACGGCACGCCGTCCAGCCCTCTGCGGCGTTTCTTCCAACCGCTTGTCGGCCAAAGCACCCCGGGCGGAAATTCCAGTCCGGCCGGCAGCACTGCCAGTGGAGCTTTGTCGGAGGATGAAGACGCTGCCTCTGGGGGCTCTCCGAAAGCAGGCGCTACTGCAACCCTGGACTCGAGCCCCATCGGCAAAGAGGCCTTCAGTCCGCACTATTTCAAGACCTTCTTTGTCGAGGAGCGGGAGCTTGGTCGTGGTGGCAAAGGTGTCGTCCTGCTCGTTCGACACGAGATTGACGGCCTTCAGCTGGGCCACTTTGCCTGCAAGCGTGTGCCTGTCGGCGATGATCATGCCTGGCTTGAGAAAGGTGGCTGCCCCTTTTTCCCTGTGTCGTCTCGTGTACTGACTCTCCTAGTTTTGGTCGAGGTTGAGCTGCTGGCCAAGCTCTCCCACCCAAACCTCGTGTCCTACCGCCATGTCTGGCTCGAAAACGTCACACTCAACCGCTTCGGCCCCAGCGTTGCCTGTGCCTTCATCCTTCAGCAGTACTGCAACGGTGGCGATCTGCAGAATTACATCATCGGCGATCAGCCCAAGGAGGCGACCAAGGAAGAGCTCAAGGCCCAGATGCGACGACGGTCCAGGGGCCAGGCCGAACGGCCTCGAAACCCGTTTTCACCCTCGGCTGCATCTCGCAGACAGCTGCAGTTCGACGAGATCTACTCCCTCTTCCGCGACATCACCTCCGGCCTGGCCTACTTGCATGCCGCTAACTACATCCATCGAGATCTCAAGCCCAGCAACTGCCTGCTGCACCGCGAAGGCCGCAATCTCACCTGTCTCATCAGCGACTTTGGCGAGGTCCAGCCGGAGAACGTTGTCCGCCGGTCCACCGGCACTACCGGCACCATTTCGTACTGTGCTCCCGAGGTTCTCCGGCGGGACGCCAATGGGCTGTACGGCAACTTCACCACCAAATCAGACATCTTCTCCTTGGGTATGATCCTGTATTTTATGTGTTTTGGCCGTCTGCCCTACCGCAGTGCCAACACGCTCCACGAGGAGCTCGAGGATATTACCCAACTACGTGCCGAAATTTCCAACTGGAAGGGCTTCCAGTACGAGCGGCGCGAGCGGCCAGACCTTCCCTCGAAGCTCTACCAGCTCCTCACCAAGCTGCTGTCCGTCCAACCGGCCGAGCGGCCCAGTGCGACCGATGTTCTGCTCGTCATGCGGACCACCGAGTCCGGCCTGGACGGCTTCTCGCGCAATGGGAATTCCACCATGAGCCAGACGATGAATATGTCCGGTCGCCGGCTTCAAAATCTCGACTCAGGCGTCTCGTCAGGCACGTCTATGCCAGGTGCGTCTTCATGCTTCTGTCTTTGTTCGACTTGTCTCTAATGTGTCTGTCAGATACCGTGAATACCAGAAAGGGAAGCCTGAATTCGCTTTCATCCCCGGCGGATCACCTGGACGAGTTTGCCGTTGTGGACTCAGACGACGCCTCGTCGCCGAAATTAACGCCCCGGGACAGCCTGCAGAAGAGCAGGCCATCCACCCTGACGCTGACGCACAGCCAGGAGAGAGGTCTGAACCGGTCTCCCGAACGGCGGACTGCAGCTGTTTCTGACAGCTCCGGGCCCCGCTCTCTGTCGCCCGGTGCCCCAGCTCCGTCGTCTCCGCAAAACACCAACACGCCTCTCCTGATGCCACCTCCGGCCACCTTTCTTGGCGAGATACAACACCGGACACGACTGGCTCAGCACTTTGTCCTGCTCTTTTCTCGGCAGCATGCGGAGGCTGTCACCTTTCTTCTTCGCATCACTCTCTTCTTCCTTAAAATAGTCACCCTCGCGAAGCCTTGTTGGCCATTCATGGCCCAGTGGGGGATCGGTGCGCCCCTCGTGTTTGTCGCCGGGTTGGATCTGGGGCTTCCTGATGAAAGCGGCGGACGTTTGGGATTCCAGCAGGATGAAGCCCCTCAGTATCGTCACAGGCCCCGTCCGAGATCCCCGTTTTGGGAAAGGAGCTGGCGTGTGAGCATGCTCTTGCTCGCGCTGCACTTCTTCATCTTGTGGACTGCTTCCCACTCAGGAGTTCTCTGCACGGTCAACAGCCATAAGCCGTGGACAGAATGGTGAGACATCGAATATTGTCAAGTGACCATCTCCAAAACTTACAGCAATATGTCAAACTTTACGGAGAAGAAGTACAGGACAAGGATAAAGGGTTGGGCAGAACCGAATCTCTCTTATTCATTGTACTTATGTTTTGATACAAGAAAGCGGGCAAGTACTTGGAATATGTGGATTTTTTCTTTTCTTTTATTATCGCAATGGTGTTCAACATCTGTTTGGCTTGTCTGTAGCAGACGTTGAAAAGTCACAATCTTGACCAATGGGTTTCATGAGGTTCTTAATTGGATCTGTTGTTCGGTTCCACGGTATAACTATTGATATTGTATACTATATTGAGATAGTTGGCCATAATACTTAGACAATTACAGATGCATGGCAATACACTACTTCTTCGCTTTTCCAGGAAATCCAAGTGATCAGCTCCTCGGCAATGTCGGGTTTAAGATGCACGTCACAGTAACACTGAAGACAACACTGACACAGTATTTCATACACTTACTCTATCTATCCTGAAACCTGTCAGGGACCAGAGTAGGGTCCACACCGGAGATGCAGGGTTTCCTGTCACTCTCTCCGGCCCGATCATAGTTTGCGTTAGATCCATGGGCCTTGTCAAACCGTCATTGGCCTATGCCGTTGAAATTCCATTGTGTCATTAGTGCGCATTTTCAAGTGGAGGAAATGATGGCTTATGAGTGATTTTACAACCGGATGGAGCGCTTGATGAGCCCGATACGAAAGTGCTTGCGCACTGATCGTGAGCTTTCTAGATTCCAACATACCTGCGTAGAAGGGTCATGGGAAGCGTTCGACCGGACGACGGGCCATCCCTGTTAATCACATTAGCTGTTCTCGTTATTTTTAGATCCGATCAGCACATATGATCTCTCCGTCCTGGAGAGAGCAGATATGTGTTAGCAGACCCTAGAGATCATCTGCTACTCGTACGAACCTGTTTACATTTAACAGATAATCGAGTTTCTGCAAGGAAGACTTTCTGCACTATGAACAAGTACACGTCAAAGGAGACCACGTTTTCATTCGCATAAGTAATATTTCGTCTTTCATTTTACACTTCCTCATGCCATACGAGCACATAGTATCGTAATGTAGCAGCCCAAGAGGTACCGGCATGTTACATAGCACGATCCTGAAACCTTGGTAGGAGCAAAGACAACTCACGTAAGGTCTATCCACCGCCGGTGTGACCTTGGAGGCACCGGGAAAAAAAACAAGTATTCTGAATACGAGTCAAGAGAACCAGGAAGCATCTTGCACCTGTGTTTTGGCGTTCTGTTACTATGTAGTTCCAAGGCTAACTGCAGGATAAAGCTGCATTGGCGATACAGAAACCACTTGCTGCACTCAAATCGTCCTATTCCTTTATATATATATTCAATTAGGATCTGAGTAAAGAAACTTGATAACGGTAGTAACGGGTAGCACGGCTTTGTCGGTCGACTTTAATAGCCAATTTGAAAAACGCAAGGAAATGGGGGTATCATAAAACTACAAACACGAGGTCACCTGTGCTAGCCTAGGAAGCTTTCAAGCCAGGTCGCGATCGTGAAGCATCTGCCACTTGTCGTGGGTTGTGTTGATATGAACGCGTAGATCCTCGGCCGTCCCGTAAGTCTCGGTCAGGCCGTTGGACGTGCAGAGTACGCAGCCGAAGCCGCTCTCAGCGCCTTCGCAGTGGCTCTTGGCCAAGAACCGTGGCGACAGGCTAAAGCCGTCCTTGAGGACGATGGTGGTGGTGGATGGGCTGTGGCGAAGGGTGCGGGTGCTCCTGGCGCTGACGAAGCTGGCGGAGCTCTCCATGCTGCTGATGCTCTTGTTTCTGTGGATTATGGACTTGTCTTCGCTTCCGCTTCTCGCGCTGGCTCGGGTGCTGGCTCGGGTGCTCGTCCGGGTGCTGCATCTGGTAGAGGCACGTTCTTGCCAGCGGTAGCCACAGCGACATTTGCGCGCTGAAGGTACGAGCTTGTACACGTCGACCTGCAAGGCCATGGCCTCGGGGCAGAATATGTTGAAAACGCTGTTCTGGGGCCGGACCCAGCTCTGGTAGCTGGCGCGCTTGCCGGCAGCAGAGGCATTAAAGACCAGCTCAGGCAGCGACGGCAGAGGCGCGACACATTCGGACATGGTGGCAGTCAGAGGGGGCGATGGCGGCTCGGACTGGAAGACGAGCGGGCTTGACAGAACCGACCACCTGGTCGTTGTGGCGTCGTCATCCTTGAACGACCGGCAGCAGGTGGATGGACCAGGCGACGGTGGATATGCCGGCAGCATGGCCAGCAGCTCGCGCTTCGTCTTGGGCGGCTTTGAACGCAGCGACGGCGAGCGCCACTTGGGCACAGGCAACGCGCGCGGGATGCCTGGCCGACCAGCGGCCATGCGCCGATACAACTCGACCAGGGCATTGATGGTGGCCACGCGCACGGTCTCGGATGCTTTAAGGATGACGTTGATGTCCAGCGGTTTGGTAGCCGATGCGATGGCTGTCCGGAGCAGAGCCACCTGGTCCTGGAGGAGGTCTTGTTGGATGGCCAGAGCACGACAGCACATGTCTAGACAGCTATATCAGGACTGTGGAGGCAGACGAGAGAGAGAGACAGAATAAGGCAAAGAGGCCTACCGTCTCCTTGAGCGTAGTCGGGACCGAGAATGGCCAGGCCGATGGTAAAGGTCTCTCGTGTCTGGGCACCCATGTCGAGAGAGGCCGAGAGGGCGCAGGGGGCGATGACAGGCGGCTTGGGCACGGCACCGGAATTCTCAGGACGGCGGTAGTGATTCACGCTTCCGCGGCAGCGCCGCCATTGCGAGTAGAACTGGAGGCACAGTGTGAAGGATGCAGATAGGTCGTCGATGCGGGTGGCCACGGTGGACGTGGCCCTGCGGCCGCCCGTGGTGCCTTTCATGGTTGGGATTGGTGGCGAGAATTGCGTGTTGAGGACTGGTTTGACTGGCTGGCAGCAGCCGGCGGCTTTCTTAGGGGCGGATGCTGTTATTTTTAACAAGTCCTGCGCCCCCCGCAGAGATCGGCGAATGAGTAGCTGTCAGAGGAGGAGGTGCTGATTGGTCGCGGGTTCTCGAACAAGCCATTCGTACGGAGTACGTATGTATACGTCGTACATTGCACTCCGTTAGATAAGATATCCTACTTGCACTATGTACGGAGTACGAGTTGCATCCAGAGTGCCCGTGACAAAAGGGGATACCCAGTAAGTCCGTGCTCCGTATCCGTGAAGAGAGGCCTGGAAAAAAGGGACCCGCTACGGGGATGAAAGACGAGAAAGGGGCATTACTCCGTATGTAGAAGAAAGCAACTGGACAATTATCATCAGCCCTGGCTTATCTCTGGTGCACCCCTGAAAGCCATCTCGGAGAAGAAAATATACTTCGTATACGTCGTAAGCGGTAGCGATCCTGTAGCTGGAACAGAGGCTATGGCAGTTTATGATCCGTGCCCGACAGGAGGATGCGGTGATGTGGTGATGGTGGCCGTGATGGCCGTGATAGCATTTCGAAACAGAGAGAAGGGGAAAAGCGAGGAGGGTGAGAGGGCGAGGCGAGGCGAGCGAGAGCGAGAAAGGGCCATTGTTCTGGGCTTGTGGACGAACGCCGCTGATCAGTGGAGCGAGGGCAGAAACAAAGCATCTTAGGTTGTTGATAGATCGACAAGTCGGACCATCCAAATCTCTGCAGCTACAATTTGCCAGCGAAGTGTTAGTCAGCACAGGCCGGAAGAGCAGTCAGCATATATGATGACGTAAGCGGGTTTGGAGAGGACAAAGCTCTCATTGGCCTGATGTGCCCTCGAAAAAAATCCATTGAGAAGAGGCTCGATTGCACTGAACTTCGGTTGGCTTCCATTGAAATATTGTAGGAGCAACGCAAACCGCTGCCGGCGTCACCTCTGCGCCGCTTACAAGCAAGGCCCGACAGCTTCCAGACCCCGCCACAATGTCGTGGGTGGCAGCTCCGAAGGCGGTAGCGGCATGCTGCAGTCTGGTCCGTGGTGTGCCGGCCACAATTGCGGCACGACAAGCGAGCCAGATGACGTCAGCATGGTGTTCGGCAGCTGTGCCAGGGTTTTTGCGGCTCGCCTCATCGCAGACATCGGCCAAGACACGGGCGCGGGCAAGATCGACAGCCCGGTTCAAAGCGGCTCCAGAACGCACGGCGTCGATCCCGTCTTCTCCTGCTGCGCCAGCCGCTGATCTGTCTGTGGCACTGGACGACAGCATTGCCGCCAGCCAAGAGGCAGCCCTGGCCGAGCTGAAGCGGCTACGGTTAGCGGCGACTCCGACGAGGCTGCCGCCAGCCGTGGCGTCTAGCAACCGATCCGGCGGTCCGGTGGAGGAAGAGCCTCCAAAGAAGGTGGTGGCTATCCAGGACACGCCCGAGTTCAAGGAGGCGTCGCGGAAATGGACGTCGGTGATCGTGGCTATTCCGATCCTGCTGGTGTCGTCGTATTTCTTGTTTGAGCGCTGTGAGTTGTCTCTGGCCATTGCGTGATACTACTGCCGACTGCTTGCTAATGCCACCTCTCCTCCAGTGGTGATGGGCCACAAGCCGAAGGACCTGTCCGAGTACAGGAAAAAGACAACAGAGGAAGCCGTGCAGCAGCTGGACGCATATGTGAGCACCAGCGGTCGTGGCAGCGGGCCGACCAAGCCGATGGCGTAAACAGGCCGGCAGGCTCACCGTCCTGCTGGACAGAGATATGTACGAATAAGACAGCGACGACGCAGGCGACCGGATTGGGCCTTCCATGCTGTTTTGGCAGCCATAGTGATTACGCAGCACGTGATAACGACGATTGATCAATTGGATTGTCTACAAATGGAATGCGGTGACGTAAGCAATACGGGACTTGCAGTGCTGATCATATCTAGTCCTGCTCCCGTATCGGGCGCATATTGCATCATTTCTTTGCGGCCATTGCGATACAATTTTCTAATATTGCCTGAGTTGTGTGTTTGCTTTTAGGACTCCCTTTTGCGGAGAGACGCAACCGGTTCTCGCTGACTCCGCCGACAATTGCCTAGTTCGACTGCTTTGTCCGCCGAATTACAGCAAGGAATGTTCTTATCGCCTTCCTTGTTGGCTCCTGCCGTAAGTGCGGATGCTTCCGAAGCACCTTCCGGATGGAGAATAGGCTGCACGATTAGTTAATCGACTCGCAACAAAGCGCTAATCTGCGCGAACAATAATTCACAATTCGCCAACGACGAAAAAGGAAGCTAAGAAGATTTAAGCTCATTTCCAGCTCAGGAACAAGCACTACGGCTGACGCTGCACGTCTCGGCCTTGTATTGCATGCACACCTCATGAGTCAGGTGCAAGCCAGTCAATCAATGTGTGAGACAGCCAGCAGAACGAAGCAGCCACCGGCCGGTTCGCCGCCCCTCTTTATCCTATTGCTCTCCGGAGATTAGTCCTGGCTGACGTGGGTCTGCGTCTTTTACTACTATGTATGTACACTTTAAACCTTGTCCATGGCCCTGTCCGCATCCATTACGTCGCACGGCGGTCGCCGCTCACCTATCGGCAGGTGGGCTGTGCCAAGCTGCCTATCACGTCTCTTGTCTTGCCAACTGTTTACGGCAAGATACTCTGAGCTTAGCGTGCGAGAATGACAGAGTCCCCCGCTATCTCCACCCACTGATAGCCATTTCCATCGAAGCGACTACTTTGTGTATGCAAGGGCACAGGGTTGCGATCGACACGTCGCCACGTTCTCGCTCTCGCCGGGCCCAAAGCCGCGGTTGTTAGCAGCGCTGCGTACACTCGAAGCAGTATAGTACTCGTACTTTGTACTCCGTAGTTGTACATGCAGCTTTCAAGATCACTGGTGTGGCACGTGCTACTCCGGAGCTCCTTCCTTCTGTGTATATATTACTCCTGCCTTCTCTGCCCCTCCCGCAAAACTTTTCAAGATAGCTTTCTCGGTCCCAGGAGCCTCTTTCTTCACTCCCCCCCTTCCCCTCCCTTCGTTCTCTATCCTCAACGCTCAACATGCGTTTCTCCTCTGTGGCCACGGCCCTGCTGGCCACTGCCCAGTATGTTGCTGCGGCTCCCTCTTTTCCGGCGATTGACAACAAGCACAACGGCAAGATCGCACCGAAAGTCATGATTGTCAGCCTGGTGAGTTTCTGCCTCTCTTCTGCTCTCTGCCTGTTGTGTTGCATGTGCTAATTCTGGTCAGTTCCACCCCGAAGCCGCTATCTGGTACAGCAATCTGCCTAGCAGCGGTCTAGGCAATCTGATGGACGTCAACATCACGGCGCCCGGACTGTCGATGCTTTTTCCCCACGTGCACTGTGTGGCCGATCACAGCATCTGCCAGATGACCACGGGTGAGTCGGAGATCAACGCAGCCTCAACCGTCATGGCTGCCGTGCTCTCGGGCAAATTCGACCTGACCGAGACGTACTTCATGATCGCCGGCATTGGCGGTGTCAACCCCAAGTACAGCACGCTGGGCGGCGTTGCTCTGGCCCGCTACTCGGTGCAGGTGGCCCTGCAGTACGAGTTTGACGCGCGCGAGATGCCGGCAAACTGGTCCACCGGCTACTTTGGCTACGGCACCGAAGAGCCCGACGTCTACCCCGGCAACCAGTATGGCACCGAGGTGCTCGAGGTCAGCGAGACGCTGCGCGACATCGCCTTTGGCTATGCCAGCAAGGCCAACCTCACCGACGACCCGATTGCGGCTGAGTACAGAGCCAGGTATGCGGCCGCGGCTGACGGCATCTACACCGCCGGCACAGCTGTGCCCTCGGTCGTCAAGTGCGACACGGCTACCAGCGACGTCTACTACTCGGGCACCATCCTGGGCGAGGCCTTTGAGAACGTCACCAAGGTGTGGACCAACGGCACGGGCGAGTACTGCATGACCGCGCAGGAGGACAGCGCCGTGCTCGAGGTGCTCGTGCGCCTCGCCATCGAGGGCATGGTTGACTTCAAGCGCGTCATCCTCATGCGCACCGGCTCCGACTTTGACCGCCCGCCACCGGGCATCACGGCTTTTGCCAACCTGGTTACCGTCGATCAGAACGGCTTCGAGATTGCCATCAAGAACATCTACAACGCCGGCATCGAGATCGTCAAGGGCATCCTGAAGAACTGGGACTGCACTTTCAAGGAGGGCGTCACGCCCACCAACTACGTTGGCGACATATTTGGCAGCCTGGGCGGTGAGCCTGACTTCGGCCCCGGCAGCCTGACCGGCGGCATCGGCTACCTGCCGGGCGGCCGCTCGGGCGACCTGACCAAGCGCAGCACCAAGCTGACTCGTCGCACCGCCACGACCAAGCGTGCCAAGCGCGGAATTGTCGTGTCTGTCCGCCCGTCCAAGGAGCAGTGATTGGAGGGGTGGAAGGACTCCGGCTAGCCAGAAGTAACATAATAGCATAATATTGGGACTGAGAAATAGAAGGACCGGGAAATTCAGTTTGCTTTGCAAAGTGTGGAGAACGAACAAGTGTTGCTTTTTGAGAGCGAACATATAATGAAAACAATGAAAAGCATGACCAAGAATAAGGACCGAAGCACCGAAACCACGAACAACTCACCTCAGCCTGAGTTGTCGCTGCTACACACGCAAGGCGTCATGTGCTCCTACCTTCTCGTCTACTACGGCTGCGGCTGTTCCAAGCAAGCGGATGAGCTCATCCGGTGTGCCCAAGGCTACCGGCCGCGACTGCCCCTCCTTCCAGCAAGAGGCCGTGGCCAAAGACATATTTGCTAGCTGCCTTGACTGCTGATTTCTGTACTGTCTCTTTCTAATCTAAAAACAGTTCTTTCCCACTCCATCTCCATGCCAAACACATAGACTGGTGAAATCACGTGACAAGTATCCCGAGCGAGCCCTTCTTGCCATGTTATACTATGCATATCGTGCGCGCGCGAACGAGTCGCTCTGCCTAAAAGTACGCCATGCGCGACCATCCAAGCACGCCCTCGAGCGACGTCCGTACCTCGAGGCTGCTGGCGAACCCGACGCGTCCGGCGATCTCGCCCTTGCGCCCCGACCCCAACTCGGTCCAGCGGGCCAGCAGGGCTCCGTCGACCACGCTGCGACCCACGGCTGCGTCCACGCCGGGCGCCAATGTTGCTGCCGCCGATCCGGCCGTCATCCGGTAGCCCTTGGGGTTGAGGCCGGCCGTCTGGGTGAGCGACGTGGCCAACTGTCCGGCCAGCGACGACAGCCGCCGGTATTCCGACTCGGACAGCGGCACCAGTGAGGCCAGCAGACCGGTCGGGCTGCCCAGGAGGAGCTGGTGCTGCTGGTGCTGCTGCGCTTCCGGCTGGCTGGAGGCCCCGTTCGTCTCTCCGTTGGCTGTCGGTCGGTCGGCCGGCGTGAAGGTGGACGGCAGGAGCAGCGACAGGGTCGAGAAGTGGGCTCCGGTGCAGAAGGTGGCCCGGTGCAGCAAGATGTGTCCCTGCAGAGATTTGGGGTCTGCAAAAGACCTGTTAGTGAACAGACTGGTCAACATGCGCTCTTCCCTTCGCTTCACTTACGCTCTGGATCAAATTGCATCACGTGCAGATTCCCGTCCGCATCGGTGACCACGATAAAGAGCTCCTTGCCGTCAGGCAGCAAGTCGACGTTGAGGGCGTGCAGCCGCGTGTTGCTCTTGCCAAACAGAATCATCTTGTAGGGCTCCTCGGTGTACCCGGTGAACCAGACGCCCTTGAAGGCGTCTGACATGACACACAGGCCGGTGCCGGGCAGCTCCTTGGCACTGGTCACGTAACAGTTCATGTCCATAAAGGCCACCGGCAGCAGTGTGCCGTCCTCCTTGAGGCCACGCACGAGACATTTCTGGCCCTGGGCCACCAGCATCAATCCCTGCGTGCCGATTTCAGACACGGCCGTGACCGCGCCGCGTGGAATGTCCTCCTTGGCGATCAGCTTCAGCTTCCGGTTCGTTTCCGGCCGTCCCGGCTCCGGGATCACCGACACCACGTCAAAGACGTACACCCGTCCGCGGATTGCCAGGTCTTCGCCGCGCGAGATGGCCGTGCCCACTGCCACCAGCTGCTTTCGCTCGTTCGTCGCCTCCGACACCTCCAGGTTCAGCGTCTTCACGCACATGACCACCTCGTACGGCTCCATCTCCACCGTGTCGATCGTGCTCCAGCTGCCCGGACTCATCAGCAGCAGCCGTCCCCGCTCGGCCAGAGGCCGGAACGCCGTGCTCTCCTTGTTCCAGTCTGCCCGGTGCGGGTCGTCTTTGGGCAGCTCAAACGCCTCCAGCGCGCTGGTCCCGACGGCATACGTTCCCGTCGGTGGGTGGTATGCTAACGCGTTGGCGTCCGTGTCCAGCGCCACCTTGCGCGCGCACACGCCCAGCTCCGTCAGGTTCCAGCCTGCTGGCATGCTGCACACCCGTCCCGACCCCTCAACGTCCACGTAGATGAAGCTGCGCTCGCTGCTCTCTGTGTGGAAGGGGCTCAGGCTCCGGACCGCTGTGCCCTGCAGGCTGACCACCCGCGGCTGCGACTTGGCCGACTTCAGCACGAAGCTGGCCGACGAACCCGGCAAGAACACTGTGCTATAGCCGCCAATATTCTCGCAGACACGCAACGGCATCGCTCGAAGCTGCGACGACGCGTCGTCCGACGAGATAGAGACTGGACTCTTTGCAAATACTGGGTTCGGCACCTTCAGGAACCGGAGGCTCTCCGACAGACTGCCCAATGAAGACGGCGTTCGGAGCGGCTGGTAGATTGTCAGGTCGTCGTTGGCATGGCGGACAATGAGGTACGGCGCTTTCGACACTGCGTCTCCGAGATCGGCAACCAGGATTTCTGTCAACGGCTCCTTAGCCATCCCCCGTCTCACTGTGTGGTCTGGCAGAAACAGCCGAGGGACGTAGTTGAGTCCCTCGGCCACATACACGGGCTGCTTGAGGTCGGGAAGAGCGTAGATCTGGCAGGAGAAGAAGGAGCAGTTAGCCTCACGTTACACAACAGTCACGTGAATGCACCTTCAAGATCGCTTACGTAAAACGTCCCTGAGGCACTGAGCAGGAAGGCCAGGATGCTCGTCTTCGAGAAGACCGAGGCGGTGTCGTGGTAGAGACAGCCGGCCACCCACTTGGTCGACGCAAGGCTTCCGTCGTCCCTCTCGAGCTCCTCCAGCTCAAAGTCCTTGTTCATCTCGGCCACCAGCACGCTTGCGTCATCTCGGATCAGCAGCAGATACGGATCGGCAATGCTGGCAAACAACACCCGCGGCTCTGCCCCGGTGTCCTCGTCGACCATTGGCAGGATTTGCGACAGCCCGAGGTCGCCGTCATAGCAGCGCACCTCGGACTTGAGCACCTGGATGATCCGCCTGTTCCGCCCCATCGTTCCGGCTTGGACCGTGAAGCCTGCAGCAGGCTCAAACTCAGTGCCCTTGAGCGTCTCGAAGCCCGAAGCAGTCACTGCATACACATCTGACGTCTCAAATCCGTCGTCGTCTTCCTTGGCTACGATCATGTACTTGTCGTGCATAGCCGGCGACTCGTAGTCCTCGCCCACTGTCGCACCACCCTTCTCGCCCTGTATCGTCCTGGGAATCGGCTTTGAGGATGACACCGTCCAGAGAGCCTGCGCCTCGGCAAACTCAAACGCCCCGAGAGGATCGGGGTTGATCTCGCGGCTCAGCAGCGCCAGCGCCCCGGCCCGTCCGCTTCCAACAGCACATACCAGGTTGAGCTCGCTGTGAATCGTGGCCTGATCGCTCCGCTTGGCAAGTTCCCCAACCAGTGCTGGCTTGCCGATGACCATGTCGCGGATGGGTGCGATGCTCAGCAGCCGGTCGTGGATCCGGAAGCTCAGGTCGTCGCCACCCCGTCCGGTCGTATTGTCGATCCCGAGCGTCTGTGCGGCCGATGGACCGTCTCCGTAAAGATCATCATCGTCTTCGTCGTCGTCCAGCTCCTCGCCCTCTTCCCGCTCGTCGTCAAAGTATTCTTCGTCCGCTCCGAGATCGAGGCCGGCCCTGTTGGCACGAGGCTTGCGCCGCGCTGTCTGGCCCTGCTTTCGCGACCAGCCCAGCACCACAGAGTCGGCCTGGTCGCTTCCGGCAAAGAGCATTTGGCGACCGATGCGGCTGAGGCAAGTAATGCCAGATTGGATCACATCACCCCCGGCTTCCCTGCGGACCATCTTCACGCTCAGGCCGGACACCGTACGGCCGTCCACGCGGATGGTCAGGACGGCCAGCTGCCCGTCGTGCAGCACAATCAGCAGCTCGCCCGCCTCGGCAGACAGCACGTCAACCGTGCAGCCTTCCAGACGGAGGGCCAGATCGGACTGGTCGGCCAGGCCAAACGACGTGCTCTGCTTGGTGAAGGGATTCACAGCCACGCCATTGGCTCTACCAGACTGGTCGATGTGAATCAGCTCGTTGGCGCCGACAAGAATGGCGCCTCCGATCGGTGACGGAATGGGGACAACGCGGAACAGGTCCTGCGGCAGGTTGGCGACGGAGAGGATGGTAGTAGATGCCTTCTGCTGTAGGTCCAGCGTGAAGACCAGGTACGAGAGCTTGTCGCGGCGGCCGATGACGGCAGACGTGGACACCGAGGACGAGAGAATGCCAAACGTCGGCTCGCGATACTCGTGCAGAAAGGCCAGATGGACCGGGTGGAGGAGGGTGGTGTCGAGGTTGGAGAGCCGCAGGACGAAGGAGGGAGCAAATGGGGTGTCTTCAATGCCGTCGCCAGGGCCGCTGACAACAGCCGCCGAGGAGGGATCTTTTGCAGGCCGCGGTCCATCCAGCTCCTCGTCCCAGTCGTCCATGTCGACATCCTCTTCGTCGGCCTGGCGAAAGGGCAGGATGGCCAGGTTGCGGGCGCCGAACTTGAGAGCTGCACAGCGGCTGCCCGGGTCGGCCACGAGGAAGTTGGCATAGTCGCTCAGCGGGGCGGCCCACGGCGCGCCCTGCAGCTCCTCCTGCTCGTAGTAGTGGATCGAGATGGTCGTGAGGTCGTTTTGGTCTGGGTCCCACTCGAGCAGGCTCAGCCTCGCGTCCTTGAGGGCGACCAAGACGGCCTCGCCGCCCGACTTGGTGCCGGGGATCTTGATGCGGGCCAGGCCAGTGACCGTGCCGGCGAGCGGAAACTCGGCCACGAGGACTAGCTTCGAGATGCTTCCACGGTCAGCGCGAAGCAGGATCGAGTCCCCGCCAAGAAAGGACGTCTCGAGTCCCAGCCCGTTGTCGTCGTTGGCGATGCGGCTGTCAAAGTTGGTTGCCGAGGCGTAGGGAGCCTGCGATGTGGACGACGCGTCGGGCGGCGCGTCTAGCTCGGCTGACACGACCTTGGTGGTGAAGACCTGCAGCAGCGACGACTTGGCCACGATCAGATTGTTGGCACGCGGCGAGGTCAGAGGGAGGGCGAGCGAGTGCGTGACGGCCGTCGGCGGCGTGAGCTCTGTGTAGCACTGCATTGTCGCGCGCGGTGAACGAGCATGGTCGTCGGGGCCGAGGAAGATCAGAGCTTGCTGGCACAGTATGCACACATATGAGGCCGTCTTGAAGCTCGGATTGCAGCAGGATTTTGGATGACAGACACAGCAGAATCTAGCTGGCCCGCTGATTGGCTGCTGAGGGGCCACTGATGGGCCACTGATTTTCAGCAGTGCATGCACTATTGCAGCAGGAACTGCTTACATACTCTGGGTCCACACAAGCTCGGCCACAGCACATTGCGTCACGCCTGAAACCAGTCTGAACAGAAAGACAAGGCGCAACGTCACTCCTTCCCGTCTCTGCGGCGAGCTTACTCTTTTGGGTGCCGACGTCAGAGAGTTGGCTCCTGTTTGCTTCATTTCACTTCTTCGTCACTTTCTTCTGCCTCATTCCGTCTGCTCTTTTTCCATCAACACAACGCTGCGCTGCTCGGCAACATATTATCGCGCGCGCATTCCTTTGCTCGAGGCCGACATGCAACCACTTCCCCGTTAAACCGCGCCCCCCTTCTCGCAAAAAGTATTCTTTTTTTGACCACCGATCAATTCGACCCTGCGCAACACAGCTGAACTGTTCTTCAGCATGGCCGGTCTCTTACGGACAAGCCTGATCTGGGTCACCTACGCCGTGGCCGTCGGCCTGGCCCTGGTAGTGGCCACCATCACCACCTTCACCTGGCAGGCGCCGCGCGACAGGTCTGCTGTCGTGAGCACGGTCGCTGTCGTCAGCATAACTGCCCTCTTGGCGACTATTTTCCTCCTTCCAGTCGACATTGCCCTCGTCTCGTCCACCACGAACACCTCTCTCGGCGCAAAGAAGGACTGGGCCACGCCCGAGCATGTAGAAGGCGTGCTCTTCACCCTCAAGGTCGTTTACTACTCGCTGTACAGCTTTGACGCGTTGCTGTGCCTCATCGTCATACCGTTCACGTATTTCTGGTATGAGGAGTACGACGAGCTCGACCGGCAGGAGGATGCCCACCGCAGCTCGCGCAGCCGGATCTGGGGCGCCCTCCGGTACACCAGCATCTTTGTGGCGCTCGTCGCGGCCCTCCTCCTGGTTGGCTTCTTTGTGCCCGCTGCAGGCGGAAAGAAGGGCGACAGCCACGTTGATTTCGACTACCTCCGGCGGCTTCTTGCCGAGAACAACGGGGAGAAGGCGCTCACGTTTGGCGTCGGCTTCCTGATGACCATCGGCACGCTCTTGTATGTGCTCTATACCGGTGCCGGCATGGCGCTGTTGCCCATCTCATTCATCAAGTCGGCCCCGTCGGTTTCGGCGCCCCAGCTGAGCCAGACGACCGCTTCGGCGCTGGAACAGAACCGCGAGCGGCAGCGACAGCTGGATCTGCGCAATTCCGACCGGTCCGGCGGGATGTCGACCAAGGACCGGCGCGAGCTGGAGACGCTCATGCGAGAAGAACGAACGTTGGTGCGCCGGGAGAGGCTTGCGGCAGAGGCTCGCGGCGAGGGCCACAGCAGGATCTTCCGGACGTGGACGAAATTGTGTGCCGTGTTCCGGCCGCTGACGCTGATCGGCGGCATGCTCCTCATGCTACTGTCGCTCGTCGTGGCCGTTTCCATGCTCATCACAGGCATCGACAAGGCGGCGAACTCGATCTGCAAGCAGCGCTGCGGCTACATCCTCGGCCATATTAACGTCTTCCAGCCGATCAACTGGATCTTCATGCAGACAGCCCGAGTGTTTCCCGTCGACTATGCCCTCTTGGCGCTGCTCATCCTCTTCCTCTTCAGCAGCTCTGTCTCGGGACTCGCGGCTGTCGGGATCCGCTTTCTCTGGGTGAGCATCTTCCAGTTCCGCAAGGGCCGGACTGCGCCGCAGGCTATCCTGATGGCGACAGTGATGCTGGCACTGATCATCCTGGCACTCAACTATTCCGTTGCCATGCTTGTGGCTCCGCAATACGCCAGCTACGGGACGCAGACGTTCTGTCTCAACCCACCGGCGCATCCCGGTGAGCAGCCCGACTGCAGAGACCATCCAAACTGGATCAAACCATGTTCGGAGGCGTACACGGAAGCAGCAGCAAAGGACGTGTGCACGCCGACGGTCATGTCGACCTTCATCAACCGGGTGACGCTCAACTGGCCGGTGTTTGGAGCTGTGGATTTCTGGGCGCAGTTTGCCTTCTTGGCTGTCTTCCTTATTGTGTTCACAACATCTCTATTTAGGACGCCGAAGCTGGACGTGTCCAGGATGGATGAGGATGCTGAGGCGGATGAGGAAGAGGGTCTGCTGGCCAGCACGGGGCGCCGCTTTGGAGCCACATGGCAGAACATCACGGGCCATGCCACGCAGAATGGCGAGTCGGGTTACGGAACGGGATCTGGGGCAAACTGATTTGGGATATGGGAATCTGACACACTTGAGCTCTGGCGGCTAAACCCCTTCGTTTTCTGTATTTTCACATGTACTTATGGCATTGGGGGAGGATCCTTTATTGAGGTGGAACATGATACGCAACCTGGGCAAAAAGAGAGGACTGTGGCGGACAGGACAGGGTAGTCAGGCTAGCCCTCGGATATGAGGTGGTCAAAGGGACAGGCAACAAGCACAATCACAAGCAGTAAGCATATGAGCAGTATGAATAAAAGTTCTTTACGTACGGGTAAGTGTCGGCTGTCTGTCGAGGCAAATGCCCCCACCTTTCATGGCTGGCTGGCCCGAGAGAGAGGCACGCGTTTGTGGCCGCGCTCGTCGAATCCTGCAGCAGGGCCGACGTGCATCTCGCGCCAGCAGCGGGCGCAGTAGGGGTCGTCATCGCAGCCGAGACAACGCACGGCGGCGTCCTCGAGACAGACGACGCACCAGGAGCGGCGGTCCTCTTCGGTGTAGCCGAAGCGGCTGCTGCTGCTGCCGGGCTTCTTTCTGTCGTCGCCTGGGCGAAAAGTTGGCGCCGACGGCAGGCCAAAGGCGTCCGTGTGGCCGAGGCCGGCATCGGGACCGCTGAGGCCCCGGAGGGCAGCAAGGCGCTCGGCGATGTCGTCGGCAGCATCACGTTCCGGCCGGTCGACGAGCTCTGTCGGGACGGCGGGGAGTTGCAGATCCGAGGAGTCGTCTGGCTCACCGGCATCGGCTCGAGCTTCATCTCGGGCTTGGCTCACCACACGACGCACCTCGCGGTCCATGTTGTCACCGTCCGACTCGTCCGACTCGTCTGAGCGGCGGGAGCTGGGCTGGGCCTGGCTGCCTTCGGCTCCAGGTCCGGCCAGGCTCCCTAGCAAATCAGCGACCTTTTTCTCGTCATCTGCATCATCTGCATCGTCCGCATCTTGGCTAAGCTGCCGTGGCACGTCCGGCAGCAATACGAAGCTGCCGTTGTCGTCGTCCTCGTCATCCAACAAAAAGTCGTTGAGCGCTCGCTCATCAGAGAAGAGCAACGGGTCGTCGTCCTCGTCATGGTGGCCCTGTACCGCTGACGGCGCGGTTGGTGGCAAAGGAGACGAAGGATCCGCGTTGGAGACGACCTGGCGCTTACCATCAGCCTGGGGTTCGCTGTGCTGGCGGAGCAGCCGCAGCCGAGCAGCGAGCGCATCTGCACGTGCTTCTGGTGCATCTGCAGCACTGTCGGTCACATGTGAAGTAGTCGACCTTTGTACACGATGGCAGGTTAACAATGCGTCGTCGTTGTGCCGAAGACGTTAGAAGACATTACGTTTGCGAAGGCCTGTCCAGAACCACTCCGGACGGCTTCAGAGCGTTGAGACGGTCGAGGAGACTGCGGTCGGCAGCCGATGAGTCCATGGGGACGATGACCTGATAAACAGCAGTCTCCTCGAGGTGCAATCAGAGGTCTGGGATGCGAATCAACCTTGTAGTTTGCCTTGCGCTAAAATGAAATATTGCCCGTACGAAATACGGGGTTCTTGTATCTTACTGCTGACCGTAAGCAGAAAGAGCGCTGTACTCCGTAATGTGGCTGTGTATTTGATCTAGGAGCGGAAGGGGCTTTAATAGGTGCTGTGTTGGGCTCGCCAAACGTTACTGCTAACTGGGCTGTCAGGCTATCTTACTTGTACGGAGTAAGAAACAACAGCCAAAAACGGAGGCGAGGATACCATGAAGTCACCGCAATGCCAAGACGCGAGCACACAACGCATCCGCCCTAGGCCAGCTGCTAATTTCTTACTGTTTAACCTTCCGGAGTAGTCTGTAGCATAATAGCAACGTCTTGCTCCACCTGGGTGTTATATACTGGCTGCGTCTGCTCCCACCGTTTCATGGTCCCGGAAGTCTGGTTTGCAATCACCACAACAACGAAATACATCGGCAACAACATCATCACCACGAATCCGGCACGATGAAACTTAGCAGAATTTTACTGCTGATGTCGGCTGCTGCGCCCCTTGTCGGCGCTGCAGCCGTACCAGACATACAGAATGATGATGCCGTTCCCGCTCTTGTGCTGCGGTTCAGCCCAGCCTCAGAACACGATGCGACCAAACGCGACGAGCCTGCATGGGAATACGAGAGGCTCTTTCGGCGCAAAGGCGGCGGCGGCAGCAGCGGCGGTGGCGGTGGTCGCTCTGGCGGTGGAAGGTACGTTCTCGCTCGCCTCTGGTCTTGGTGCTGCCTTTTTCTTTTGTCGTTTTCTTGGTCTTTCTCTTCTCTCTCTCTCTTTTTCTTCTGTTCTGCAGCGTGGCCCTTTTATGTTGAGCGATTCTTCTGTCTGGATGGACACTAAGAAGAGGCTCGCCTAGCTCTGGGGGGTCTTCTGGGTCTTCCGGTTCCGGGCGTGGTGGCTCATCTAGTTCTGGATCGAGCTCTGGATCCAGCTCTGGGTCTAGCTCTGGATCCAGCTCGGGAGGCTCCTCCAGCTCCGGCGGCAAAGGAGGCAAAGGCGGCAGCTCGTACGGCTCTCTCAACCCATTTCCTTATTCTCGTGGTCGTCCCTCCTGGGCTCCTCATCGGGGTCCTGGTCGCCGTCCTGGTCGACGTCCTGGTCGTCGTCCTTCTCGACGCCCTTCTCGGCGCCCGTCGTCCCCTAAACTAACCCATGACCATAGTGGCAAAGGCTCGTCGTCGTCCAGCTCGGGCGGCCGTACCACCACCGGCAGTGGCACGAAGCCAGCTTACGGCGGTGGTGCCTACTACGGTGGTGGCTCGACGGTGCCGTATCGCTCGGGCTCGACGTCGCCGTCGGGCATCGCTCCGCTGGCTCTCGGCGTCGGTGCCGGCTTGGCCATCGGCAGCAGCACGCACTTTTGGCCCGGCTACTGGTACCACCCGATCTACTATTATCCGTACAGCCACCCGTACGCATACCTTAACCAGACGTCCAACCGGAACGAGACGAAGAATGTGGCCTGTGCCTGCGACGAGACGGTCGAGTGTGGCTGTGACAACAACTCCAACAGCACGTACTTTGCCGACCTGCTTGGAAACGGCTCCTACGCCGCCCTCAATGCCAGCGGTGTCGCTGTGGCCGACGTCAACGGCACCAGCACCCTGCTCATCAACGGCACCCTGCCCAACGGCACCACGGCGGCGGGTGGCACCGAAAGTGCCAGCGCTGCCGGCGGCAGCCTGCGAGAGCTGCGAGAGCACGCCGGCCTGGTACCTGCCATCGCTGCCATGCTTGCCATGGTGTATGTGCTGTGAGATTCTGCGAAAGCTGTGTGTGACTGCGTGTGGCAGGGACATAATGGAGATAAGAAGATGCTTGGCTCGGGCCTGTTTGTCTAATTGTTTTATTACGTCTTACGGTCTGGGATCTCACGTTATAGCGTGGTGGGTGGTGTTGGACACATGACGGCGACGTTCTGCCTTACCTGTATTGATCGGGGCTAAAAGGATGCAGCCGTCTGTATCCTAGACGAATATAATCATTCACCAAGAGTGCGTTATTTTACAGGATTCGTACGGACATCACACCCACTTCCGTCCGGTTTCGGTCTCGATCTCCTGTCGACGCATCTCAGTCCAAGAGCCAAGCTGTGCCCAGATGGCTTCTTTCTCGGCTGGCGAGAGCGAAGCAGCGAGGCCGCTGGTGCTGGAAGCGACAAAGATGCGAGCACCCTTCCAGGCAGGGTCATCGTGGACGCCGTCGGCAACGGTGCGGTATTCGGCCAGCTCGTCGTTGTTGAGAGCCGGCGGCCGACAGCCCATGTTCTCAGCCTCGTCCTGCCAGCCGTAGTGGAAGGCGGGACGGCCACCAATCTTTGGGCGCCGGCCATAGCGCACGCGCTCGACGCTTTGCCAGATGCCCTTGCCGACAAGGCAGACGACTTCGGGGCGCCAGCTCCAGGTCTTGGCCTCGAGCAGAGCGACGCCGGCGTCCAGCTCGGCCGGCCGCAGCTCGCCGCCGTGACGAGACGGCCGGGCGACGATGTTGGTCAGGCCGAGGCGGAAGCGTGCCGGAAGCGAGCGATCCTCGTCAGGACGGCAGGCCACGGGCGTGATCCCGGAGCGGTACAGAAGCCGCCAGAAGAGGTTCGACGGGTGTGCAAACGCGTGGCCACTGCGAGCTGTCTGCACGCCCGGATTGAGTCCGATGAAGAGAACGAGCAGTCCGGGCGCCAGCGCGTCCGGCAGCAGGTCGAGATGCGCATACACCGACGGGTCTTTGCTGGACGTCCGCGCACGCTTGCCCGAGCAGGACGACGGCTTCTTTTGTGGCGAGGCGTCTTTCGCCACATCCTCCACATCGGCCCGTCGTCGCTTTTTCGGCACAGACACCTCTTCCCTGTACGCAAAATCGGACACGCGCAGACGGCCAGCAAAGGTCGGCGGTGCGGTCGTATCGTCGTTCATGGCGCAGGTGTCGCGTTGTTAGCGAGTTGGAGGTCAGGGAAATCATTGCACAGCCATTTATAGCGCCTTTTAGATTGGCTAAGTTGCTGCCTGGAGCTGAAATGCGGTATTGCCCCCCCTCGTGGCTTGTCAGGCAGCCTTCTTCCGTGCCATTCTAGCCAGTCCCCCTCACTTCGCGTTTAGGTAGCTCAGGTACGAGTTCCAGCCGATCGACACCACATTCACAAACAGCACGCGGTGGTGCAGCGGCACGACCGAAAAGTTGATCATCTGCACGGCCGGCCAGATGGCGTAGTTGGCCGTCAGCGCGCTGTGGTAGTTGCGGTCTAGATTCTCGCGCGGCGACGAGCCCTCCAGCACCGCCATGCTCGACAGGAACACGCTGATGAACACGGGCGCAAAAAGGCCCTGGTCGCAGGCCACCTGCGCCAGCATCGTGCGTCGCGGCGTGCTCAGCACCACCCGCTTCTGCAGGAACCGGTACCACGTCGTTGCTGCCGGCCCAAACACCGTCCCACCGTAAAGCGCCATCCGCGCCGTGCGCGCCGCGTCATGGCCCTCGAGCCCGCGCCGCTCCACCACCTGCTGCGCCGTCGTGTCGCCCGTGGCGAACAGCAGCGCTGTCGTGATGCTCTGTGTGAGCACCGGGTGGGAGGCGAGCCTCGACTGATACCTACATGCGGAGGCGATGTGTGAATGGATATACGGGAGAGGATGACCAGAGGACTTACCAGTGCAACATGATGTCTTGTTGATGACGAGCTGATGAACTGATGTCCTGATGTCCTGATGTCCTGATGTCCTGATGTTCTGATGTTCTGATGTTCTGATGTTCTGATGATGATGAGAGCTGTGCTCGAAAAGCCGGCCTGGTTGCAACGACAGCAATAAAGATGCTGCTCTTGTCGTCTCGTTCTCGACCTGGTTGGTGATGATACGGGATCCTTCACGTTGCAGGCTCTTCTCTCGGCCTTTTTATTTTCTGTCCATTTCGTTTTGTCCCGCATCGACGCCTGCAAAATAAGTACAAAAGTTTCTCAGGTTCTGCCCCGCCTGCTTTTACTGCAGGCTGCACCGACTGTTCCTTCCATATATGGGGTAGAACACTGGGGGAATGCCCCAAACGCTCTATCACAAAACTAAGCAAGCGTTCTGATCGCGACTTCCCCGCGTCGTCTGTGAGCTGGTAAGAGCTGTGTGAACAGAGCCTCATAGAAACATGTGACACAGATCTGATCGTCTTTACCCATAGTCTAGTACGGAGTATATCGCTGACAATCGCTTTATCATCTAACATCCATCCCCGGTCCTGCAAGGGTGCTTGAATATCTTCGGCTTACTCCGTCGTTGTGGCACCACTTCGACCCAATTTCACCAAGTCTGACCACATTGAAAGCGACCCGTCTTGGCAAAACAAAGCCCATGCTGAGGCCCATTAATAATATATGGTTGTTTGCCGAAGTTGCGACACTTTGCATTTTGCTACTCCACTTGTCTACTACGATATGGAATCAAGTGCCGTGGGCTGCATGCATAGTCGAAATGAACAAAATAACATAATCCTATACCTGTTTGTACACCCCCCTCGCTACGTCTTTCTCACCACAGCATAGCACTGTTCTGATATCTTTGTCCCATTTTTTCCTGCTTATACGCAGCGCAACATAGTAATAAAAATAGGGGGGAAGAAAAGGAAACAAGGAAAGGATATAATGACAGAAACACGCTAGGGGTAATCGCGTCTAAAAGTGCTCCTTCCAGAAGCGGAAGTTGACTTCCCGAACAGATGCTGCTTCAGCTGCCTTCTTGATGCCGCGTGCTGCAAGAGTGTTAGCAAGGCCGATGCCACAGGAAAGAAGAGAAACGATGGTGACATACCTGCTGCAGACGGTCCGCAGAAGTAGACACCGACGGTGGTCCTCACGCTGCCCTCGAGGCCGTTGAGATAGGTGCGGTTGAGAATGCCGTCGCGCATGGTGCAGAACAGCTTGTCAAAGTTAGGGCGGCCAAAGTTGGTGCGCGACTTGAGCTCGGTCAGCGGATCGTGGTCGGAACCGACGGAGTTGAGCACAATGTTCTGTGTCGTGTCCATGTCGAGCTTCTGGGTCAGATACGTGTGGATCCGGAGAAACTCGGTGCCGTTGCTGCCTGGAATGCGTGCCGCCTCGGCCGACTGCTGCTCGAGCGACGACAACAGCGTCTGGAACCATTCGAACGAGGTGGTGTCCCTGCAGACCCAGATGAACTCGACACGACGCAGCCGCGTCGGCGGGTTGGGCCCGTTGCGCAAGTGCCAGATGTTCTTGAGGATCGACGCCCACGGCGTCACACCGATGCCCGTGCCAACCAGCACGGCAATCTCGTTGTCGAACACATCCTCGGCCGGCGCTCCATAGGGGCCGTCGATGCGCAGCGTCGGCATCTGCTGACCGTTCTGCAGCGCTACCTCATACATGCCCATCGGGTCCACGCCCTCGTACAGCTTCGACTGGGCGGCTCCGGCACCGATGGCGTCACCAAGCGCCCGCGTGAAGTCGCCGACCTGCCGAACGTGCACCGAGACGTACGGGTCGTACGGACACGACGTGATCGTGAACGGGTGCCACTGGTATTTGGACACCGAGGGCACCTGCAGGAAAAGCCACTGGCCGGCCTTGTACTTGAACGACGGCTTGGCAAACTGGATCTCGACAACGTCTGGAAGGAGAAGGACTGGTCAGCTTTTGCGCTACTGTCGGATTCGCGTCCGGCTTTGACTTCCCACTTACCATACGGATGGCGGACGACACGGGTGATGCGGGTCTGGCGGCGGGCTCGGACTTCGCGGTACAGACGCTCCACCAGATAGAGGCCGCCAGCAAACAGCTCCCATCGCCAGCCTTCGTAGCCGAGACAGTGGTCCCAGAACTTCTTGCCGGCAAAAGGCGACACGGCGTCGGCAGTGTCGCGCACAAAGCAGCCGACGGTGTGGGTGTACAGGCCGAGGAAAAAGGGAATGAACAGGTGGTGCGTGTACCAGAACGTTTCGAACGACTGCTGCCGGATTTTGGCGTGGGCTGTCGTGTACATGAGCAGCATGCAGAGCAGCATGATGTGACCGGTAATGCCGCCAGGCTGCGTGTAGTGAATCTGCACTGCTGTGACAGGGCGAACCTGGTTCAGCTCGACATTATAGAAGCTGTGTACACGGTCAGTGCTGACATTCAGAAGGAGCCGAGACGGCTGACGATGGCGCAAGGCACTTACTTGACGTAGTGGCCAGCCGTGTGGATGATGGCGAAGAGCAGCAAGGCGTAGGCGACCTGCCGATGGAACCAGATATTCTCGTCAAGAGGCAGAAACCGGACCTTTGGCCGCACAATCCGCACGAGCGTCCGGCAGACGGGCAGCAGAATAAGGGTGCCGTCGATTGCCAAGACGAGACCGGCACCCCGAGAAATCCAGACGGAGAATGTGAGTGTGTTCAGACCAGCCAGTCGAGGATCTGTTGCTTGTTTGTGCCTGCGCCTGTGTCAGCACCAAAAAGAGCAAAGCAGCAAGACCATAGGGCCAGAAGAACCGTTTCTACGCACCATCCAAAGGCGAACATTCCCCAGTGGAAGCTCCAGAAGAGAAAATGAAACAGCAGCTTCGGAGTTGTTAGCTGCTTCTTGAGCAGCTCTTGGACGCTCATCTTGGCGGCTGTGGTCTTCTCGACTAGACAGAGACTGTATTAAGAGTGTCGACCGGCGACGATTCGAACCAGAAGGTGAAGACAAATAAAATAAAAAATAAGCCAAAAGAGTGATCTGAGCCAGCAGCGTTAAGTAGAATTATAAAGATGAAGGAGGGGAACGAATGAGGAAGAGAGCCTTGCAGAACTGGCGCCGGCAAATCCTCTACCAGGCTGAGTAGGGGAGAGGAAGAAGAAGACGGAAGCGAGAAGGTGCGGTAGCGGGAATGTAAGTCATAAAGGGTAAGGAGGAAACGCGACCAAAAAGTCTGTTGGTGGATGCGGATACGAGAGTCCGTGTGGTACGGAAAATGGAGAGGGGGAGAGTCAAAAGAAGCTTGAAGGGACCCACAGCCGGTACGGAGACGATGGAACGATGTTATGTACGGAGTAGCAAGATTTTTTTTTCTTCGCATGTCAGATGGGCTGAAACTGGCTGGAAGATGCCTAGTTATGGTTGCACCCTTCGTTCGTCCTCCAATTGAGCTGAGCGGACGTTGCGATCGAAAGGATGTCGAGGGAAGGCGAGATATGTTGGAAGAGAGATGAAAGCTGAAAGACGAGAGACGAGAGACGAGAAGAGACAGAGTTCAGGTTTCCCTTGGACGAGACGGATCAGTCACGCCGAGCTGTTTCGAGCTCGAAAGATGCCTGTGTCAGAGGCAGCCTCTTGCGTACAAGTGGGAGCGGAGCGGTGCAGCAGAACAGGGAAGGCTTGAGACGGCAGGTGTTAGAGACGCTTTGATGAGGGGCGTTTATAAGCTCGGCCTGGTCGTTTCGTCGTGACAGGGGTCGTCGTTCTGGAATTATGACAGGCGAGAAGCGAGTTTTGTAGATGCAATTCTGGCAGCGCAGCTGGAAAGCGAGGGGAACGAGAAGGCAGGAGAGAAAGCAAAAGCAAAGTCTCCTTCTACGATGCGGCGGCTGTCGTCGTTAAAACCAGTCAGCCAGACAAGAATAGAGCGCGAGAACGTGCTTTGATTGGCCAGGGGCCATCCGTGATGAGACGCAAAGATAGAGTGTGACCACGTCGTCGGGCGCTTCCACCACGCCAAAAGAGGGCTAGTGTAGATATGGCTAGCGCGCCAGTGTCCTGCAGCCAATCATGGGCATCGAGAAGCTGCAAACGAGACCGCGCTTTGGCCCCATTGTTCCCTCTTCCTGCCAGCTCGCTTGGCCGTTTTCTGTACGGTGCTGGCCCTTCCAATCTTGCTACGTCGTACGCTGGCGCTGGCCGGTCGGGTAGTCACTTTCCGGCCGGCTATCACTTTTGGCGCCGGTAGTCACCCCATCTGTCGTCTGACTTTGTCCGTTCCCCGGACGTTGGGATGCCTTGCGATGGTGCCATTGCCGGGTCCTAATTAATGAGGCTCTGATCTAGCAGAGTAGGGCCGTAAGGAGGGCAAGGCGTGTAATACTCCGTAGCTTCGAGAATAGCTTTCTGCAAGATACGGTGTACTCCTTATCTTACTCTGTGGAGAGCATTGCCACATTGGAACACGATATCGTGCCTGTGCCAGTTACACAGCAAGTCTCTAAACTTTCAGCTTCCTACCCTAACCTATTTGATCTCAATGTTTCAAGGTTGTTGCTGGTTCCGATGTATTCATCTGCACAAGCCCGGACCAACATCCACCCAACTTTCCCATGGTCTCGGCCCAGAACGCCATATGGAGGCTCAAATCCCATGGCATCGGCACAGTCTACTCGCAAATTGTGCTTGGCAGCACAAGTACGGAGATAGGGGCGTGCTAAGCATTTGGACCCCATGAAGGATGAACGGCACGTTGTTTATCCTGCGTGATCGGCGGACAACGGTGGTTACAGACCGTTCAGGGGCTTCCAGGATGCGTCTCCGCTACTGCTTTCCAAAACGGGCCTTCCGGAGCACCTAGTACGGAGCATCGCTCGTATAGTAAAATACGGAGTTCCTCTGGAAGAGGCTTGGGCATACTCCGTACTCCGTATACGGAGTAAGTTCACAGGACGAACTTGTCGCCTCCAGATGACGTACGACTGCGCCGTAGATGGCTGCCGATGGTTCCGTGCAAGAACAGGCAGCCGACACGTGGAAAAAAGGTACCGCTAAATGGTGGAAATTGGCGCGAAACAACAGGGACTCGGAGGTACACCGTAAAACACAGCAGATTGTAGGTGGCGACGCAAATTGTGCGTGGCTGCGTGGCTGTGTGGCTGTGTGGCTGTGCACCCCGCATTGCGTACTTGTTATGTTCGTGTTTAGCCATCAGCATATTCTCGAGCACCGCTACCGACAGACGTTGAGGCGACGCAAGCCTTTTGCTCCAACAGCAACCGTCACGGCCTTTGGACATTGAGCATTTTTCTGGCAGGAGGAGCAGTGAGCGAGAGAGCCGGGGCTGAAGTGATCCCCAGCAGCAGGCAGCGAGCAGTGACCCCCTTTCCGAATTAAGCCCCACCGACAGCTTTCGGACAGCAATTGACAGGGAGCGTCTGCAATCTGCAGCGGCCCTTTTTTTCGTTCTTTCTCTCTTGCTTCCCCTTTTCACCACCCCCAGAGATCCATAGACCGGGTCAGCGATGGTAAGTCGAAGTTGCAGTGCTGGACGCCGGGACGGGGCCGGGCTCCCTTGGCCGGGGCAGCCGGGCTGGGCGTCGATGCAAGTCCCCCCCTGGATTGTTGTGACAGACGCTGACACGGGCTTCCGGGCGGGCGCAGGCTATTACACGAAGAGCAAGAGACAAGCAGGCGAAACCCGAACGGGCGGGCGGCGGCGGGGGCAGCGGCGGAGGGGCAGCGCGGCCCAAGAAGGCCACGTATGACACGACGAAGAAGCGGGAGATCGGAGTGTCGGATCTGACGTTGCTGAGCAAGGTGTCGAACGAGGCGATCAACGAGAATTTGAAGAAGCGATTTGAGGGTGCGGAAATCTACACGTACATCGGACACGTGCTGGTGTCGGTCAACCCGTTTCGGGATCTGGGCATCTACACGGACGAAGTGCTGGACAGCTACCGGGGCAAGAACCGGCTGGAAGTGCCGCCGCACGTGTTTGCGATCGCAGAGGCGTCGTACTACAACATGAAGGCGTACAAGGAGAACCAGTGCGTGATTATCTCGGGCGAGTCCGGGGCCGGCAAGACGGAGGCGGCGAAGCGGATCATGCAGTACATTGCCAACGTGTCGGGCGGTGACACGGGCGACATCAAGCAGATCAAGGACATGGTGCTGGCGACGAACCCGCTGCTGGAGTCGTTTGGCAACGCGAAGACGCTGCGAAACAACAACTCGTCACGATTCGGCAAGTACCTGCAGATCCACTTCAACGGCAACGGCGAGCCGGTGGGCGCAGACATCACGAATTACCTGCTGGAGAAGTCGCGGGTGGTTGGCCAGATCACCAACGAGCGCAACTTCCACATCTTCTACCAGCTGACCAAGGGAGCGTCGGCGGCATACCGGCAGACGTTTGGGCTGCAGACGCCGGACACGTACGTGTACACGAGCGGGTCCAAGTGCTACGACGTGGACGGGATCGACGACGTGGCCGAGTTCCAGGACACGCTGCAGGCAATGGGCGTGATTGGGCTGACGCAGGCGGAGCAGGACAACATCTTCCGGATGCTGTCGGCGATTCTGTGGGCAGGCAACATGGGTTTCCGCGAGGACGAGAGCGGATATGCGGCCGTGACAGACCAGTCGGTGGTGGACTTTCTGGCGTACCTGTTGGAGGTTGAGCCGCAGCGACTGGTGTCGGCAATCACGATCCGGGTGCTGACACCGCGCAGCGGCGAGGTGATCGAGTCGCCCGCGAACGTGGCACAGGCGGTGGCGACGCGGGATGCGCTGGCCAAGGCGATCTACAACAACCTGTTCGACTGGATCGTAGAGCGGATCAACCAGTCGCTGAAGGCGCGGCAGGCGGCAGCGAACTCGGTGGGGATCCTGGACATCTACGGGTTCGAGATCTTCGAGAAGAACAGTTTTGAGCAGCTGTGCATCAACTACGTGAACGAGAAGCTGCAGCAGATCTTCATCCAGCTGACGCTGAAGACGGAGCAGGAGGAGTACGCGCGCGAGAAGATCCAGTGGACGCCGATCAAATACTTTGACAACAAGGTGGTGTGCGACCTGATCGAGTCGGTGCGGCCGCCAGGGCTGTTCTCGGCGCTCAAGGACGCGACAAAGACGGCGCACGCGGATCCGGCGGCCTGCGACCGGACGTTTATGCAGAGCCTCAGCGGCATGTCGAACGCGAACCTGACGCCACGGCAGGGCAACTTTATCATCAAGCACTACGCGGGTGAGGTGTCGTACACGGTGGAGGGCATCACGGACAAGAACAAGGACCTGCTGCTAAAGGGGCTGCTGAATCTGTTTGAGGCGAGCGGAAACGGGTTCGTGCACGCGCTGTTCCCGAATCAGGTGGACCAGGACAACCGGCGACAGCCACCGACGGCGGGTGACCGGATCCGGACGTCGGCGAACGCGCTGGTGGACACGCTGATGAAGGCGCAGCCGTCGTACATCCGGACGATCAAGCCGAACGAGAACAAGTCGGCGACGGAGTACAACGGACACAACGTGCTGCACCAGATCAAGTACCTGGGACTGCAGGAGAACGTGCGGATCCGACGGGCCGGCTTTGCGTACCGGCAGACATTTGAGAAGTTTGTGGAGCGCTTCTTCCTGCTGTCACCGGCGACGTCGTACGCGGGCGAGTACACCTGGACGGGCTCATACGAGGAGGCCGTGCGGCTGATTCTCAAGGACACGAGCATCCCGGCCGAGGAGTGGCAGATGGGCGTGACCAAGGCGTTTATCAAGTCACCTGAGACGCTGTTTGCGCTGGAGCACATGCGCGACCGCTACTGGCACAACATGGCCATGCGAATCCAGCGGATGTGGAGGGCCTACCTGGCCTACCGGGCGGAATCGGCGACGCGGATCCAGCGGTTCTGGCGCAAGAAGCGTGTGGGGACCGAGTACCTGGAGCTGCGCGAGCAGGGGCAGCGGTTGCTGGGCGGACGCAAGGAGCGGCGGCGCTTTAGTCTGTTGGGCCAGCGTCGTTTCCTGGGCGACTATCTCGGGCTCAATGCGGCAACAGGACCAGGCAGCGTGATCCGGAGTGCAACGGGCATCGCGGCCAGCGAGCGGGCCGTCTTCTCGTGTCGTGGCGAGATGCTGGAGGCCAAGTTTGGGCGATCGAGCAAGGCCAGTCCGCGCATTTTGGTGGTGACCAGCAGCAAGTTTTATGTGATTGCACAAATGTTGGTGAACCATCAGCCACAGATCGTGGTCGAGCGGGCGATTCCGCTGGGGGCCATCAAGTTCATCAGCGCTTCGACGAGCCGGGACGACTGGTTCGCGCTGGGCATCGGGTCGCCACAGGAGGCCGATCCTCTGCTCACCTGCGTCCTCAAGACGGAGATGTTTGTGCAGCTGAAGCGTGTCATGCCGGCCGGCTTCAACCTCAAGATCGCCGACGGCATCGAGTACGCCAAGAAGCCGGGCAAGACCCAGATGGTCAAGGTGCTCAAGGACAGTCAGACCACCGCCGACCATTACAAGTCGGGCGCCGTCCACACGCAGCCGGGCGAGCCGCCCAACTCCGTCTCACGTCCGATGCCGCGTGCCAATCCCGTCGCTGCAAGGCCCATCACGCGCGGCAAGCTGATCAAGCCGGGCGGGCCCAACGGCCGTCCATCACGGCTGGCCGGCAACCGTGCCACCCAGCCACGGCCGCTTCCAGGAGGACGAACTCCGACAGCTGCAACGATGCCTGCTGCTGCTGCTTCGATGCCGGCTGCTGTGCCGCATGTGACACAAGCCACACATGCACCAGCCACACACAGCCACAACTCATCAGCCACGCACAGCCACCCAGCACCAGCCACACGCATGCATGCCGCCGCCGCCAAGAAGCCCACGCCCACGCCGAACCCCCGGCCTGCCGCCAGTCTGCCGTCTCACACGCGCAACACCTCCTCCAGCTCGTCGGCACGCGCGCCACCGCCGCCGCCACCGGCACCGCCGGCAGCCAAGCCTAACAAGATCACGGCCAAGGTGCTGTACGACTTCCAGGGCCAGAAGCAGAACGAGCTGTCGATCCACACAGGACAGATTATCGACATTGTGCAAAAGGAAAACAATGGTGAGCTACTTCCTTTATCTTACTTCTATTAGCTTTTCGCTTCTTTGCTAACCCCCCAGGCTGGTGGTTGGCCAAGGTCGGTGAGCAGCAGGCCTGGGTGCCGGCTGCCTATGTGGAGGAACAGGTGGCGGCAGTTCCGGCCGTGTCACGTGCCCCGCCAGCGCCGCCACGTCGGCCTGTTGGCGGTAGCAACGCCGGCAGGTCGTCGGTGGCGTCGTCGTCCTCGGCCGCCTCCCCCCTGCAGCCGCGCGACTCCGGCATGAGCCTCAACGGCGTCAGCCACTCGTCCGATAGCAGCCGCGGCAACACGCCGACGCCGTCGGCTGCCGGCAGCACCGGTGGCCTCAGCTTGGCCGACGCTCTGCTGGCACGGCAGCACGCCATGTCGACTCGGCGCGAAGAGCCGGACGACTGGTAGATGGGCCATCAAGAGGACCAGTGTCCTTTACACACATGCAGCTTGCTTTCCTTCATCTTCTTCCTCTCTTCTTCCTCCTTTTGACAAGATACAAAAAGGGCAATAGACGTTTCTCATATAACTGTTTTCACCTTTGGCAGCCCTGCCCTCTGATTTCTTGTTTCCCGTCTTGTTGGCATATATTGTCGTATTAAAAATTGAAATGACCCGTATCTTACACCCAGACACCTTCTACATGCATATCCAGATCAGGCCAAAATCACTGTCCTTTTTTCCGCCGCTGAAGCAGCTCGGACAACGGCACGTCGTCCTCGTCCCCGTCGACCTCTTCGTCTACGCCGTAGTCGCGCAGTCGGTCGCCATCAGCGTTTGTCCACCCCGGCCGGCCGTCCATGCCCTCCTCCTCGACAACTGCCTTGGCCACGACACCGTGCTGGCGACGCCGGAAATCCGCCGCCTGTCGCTGTTTGAATGCCGCTAGCTCTTCCTCGGGCGTGCCCGTCTTCCAGCTGCTGTTGGGCGAGAGCCTGTAGTCGTGTCCCGATGTCGCTGCCATGGTCTGGTCGGTCTGTTCTGCCCAGCTTTCGCGCTTGGCCCGTCGGATTTTGTCCGGATCGGGAGGCGGCCACATGCCCGGCTCACTGTTGAACCCGTTCTCGGGCCAGTCCCAGCCCGCACCGGAGCCCCCGATGGCGACCTTGGGCCCGCTGGCAAATGGAAAAAACCACAGAAAGATGTTCACGGTTCCCATGGCCTGGGACATGTTCCCGAAGAAGCCAATGTCGTACGGAAACTCCACACGCGAGCGCGGGGCTGTTTTCTTACGAGGGCTCTCGTCGTACGTGTCGCCATCGTCGTCGTCGTCGTCGTCGTCGCTGCCGGCATTTGTGCTGTTGTAGTCATCGCCGCCATCATCGTAGTCGTCGCCCTCATCCCAAAAGGTGCCGTCGGCATGCGTGCTGTTGTAGCGGTCGACGACGGCCTCGTGGCGGTCGATCTCCCAGCTCTCGATCATGGTCGTGTTGAACAGCCAGGCGTACACAGTCGTGTACAGCATGATGCTGAGGGTGAGCATCGTAGCGCTGCAGACGAGAGCCAGGATAGTCAGGTGGGCCAGCTCCAGCAGGGTCGGGCCCAGGTAGGCCGGCAGATGGCGCTCTGCCCACAGGGCGTAGAAGCGTTGGGCCAGCAGGTAGCCGAGCATCCAGAGCGACACGTTTGTGAAGACGACAAAGCGCAGAAAGTACGGGAACGTCTGCATGGACACGCAGTTGCCCGTCCACGGACAGTGATGGTCCATCTTGGGCACACATCGGGCGCAGTGCCGGCAGTGGTGTGCCCGTGGCGGCTTGGGCGCACGACACTTCTTACACCACCGCGTTGGCGAGGCCGTGGGTGTGTAGGATGAGGATGATGACGAGGATGAGGAGGCTGAGGAGGAGAAGAGAGCACGGGAGGCCGGGTCGGTCTTGGGGTCAAAGACGGTGGGGATGTCGAACACGTAGCGGCCCGGGTCCACGGTGCAGGCCCGAAAGTATGTCCACAAGAGGCAGAGCAGCAGGGTGTTGAACGTGATAGACTCTGCTGTCGTCAGTGGACCCGGTTCGAGGTAGCTGGCCGTGTGGAAGAGCCATTGCGAGCTGTAGCCGAGAAAGAGGATGATGGAGGTGGCAACGGGAATGGCAAGCCAGTGCAGGCCCGGCGTGGTCGGGCCAGTCTTGATGGAGGTCATGTTTGTACCGTCGGCGGCATGTCGGCCGACCTGGAGACACAGAGGAGGATTTGCTGGAAAGCGAGAGGTGGCGAGATGATATGGAGATTGGAAAATGGCCGAAATGCCAGAGTACGGGGTCAAGCGAGCTGCAGGAAGGTGCGACTAATTAAGCGTTACGTGCAGGAAAGACTGCTCTGGCCAGATTAGTAAGCAAACTGGAAGTATATCTTTCTCGTATACGGAGTACGAAATCAGCAGAAACACATAATACACGTTTGGCAAAACCATCGAACCAATCACATGCCACCATGCGAAGAGCAAAGCGATCTACACAACTTGTAGTCGATCAGAGGTTTTATTACAAGAGAGCCAAGCTAGGCCATACTACACGTCGTCCCAAGAGTGCTGCCGTGTCCAGCCAGCGAAGCGAGTTTGGATCTTCATGCTCTCGAGCACGCGCAGCTTGATGTCGTCAGCACAGATGTCGAGGCCGACGAAGGCGCCGTGAGTGCTGGTGAAGTCGTGGTGCTTGAGCGTATCCCACATGGCAAAGACCTCGTCGGCGGCAAGAGGGATCATGTTGGGGATGCTCCACATAAAGGCAAACGAGTTCATGTGGGCGGGCCTCCTGCGCGGCTGGCCGAGCGCATCGGTGGTCCAGCTTCCCATGCCAGCTGGCGTGGTGACGAGCGTGTCGGCGATGAGCAGGTGGCCGTCGAAGAGCAGCACCTGGCTGCCGGGGAAGTGGCCGCCCAGCCGGATGGCCTTGGCGCCGGTCTTGATTCTGCTGTTGCTGTCGTTGCCGACGACGATCTCGTGAACGGGCTCGCCCTCGAGAAAGACCTGGTGCGGCGACTGCTGGACGGCCCAGACACGATCCTCGCCACGCAGGTAGACGGGGCAGTCAAAGGCGGCGGCCCACTCGACGTGCGACGAGAAGTAGTGCGGGTGCGAGATGACGATGGCGCGCAGGCCGCCAAGAGCGCGGATGTGCTCGATCGTGGCCGCGTCCAGCAGCGTGAGACAGTCCCACAGGATGTTGCCGGCTGGCGTGCGCACCAGGATGGCACGCTGGCCGATGGCCAGCTTGGGCTCCGTCACGATGCTCGTCAGCCGTCCGTCGCCGCCGGCCGCCGGGTGGAATACGTTGTGGTGTCGTCGCCGCAGCTCACCCATGGTCGCAAATGCCTGGCCGGACGGCGGCGTGAACTGCCGCGGATCGTCGCAGATGATACATGACGGCAATGCCGTGCGGTCGGCCGTCGGAAACTGCGTGCCGCACGCTGTACAGACTAGCCAGCAGTCGGTGGCATGGCCGTCGTATGTGGTGATACTCGCTTGCTCGTCCATGTTTGCCTCTTTGCCTCTTTCCTGCCAATGTTCAGATCCGGTCAACACACATCCGGCTGACTTCCAATAGCCGGACCGGAAACCCCGCTTCTTGCATTGCATCTATCGCGATAAGAGCTTACGGACGATAACGAGCTAACAGGCTAACGTCCGGCCTAAACACCTAGCAAACTGCTCTGTACCCCACCAAACGATAACTCCCCTCGTCGACCTTTGCCAGAACGCGACCTCGCGTCCGACCATCGACCGTCTGCACTCCCGTGTGTGCCTTCTCAGAATGAGTTTTGCCATCGAGGTGCCTGGCGAGGCGGTTCCGTTCAATATCCCGGACCTTTGCAAGGCCTTGCAGGCCGGCACCTCATCCGATCACAACCAACGACAATCGGCAACGCAACAGCTCGACGAATGGAAAACCCACCCGGGCTTTTATTCTGCCCTGCAGGTAAGCTTGTTCCCTGTCCCTCGTGGGCGCCTTCCGCTCCAGTTACTGACAGCAGCCTTCCACAGAGTGTGTACCTCGAGTACTCTCTCCCCAGCAGTGTCCGGCTGCTTGCCATTATCATGCTGAAAAATGGCATCGACCGCGACTGGAGAGGGGCTGCCAACGCCCGGGGTGGCATCCAGCCGGACGAAAAGGCCCGCATACGAGCAAGGCTATTTGAGGGCACCATCCGCGAAGAAGACAGGACCCTGGCCCGGCAGAGCGCCGTCCTCACCGCAAAGGTCGTCCGCATTGACTACCCGCAGGAATGGCCCACGGCGCTGCCCGAGATCGTCTCCATTCTCCGCAGCGTCAAAGACTCGAGCCACGTGCAGCTGCACGGTACGGTTCTGCTGCTCCTCCGCGTCATCAAGGAGCTGTCGACGGCCCGGCTGCGCCGGTCTGCCCTGCAGCAGATGGCCGAGGAGATCCTGTACCTCCTCATCGAGGTGTACCGGGCCACAACGGACATCTGGGTCGACTGCCTGGTGCGCGAAAACTATTCGGCCGTTGCCGTGGACTATGCCGTCGAGAACAGCCTACACGCGCTCAAGGCCATTCGCCACCTGGTCGTCAACGGCTTCGACAACCCGGCCCACTCGCCGCTCGTCCAGCAGTTCTGGGGGCTGTCGCACTCCAACTTCGAATCGTTCATCAGCTACATACACCCGGAAACGGACACTCCACCACCACACCAGGAGGTCATTGGCAGGCACATCTTGCAGCTCGCCAAGCTGCACATTGCCGTGTGCGACGCCCACCCGGCCAGCTTTGCCCTCCTGCCCAACTCGGTCGTGCTCGTGCACGTCTACTGGGACCTGGTCTCGAGCTTTGCCAACATGTACACGTCGTCGGCCGGTCTCCGGCCAGGCGGCGGCAGCGCGCGCATGGCCAAACCGAAAGTGGAGGGCCCTTTCTTTGAGCAGCTTGCGCTCAAAGGTCTGCTGCTGCTGAAGAGCTGTCACCAGATCATCAGCCGGCCCATGGTCGCGTTTAAGAACCGCGACGAGCAGACGCGGCGAGAGCAGGCTCAAGGCAAGCAGATTATCGAGACACAGCTCTTCACCAGCGAATTCATGCTGGTCGTTGTGGACGTGATTGTCAGCAAGCTCTTCGTCTTCCGCCAGTCGGATCTGGCCGCCTGGGACGAGGACCCGGAAGAATGGGAGGCGGAAGAAAGCGAGTCCGGCTCGGCGTGGGAATGGCAGGTCCGGCCCTGTGCTGAGAAGCTGTTTCTGGGCCTGCTGATCAAGAACAAGAGCATGCTGGTGCAGCCGCTGCTGGCATACTTTGACCGAACGATGAATGGTTCGATGGACCTGCTCACAAAGGAGGCCGTGTACACGGCCATGGGAAACGCCGCCGTGGCCATCGAGGGCATGTTTGACTTTGACAGCTTTGTGGCGTCGACCCTGGTCCAGGACGCACAGTCACAGTTCGAGCTGGCCCGGGTGCTTCGGCGGCGCGTCGCCATGCTCCTCTCGGCCTGGGCGTTTCACGAACTGAAGCCAGACGCCACGCGGGCGGTGTACTCGATCTCAGCCCACCTCCTGAATGCGAGCGACCCGGCCAACGACCTGGTGGTGCGGCTCACGGCGGCGCGGCAGATCAAGGCCACGGCCAACATCGCCTTCTCGGCCGAGGCGTTTGACCCGTTCTCGACCGGCATCTTCTCGTCCCTGATGCAGCTCCTGCAGGAGGTGGAGAACGAGGAGACGAAGCTGGCGGTGCTGGACACGATTCGCGTACTCATCGAGCGGATGGAGACTACGGCAGCACGATTCAGCGACAGCGTGGTGGCGGCGCTGCCGGCTGTGTGGGAGTCAGCCGGGCCGGAGACGTACATGATCAAGCAGTCGGTGCTGGCGATCATCTCCAGCCTCGTGATGGCGCTGCAGGCGGCGTCACAGCGGTACCACGAGCTGATCCTGCCGCTGATTGCAGATGCGGTGAACCCGAGCTCATCCGTGCACGAGCACCTGCTGGACGAGGGCCTGGACCTGTGGTGCAGCGTGATGACCATGTCGTCGTCGCCGCTGTCGGAGAACCTGGTCGGCCTGCTGTTGAGGGTGGTGCCACTGCTAGAGTATGATTCGCCGGTGGTGGAGACGTGTTTGCGGATCACGAATGCGTACATTGTGTTGGAGCCGTCGACAGCCCTGTCAGAGCAGTTCCGGAAGCCGGTACTGAACGGGCTGGCCTGTGCAATGGAGACGACACGAACCGAACAGGTACAGGAGGCAGCGGCAGTGATGCGCCACCTGGTGCAGGAGGCGCAGGTGCTGGGCGGCTCGGAGGGTGTGTCGTTGATCGTGCAGGACCTGCGGGAGACGGGCTTCCTGGAACGGATGCTAAAACGAATCCACGGAGCGTGGGAGGCACACCAGTCGACGGGGCCCAAGGCGAAGCAGAGCCCGATCGGACCGACGACGGAGATCCAATACTACAGCATTCTCGGCTGGGTAGCACTGGCAGATCCGAGGGTGTTTGTGCAGTCGATCCTGTGCTCGACGAACGATGCGGCCTCGGTCTGGAGCTGGCTGGGAGCAGAGTGGTTCGGCATCTTTGAGATGATGGGCAGCTCGGAGCACCTCAAGCTGTCGTGTCTGGGGCTGACACGGCTGTGCGAACTGGCGGAGCCGATGCAGGGCCTGGTGCTGGGTCGGCTGCAGGACTACTTCTCGATGTGGACAAGCACGGTGGCGGACGCACAGGGCGACGCGACGCAGCCGGACTGCTACGTGTGGGATGGGCCGCCGACGACAGAGTACGACACGCCGCTGCAGACGGCCGAGAACGCGCTGGCGGCCAAAGAGCCGGTGCACACGGAGCGGACCTTTGACTTTGTGCTGCTGCGGCTGCAGAGTTTGGTGGCACAGTGTGGCGGCGAGCAGCAGTTTGAGGCCGAATGGGCCGTGAACGTGGACGTGGACGTGTTGGCGGGATTCCGGGAGTTGTCGCAGCCACGGAAGGAGTAGTGATATGGATGTGAGCTGGTTAGTTGAAGCCGTGAAGTCGGTGGAAGTGAACTGGAGTACGGAGTATAGAATTAGACGCAAGATGGACGAGTCGTAAAATACGGAGTATAGAGTACAGCTCTACTATTCCGTGTGTACTGTACACATAATGTCTCACTAAGCTGACATAATGCTTACAGTTTGCGCACGGCCTGCACAGCTCGCGCCTTCCCGCCGTTGGCGGCGGGCCAATGCGGAAAAAAGAAAAAGAATAAAAATTACAGCACCCCAAAGAACGTCATCAATGTGGGGCACGGCTGGACTGAAGATGGGGGATTGGCATTGGAAGTTGCGGCAGGCGCCTCTGGCGTCTTCTGTCGCCTTTTGGCCTCTTTCGTCTTTCGTCTTTCGTCTCTCGTCTCTCGTCTCTCGTCTCGCGTCTCTCGTCTCGCGTCTCTCCGGTCTTTCGGCCTCGGACTCGACCCTTTTACGGTACTTCTCGCCAGCTTCGATTGCGTGCGGGCCTCCTCCCTGAGCAGTCCCCACGAAAGCAGCGGTCGCGCTGTGCCACCGCGTCGAATCCTTGCTTGACCTCTTTGCCTCAGTCCGTTTTCCGATCCACACAGCGCTTTTCCCACTTTTCACGTTTCCCCCGTTTCTGCACCATTTTCAGGCTCCCACGCATCCACGTCTGCCCGTCTGTCCGGCTGCACATCTGCACGTCTGCACGCTTCGTCTCTCTCGCTCTGCTCTTCCCGAAGCCGGTCTCAGTCAGCGGCCTGCGTCTGCTGGTGGCCAGCAATCTCGAGTGAGATAGCCCCCCCGTGTTCCCCAAAAGACCACCCCTGCTCGTGTGTATGTACCTGTACATGCTGGGATCTCCGATCTGTGTCGCGATCCATGCTGCGGTTGTGATTCGCTGTTGACAGTTTGCCTCTCTACAGGGCCGCATCTATTAAAAAACGCGATATCCGAGAGGGCACGGGAACCATTGACGAGCAAGATTTCCAGACGACATTCAGACGACGCCATCCAGATATCGAGGCATCCAGAACAGAAAGCATCCAGTCTAAGAAGCTCTACACCCACACATCCAAAAAAACACAAGCTGGACGCCTGGCGCGTGGGGGAGGGGGGGCATATAGCATGAGCTGTCCTGCTTGACAGACCCAGGACATCTGCTCTAGGTGCGCAAGATGCGACGGTCTCGGGGCGCGTCTCCGCCGTCGCCGTTCCGGGCGCTGGCCCATCATCATGCACAGCAGGCGGGTGGACGGCGAGCCGAGTCGGTGTCGTCGATGCTGCGGTCGTTCAACGTGGAGACAAATCCGACACGACCGATGCGTCCGAGCCCGCTGACGGCATCGACGATCCCGGACATGCCGCTGGACCTAGTGGACCGGATCCGGTCGTTTCCGCTCTTCATGTCGGCGCCGGACGAGTTTCTGGCAGCCATTGGCAAGCACCTGCGGCCACAGGTCCACGGGCCCCACGACCACATCCTGACAGAGGGCGACGACGCCAAGGCCATGTACTGGCTAGTGCGCGGCGCGGTGGCGGTGACGTCGCGCGACAGCGAGGCGGTGTACGCGGAGCTCAAGCCAGGGGCGTTCTTTGGCGAGATCGGCGTGCTGATGGACATTCCGCGGACGGCGACGATTGTGGCGCGGACAAAGTGCCTGCTGGTGGTGCTAAAGAAGGAGGACCTGCAGGCCGAGCTGCCGCGCTTCCCGGACATGGAGAAAGCGATCCGGCAGGAGGCACAGGAGCGGCTGACGATCCTGCAGAAGAAGCAGCAGGAGCGAAGGCAGGACGTCGGACCAGACGGCGGCCGAGGAGGGGGAGGATCGAGCAGTGAGAGCGGCACGATCGGCGACGGGGCGATAACCAGCAACAGCAACAGCATCAGCATCACCAACGGGATCACGAGCATTAGCATCAGCACCAACAGCAAGAACAGCAAGAAGCGCAAGTCGCCGAGCCCAGGGGTGATTGAGGACCCAGCAGTCGGCGGCAGTGCTCTGGGCAGTGGCTATGTCAACGTGCGCAAGACGCTCAAGGAGCTGCCGCTCTTCTCGACCCTTCCGGCCGACATCCTGCATTTTCTGGGGCTGAGCGCGCAGCCCAAGAGCTACTCGCCCTTCACCGACATCCTGCGGCAGGGCAGTCGAGGCAATGACATCTTTTTCATAGTCAGCGGCGAGGCCGAGGTGGTGCACGAAGCGCCCAGGCCTGAAGGCGAGGCCGAGGACACGGCGTCGTTTGCACGGCCACGACTGACGCAGGGACAGTACTTTGGCGAGGTGGCCAGCCTGGGCCTGTCGCCAGGACGAGTGCGGACGGCGACGGTGCGGTCGATCACCAGCGTGGAGTGCCTGATGATCAGCGGCGAGGCGCTGGACGAGCTGTGGAGACGCTGTCCGCCCGGACTGAAGCTGCAGGTGGAAGAGACGGCGCGGGAGAGATATCGGCAGAGCCGGGTGGCAGCAGCAGGAGAGGCCACATCGGACGATGCAGACGTCGAGATGAGCGACCGGCGAGAAGGTGGAGAACAGATGTCGGCCATCGGCAGCAACAGCAACCGGGAAGAGGTCTTGTCTCTACGACGACCTTCGGTGCCTCACGTGACTTTTACAACGCCGTCCAAGCCATCCTCGCCGACGACAGACGAGGCAGACATGCGACAGCCGAGCGACCCGGACCCGTTTCTGAGCGTGGACATGGAGAACCTGCGGAACCGACGGAGGAACTCGCTGGCACCACCGCTGCCGGCGGGAGACTCGTCGTCGGGCGGGCAGACGACGCCGTCGCCACAGATAGAGAACAACAGCAGTCCGCTGAAGCTGTTTACGTTTCCGCCTCTGACAGCCGCCGAGGAGCCGACAGCAGCAGAGCCCGAGGAAGAGCGCAGTTCGCGAGGACGGTTCAAGAAGGCACGGACGCTGGCCCACCGGCCCTATTCAGACGAGCGAAGCGGATCGCCGGCTGAGGATCATGCCCGGAAACACGCCGAGGAACACGCCAAAGAGCAGGCCCAGTCGTCGCCGCAGACACGGCAGCAGGGCCCGTCGGAGGCGGTGCTGGTGGGCGCGTTTCTGTACCTGGACATTGTGGAGCTGATCCGGCTGCGGGCAGTCTGCCGGGAATGGCGACGGGTGCTGACGACGTCGCGACAGCTGTGTCGGCGGGTCGACCTTGGCGGGCTCAACCGGGTGGTCAACGACTGGTCGCTGACGCAGGTGATTGCGCCGTTTGTGGGCCAGCGAGCAGAGGAAATCGACATCAGCAACTGTTTCCACGTGACCGACGAGGGATTCCAGGCGCTGTGGCGGCAGTGTGGCCACAACGTGCGGGTGTGGCGCATGAAGTCGGTCTGGGACGTGTCGGCGAACCAGATCCTGGACATGAGCGAGAACGCCAAGGAGCTGGAGGAGCTGGACTGGAGCAACTGCCGCAAGGTGGGCGACAACTTGCTGGCCCGGGTCGTCGGCTGGGTCGTTCCCGGGGAAGCAGAGGGTCAATCGGGCCAGCCACAGGGTCAGCCACAGGGTCAGCCACAGGGTCAGCCACAATCTCAACCACCCAAACCAGCGCCCGGAACGGTCATTGGCTGTCCACGACTGAGCGTGCTGGACCTGTCGTACTGCAAGCACATCACGGACCGGTCGATGATGCACCTGGCTGCACACGCGGCAGGACGGCTGCGGTCGCTGACGCTGACGCGCTGCACATCGGTGACGGACGGCGGGTTCCAAGCGTGGGCGCCGTACCGGTTCCGACAGCTGACGCGGCTGTGTCTGGCCGACTGCACATATCTGTCGGACAATGCGATCGTGTCACTGGTGAACGCGGCCAAGGCGCTGACCCACCTAGACCTGTCGTTTTGCTGTGCGCTGTCGGACACGGCCACCGAGGTGGTGGCGCTCGGTCTGCCGTTGCTGCAGGACCTGCGGCTGGCCTTTTGCGGCAGTGCTGTCAGCGATGCGAGTCTGCGCTGCGTTGCACTGCATCTCAACGATCTGCGCGGGCTCAGCGTGCGTGGTTGCGTGCGCGTCACCGGGACCGGGCTCGAGCATGTTCTCGACGGCTGCGCCCGGCTGCGTTGGCTTGATGCCAGTCAGTGCAAGAACCTGGCTCGCTGGCTGGCCGACGGCGGAATTGCCCGTTGGGGCTTTGATGACCGTGTTGGAGGGGATGGGCCTGACGGAGGGGGCGAGCCCCGATCGTCTGTCACGTCCTCTGAGCGCATCCCGTCCGGCTGGAGTCCGCCCGGTCTCGGCCTCGCTCCACCTCCGATGCCCTCCGTACGCGGCCAGCGACGACGTGCCCGTCATCCGGTCCGCTTCATCGTCGAGAAGGGCGCCTTGGGCGGGCTGCGGTGAAAGTGGCGTGGCGTGCTTTGGGTCTTGGTCTCGCTTGGTATTGGCTGTTCTGTTTTGGTGGCCGCCTCGTTGGTTCTGGCTGTCGCTCTGCTGTCGCGTTACTTTCACCCTTGTTGCTTCTCAGAGCCTCGATACCCTATGGGTTTACGGAGTACTCCGTATCACAATACAATACAATGATTTTGGACATATGTGCTGACTAATCAACCCGACTTGAGTACCCGTCCCTGCCTAAACGACTTTTCGCTGACATTAGCGAAAAGTCCTACTGGTACTTCCGCATCGCCGACAGAGAAACGGCCTCCAGGCAACAGGCAATGTTGAAGTCACCGAGGACAGAGTATATGAACGAGCCACCTGGCTAATGTAGAGAAACGCAGCAGCAGGACAAAGAGAATTATAGCAGAAGCAGGAGCAGAGCAGAAGCAGAAGCAGAAGCAGAAGCAGAAGCAGCAACACATCCATCTCCCTCGATATCATGACATTGTCCGACAGTGTGGCCGATCGTGTGTATCGCGTGGGCATCATCTGCGGCTCGCAGCGTGCAGTGCGTGCAGGTCCGCAGGTTGCCGACTTTGTGGCCGACGTGATCGAGGCGAAGCTGGGCTCGACCAGCGCGATCTCGGCCGACCCGTCTGCTGGCCTTTCGGCACCGCACATCTGCCTTGACCGGATCGACGTGGCGGCGCTGCAGCTGCCCCTGACGGACGAGCCGGGCGTGCCGTCGCAGATCCGGACGGCCGACGAGTATGCGTGCGAGCACACGCGGACGTGGTCGCGCCGGGTGGCGGCGCTGGACGCCGTCGTCTTTGTGACGCCGCAGTACAACTGGGGCGTGCCGGCAGGCCTGAAGAACGCCATCGACCATCTCTTCCACGAATGGACAGGCAAGCCGGCCCTGGTCGTGGCCTACGGCGGCCACGGCGGCGACAAGGCCGCTGTCGCTCTCGCCATGGTGCTCGCCGGACTGCACATGCGGCCGGTTGAGAAAGCGGTGCTGCTGGCGTTTCCCGACCGACAGACGACGGAACGGGCTGCCGGCGGAATGGATCTCGGACTGGCCGGGGATCATGACAAAAACGCGCTTTGGTTCGACCGTCGAGAAGACTTGGTTACGGCCTGGACTAAGCTGGTGGCCCTGATGGTCTGACTGTGTTGTGTGGCTTTACTTTGTGAGAATGAAATGGCACATTAAACTGTGTAAAGGCTACATGACAAATGCTCCCGATGGAAGGACACGACCCAACCCTATGATATTCCAAGTAGATGAGCAGAGAAGCAAAGCAGAATGCAGAATGCAGAACGTAGAGCAATGCAAAAGAAATGAATATGCAGAAGCAAGCACCACAAACGCCGCAAATGGGTATGATTAACCAATAATGGCTCTCGCAGTTACGCCGATCCCCTCGATATAGCTTCGTAGATTCGTAACATCATCCCGTCGACGAGTCTTTGAACAGCTCGGCCACCACACGCTTCATCGTGATGCGCTGGTGCTGGTTGGGGATCAGCATCTCATAGGTCAGCCGCTCGACCGTGTCTTCCAGGCTCAGCTTCTCCTTGGCCTCGATCACCTCGGACAGCCAGGTCTGCATCTGGGCCACAGCAGATGGCCCGTTCGCCGCACTGCCACCGGCCTTGACACCGCCACCGTGGCCGTGATGCCCCGGCGCCTTGTTGACGTCGGCAATCATCCAGTACAGCGGTCTTGCCCGATGGTGGCCGCGCGAGTCGGGAAACGAGATCTTGCGCAGCACGTACAGCATCGTGATGCCGAGTGCCCACACGTCGCTCGGCGGTCCTCGCAGCTTGCGGCCGATAAACTCGGGCGGCACATAGTAGGGCGTGCCACCGGCCGAAGCCGGTTGCTCGGCGCTCGTCGACAGCCCAAAGTCGCACAGCACGGCACCTCGTTCACGCGAGTACAGAATGTTGGCCGGCTTGACGTCGTTGTGCACCAGGCTGCGGCCGTGAACATAGTGCAGCGCGCCGGCAATGTCGCGTAGAATCCGCGCTGCGTCCTGTCGGTTGCCCGTGAAGTAGTCCGAATTGCTCGCTCGCCAAACGCCCTTCTTGCTGAGATCGCGGCCGTCCACGTGCTCCATGTATAGCGACAGGTGCCGCGCATCGCCGCCGTACAGCCGCACGATGCTGTTGTGTCGCAGATACTCGTGCGATTTGTACTCGCGCAGCCACGTGTCTGCCTGCCGGATCACATTCCGCTCCGTCTCTTGCGCCCGCACCACGGCTCCGACCATGTCGACACCCGTCGCTGCTGCCGGTCGCGTCTTGATCACCTTGACTGTGATCACGCTGCCTGTCGGCACGTCCGGGTGCTCCATCGTGCCCGTGAACACGGCCGACAGCGACGTCGACGCAATTGGGTCGCGCTTCGTCAGCTTGTACGTGTCCATATCACATCCCCCGGCCATCACCACCGTGTCCTCCCGCTGCATCTCCAGCATCGGATGTCTCTCGGCCGGATGGAGGAACATGATGATTGCCTCCTTGTCTTTGTCGCCCACAGCACTGCTGCCGTCTGCCGTCTTCTGTCGTCGAGCCCCAGGCCCCAGCTCGTCGTCCTCGTCCGCGACAAACGACCGCTTGCCCGACGAGTGCACGCCCAATTCCGCTTCCACCATGCCTGTCTCTTTGCTTATCCTTGGCGGTGGCGCCTTGTGCACCGCCCGTCGTCTCTCCAGTATCCGAAAGTCCAGAACCTCTGTGCTGCCTATCCGGATTCGCCACGTCCCCGGCGACAACGCCTTGATTGTCCCCGGGTTGATCGTGTATTCCGGGCTCTGTGTGCCGGGCGTCCCGGGCGATCCAGGACCGTCCGACTCGGCCCTCGCCGGCTGCGAAACCCGCGAGAGCGCAATGGGCGTCTCGCTGTTGTTCAGCAGGATCTGGTCATCGCTCTCCGGGTCATAGTATAGCTCGAACCACAGTGGCGGCATGGGCAACCCGTCGCCGTCATGCTCACCGGGCATGCGCACCACAAACTTGATGTCCTTGGATGTCTGCGTCACCGCCAGCACCGTCTCCTGCGGCTGGTCGGCCGCCGACACTTCCGCCCGCAGCGCTATCCATTCGCAGCTGTCGCGGCTGCCTGGACTGACTGATCGGCTGCGCAGTGGCCGCACCAACAGCCGGATGCCCTTGTCTGGCGGCACCACCAGCTCGTCCAGGTGCACCTCGCCGCCCAATTCGCTCGTGCTGAACGCCTCCTGCACGTACAGCCGGTGCAGTCGGGACGCGTATTCGGACGATGTGAGCGACACCAGTTCGGTCTTCTCTTCCGTCTCGCATTCCGTTACCTGTCCGCGTCCGTCGCCCATGGCAGCGAGCCGGTCGGATGGTCGGCCAGGTGCTGCCACAAAATTGTGCGTGTTGGCCGCCAAATCGGCAGAAGAAGCAGACCGGGCCAACGCCACGGTTGGACGGCAAAAAAGAAGGAAATCGCACTTGATTGGGGACCGGGAGGGGCTGCCAGAGTTGCCAGACCGTCTCGTACTCGTAAGATGCGAGAACCAGGACGAGAAGCCAGAAAGAAGAGCACGAATGACTCCACCTCCCGAGAAATATATGGGCGAGACCAACGGCAGTGGGGCTTGGTAAAGAATAGGGCTGTTATGTATCCGCTCAAAGCAATGCTCGGGCGGTCGTGAAGAATGCGCATGAGGCCGCCAAATCGGCACAGAAAGTCAGATGCAGAGGTCGTGAGCAGGAGAGTGAACAGGCCCGGTGATGGCGACCGAATGGACACACCAGATGAGAAGTGCAAAGAATCACTGCGTACGAGTAGAATTAAGAGGATCCAGAGGGGGCGCAGCTGCCTAGTAAGACGACGAGCTGGCGGAAGGCACGAGCCACGCCGTTCCATAAATAACGCCACACCAGGGACAGTGTGCCTTCTGAAAATCATCCTCTGTCATTCGGCAGGTGCAAACCAACACAGTACGAGTACGCGCAGCCTGCGCCGTGTATATAGTACTACTGGACTCGCTTAGCGACATGGGTGCTTGTACTCTACGAAGCAATTACTAGCACAAAAGCTGCAGATATACATCTCACCAGGTCACTGAGGGGAAGTACCGTGTCTCTGTACCTCGTATGCGCGACGGGTCATACGAGTTTTCGGTACATGGCGGTGCGTGAGCCTGCTTCAGGATCCGTACACCTGCGAAAGTACAGTGTGTTCCAGCTCCAAGATCCGGTAGAGATACCTGCAGAATGTCCGGCCATGTACCGACTAGGCGGCAGCAGCGGGCTGCATCGGGCAGGAAAGAGTAACTCATCAGATTCCAGCCAGGGCTTGGCACCTATTCTGTGTGTCTCTCGTGTTGCATTAGCGTGGTGGCGTAGACTCAGCGTCTGGCTAGTACCACGTCCTATTGGCTGGATAACAAAAATGACCATCGTTAGCGCTATATTTCCCGGCCCTCCACCCACATTTCCACCCACACTTTCTGTTTGGATTCTTGCGTAGCGGCCCACTCGCTCTTTCTGTCTGCGCTCCCACGCAATTTCCCTCTTCCATCGACAGTCTCCTCCGATTTTCACCTTCATTCATTGCAAAACTTCACTATACTCAACTTGCCGTTGATATCCTTCACAACCGCCAAAATGTCTAGCAATACCTCGTCACCCCGAATCTAAATGTCTTCTCCTCGTCAAATCCATCAAATTCACTCGGAATCTCTGCTCTGCGATCGTCTGCCGGACCTGGACTATCCTCACCCTATCCTCACCCTATCCTCACCCTCTCCCCTCACTTTCTGCTCCCTCTACTCTTCCGACCCTGGACGCCTGTTCACTGGACCGCTGTTCTCCTCTCATCCACTCCCATCACTCGTCTCTGCCTCTACCGCCTCTCTACCTCCGTCTCGATCTCTGGTCAAACCGACAACGCGGCTCTCCCACAGCCGCCTCTCTTGACACTCCGAATCCCCAGCCAGTCTTCTACCCATGGACGACTCCGGCTGGACATGGCCGGCTTGGAAGTTTGGGATGCGGAGGGATGACCTCTTCACCACCCTTCACGACCAGTACAACACTTTCCTCTCCTCCATCCAAGATCCCGACGCCTTTCACCACGATGTCTTTGAAATCTCAAACGAAGCCGAGACGGCGAGCGAGTTTCATCGCCTGATGGCCGACCGCAAAGCACAGCGGCTCAACGAGCTGAACGAGTCACTCGAGTCCGCCTCGTTCGAGATCATTGCCAATCCCGCCCTTGTCGGCACTACGCAGTGGGAGCACGCCCTGCAGCTGTTCCGAACGCGTTCGCTCGACTCTCTCGTCCGCTTTTTCGCCTCTTACCTTCCCGTCGACCATCCTTGGCATCGCGACATCTCGGACATGTCGACAAGTCAGACCGAGATGTCTACCACTACGCAAAAAGCCAAGTTTGACGATCGTGGACTCACAGAGGAACCTCTCTGCTACTCCTCCGCAACTTCGTCTCTCGCGCACGAGCAGCTCCCCCCTTCCCCCCGCTCGCTCACGCTCTGCTCCGACAGCTCGGATCCGACCCATTCGATGTGCGACTTTGACAACCTTACCCCACGCACTCTCTCCTTTTCCGGCTCTGAGCCGTATCCTTACAGCGACGATCTGAAACGTGGTGACCTCAACTATCACGACGATGCCTCTTCGCAGTCCTCTGGGCCAGAGACGCCAACTTCTGTCTCGGAGCTCGGCGAGGATACAGACCGTGACAACGATCCTGTCTCGTCGCGCTCTCCCGTCATCGAGATCGCGTCTGAGTGCGCCGATGACGACGAATGCTTACCTTCGCAGCTACCGCAAGACATCGGATCTTGCATCAAAACAAAATCATCGCCAGTGACAACGCTGGCACCACCATCAGCCAAAGCCGCTTCCGTCACTTGCAGTCCCATCTTCTTCGACATTGTGAAACCGACGCCTCTGTCTGCTCGGCATCGGAGTCGGAGCCTCTCACCCTTGCCAGCAGGCCACCTCACCGAGGTTGCCGCACCGTCTACGCAGGCGGATTGTCGTAAAGCGATTGCCGCCCATCGCCCGCTGAGACGGATGTCCCGAGAGGACTACGAGTCGGCGACGCAGCGTGGCAGACAGTCTCTGCGCTGCCTTAGCAGAGGCAGAGAACTGCGACTTCACGAGGCTGCGAGCCGCATACAAAAAACACGTCCTGTGCAGACAAGACTGCGCGAACGGAGAGAAAGAGAAGCGAGCAAAATTCGGCGCTAATATGTGTCCGCCGGCCGTAAACGCACTTGGGGCGTTCTGGTATGCGGCCTCGGCAATCATGACTGTCAGCATTGACGATAACGGAACGGACGGTTGGTTGGCGTGTTGGACCGCCATGAAACTGGGCATCACTGGCGTTTTTCTGCATACATCGGGCTCCCGATCTATACCCCTGTATTTAACCCTGTAAAATTATGACTTTCGGTTCTCATGTCGTTCTTGCCAAAGCTTGATGGCTGTACTCGTGAAGACTACGTGCTATAATACCTCCACCTTGTAGTAGTAGTAATGTAAGATAGCAGAAACAATCACTCGTCAGGCAGCCCTGACTGCAAGGAAACTCCATTTGCTCTATGTCTAGATTAAAAAAAAACCCCGATGTAGAAAGGGAAAGGCCCGGCAACAGCGGTAAATAGCAGATATCCAAATTCCCTTTCCCCTTTCCCGATGACCACATTAGTACACAAACCGCGGCTCCTTAAACGGCGCCTGGCTTAGATCGAAATCCACCCGTCCCTTTGAGTTCAGCCAGATGCCCCGGTCGGTAGTGGGTGCCACCAGCCCCGAGTGCGCCACCTCTTGGCGACTGACCCGCGCCTCGTCTCGTGGCACCCACACTCGCGGAACCGGCTTCCACATCTCGGGCGGCCAGTATCCACGCCGCGCATAGTCATCCGGGTACTCTACCTCGGGCACGTCCACGGCCAGCATTTTCCGCAGGAACGAGTAGTCCTCGTACACTTCCGGGTGCAGCCAGCGGATGAAGATGTTGGGCTTCTTCTTGGCAGCTTCTTCGCTGCTGCTAGGATCGCCAGTACCATCGCGGCTGGCGTCCACATCGGCTCTCTTCGGCCTCAGCCACGGTACATATAGGCCGAAGCGAGACTCTCGAGTATCGTCCTTGACTGCCTTGATTGCCGTCTTGAAGCTCTTCTTGAGGGCCGATGCCGTGCTGTCCTTGAAGATACTGAACAGACCGCCGGCACCATCGATGCCGATGCCGCTCCTAGTTCCCACAGGACCCTCGTGGAGGTTGTCGTCTGCCTCCTCTTCGCCAAAGCCTTCCTCGAGATCGTAGTAGTCTGAGTTCAGGCCGGCGCCACTGTCAATTCGTGGCTCTTCCGCCTCCATTCGGTCTTCGGCATTTGTGCGGGCTAGGTCCCTGTCTTCCAACGCGAGCGTGCGCGGCAAGGAGGTGAGCAGTGGATTCACCGCATCGCTCAGCGACAGATGCACAATGATGGTGAAGATCAAGAACAAAGCCATCAAGACAACTGGGCCGATGGCAGTTTGAAGGGTAAAAAGACCAATCAGGCAGATCTGCGCCATGTACAGGCCGACCAGCAGATGCATCAGGGCACGGGGATAGTGCAAGCCCTTGGAATCCACGTCGACGTCGAAGTAGTACAGGAGGTTGTACCGGTAGACGTGGTACGAACAGACCATGCCAAGACCGGCAAAGAGGAGAATGAGCGGAGCAATGCAGGCATAGCTGATCGCTGAATACGTGAAAGACGCACATTAGCCGGGCCAAAGTTCTTGGTCAATACAACAGGAGAGAGACACCTACCGATCACTCCCATATTTGTGTAGACAGGGAAGATGCTTCCCCAATGCGGTCTCTTGAGCGTGTGGTATACTTTATGAGCCCGTCTGGGGTCCTCGATAGTCTTGAACAGAATGCCGTGGCGGAAGAGGTCGAGAAAGTGGAGGAGTCCAGAGGCACCGCCAGCCAGACACTGCACAGTGATGTAGGATAGATAGAAATTCGAGGCCTTGGGCAGGTTCGAGGAGAGGAGATCCTTGATCGAGAGGGGGTCCTCGAGGATCTGTGTGATGGCTGCCGACGCAGCAGAGGTCAGTGTCGTGACCAGGAATACCTGGACGACCTGAAAGATAAAGTATGCGCTCTGTGTAAAGAGCTCAACCATGGGGACGGACGTCACTCCGGCGGTCCGGGCAGCTCCTCTCAGCATCGCCGGGACGAGCGCCATCAGGATGGAGAGAGCCAGCGACGGCAACAGTCCCTCGATAACACCGGTGATGACAGCCGGCAGGTCGTTGAGCCAGTGGAGGAAAAAGAACTTGCTGCTGAGAAACTTGATGTTGGAGACGATACCAACCAAGGCGGAAGGGATCGACCAGAAGATGACGCCAGCACTGACGGCGCCCATCATGGCGAAGCGGCGGATGATGCGCTCCCACCACTTCATGCGCAGTGACGACCATATGATGTCGTTGGGGCGGATGCCGATAAAACGCGGCGACATGTGCAGCGGCTGGTGGTGGGCGAGAACCTGGAAGGCGACTTGGGCGGCAGCCTGCGTGTCGAACTCGACAAAGACAGCCGAGAGAGGATCGCCGTTGCCGTTGCGATAACGTCGTCGCGTGCGAGCAATGGCCTGGTTGAGCGTCTTGAGCCGGTTGCGTGTCCAGCGAATCGTGTCGACGCGGCGGCCGTAATTCGACAATGGCCGGTGGCCCGGACGTTTTTCGGCCGGTAGCCACTGTGCGGCCACGGAGCCACGAATATCGGGAAGGGCGGGCGAGTAACCGTAGGGATGGACGTAGTGCATCTCGTCCTCGTCGTCGTACTCTTTTTCGCCATCCTTTTCGTCTTTCTCGTCTTTCTCGTCTTTCTCGGCCAGATCTGCCGTGGGCGTTGGTGTCGAAGCGACAATGGTGTCGGCGGCCGATGGGCTTGAAGCTGCTTCCGACACGGAAGCGTGTCGGTCGATGGCAATGGTCTCCTCCCGGAAGGCCGTCTTGACGGCCGAGGCGAGGTCGCCGCTGGCATGGCTCGGGACGGAGGTGAGCGGGCTGCTGAGGCCGGCAGCCGTCTCGCCAAACGACGAGGATGAGGATGAGGACGAGGATGAGGACGAGAGGGAGGTCAGAGGCGAGACGGAAGGAACAGCAGAGGCTGCTGATGTAGCGGAGGAGGACGAGGTGGTAGAATTCCGTGATGCGCTCGCGATGCGTCTCTTGCGTCCAGGCCAGGATCGAAGAAGGGGTGGAATGCTCTGTGCGATCCCCTTTGAAGAGGCCGGGAGGGTCTCGGCCCCAATGGCCTTCTTCCGGGCAGCATTGGCCTTCTTAATCAGCTCGATCTCGGCGATCTCGAGTCGCTCAGCCGCACTTTCGCGATCTTTCACAAGCCGCTCAAGGTCCTTTGTGTTCGTCGGGATCCAAACGTTCTTGACGGAGTCGCCGTATAGCTTGCGGATACGATGCTCGTCGAGGAAGCGCTTGGGCACGCAGGTGAACAAGACAGTTCTGGCCGAGAGACGGTGGGCGTGCTGGGGTGCTAACAGATACGCCTGTCGCATGTTGATATAAAAAACACACTCACGGCACACCATGAACAGGATGAAGCCTGGGACAGATTGTCAGCACGGGAGAAGGACACCAGCATCATAACAGACGAGGCTGCCTACCAAAAAAAATGTAGGCTATGACCACGTGGGCGTAAAAGCGCATTGGGTAGGCGACATTGCCAATGGTCAAGAGGTCGAGCTGGACCTCGCCATTGCCGCCGGTGGCATCGATGGCGAGTAGGATGGGCCAAGCAATGATGCAGCCGGCGAAGCAGATGATGGCGATGACGCGGAGGAAGCGGAGAAAGAAGAAGCCGTCGAGGGAGCAGTTGTTCAAGATGAAGGCGTCGTCGATTTTGAAGAAGGGGATGATCCAGTTGAACCAGCCGTCGGGGAGGGCCGGGGTGAGCTCATGGTCCTCGCGAATGCCAGGAATAGTGCGTGGTGCGTAGATTCGGGGAGATTTGCGGCGGAAGGAAACGAAGATGATGAGGCAGACGGCCGAGAAGACGAGAACGGGAATAAAGGTGCTGCCGAGAGAAGCGGCCGAGCTGGAGTTGCTACCAGTCGTGGTATGGCTGAGGGTTCCGCCAGTAGAGTTGTCTCGGCTAGAACCGACACGAGGGTCAGACGCGTTCTGAACGTGTCCGAGGTCTATCAGTAAGATGGCCATAGAGAGAAGCAAAAGCAGCCGGTAAAAAGCACGAGGCAAGATGCCGAAAAAAAAAAACAAGTGTATAAAACCGCATATCGCATATCAAGAGTACAGCCAGCAACAGCCAGCAACAGCCAGAGCGACCAAGGAAGAGACACTTACCAAGAGCGAGGCACGGCTGACGATGAGTTCGCCACGCAGCGCACTCCAGTCCATCATGGTTCACATTGCTCTTGCCCAAGGCCTACACACTCTGCAGGCGTCTGCGGCCGAGGCAGACAGACGGCATGAGACCGGAGCGGAGAGAGAGAGAGAGAGAATAAGCAGGTCGGGGGTGAGAAGCGGATGAAGGGCCAATCGACAGAAGGAGTGCGAGATGGGAGGAAGAAACGGGCTCACACGAAGTCCGTGAGGGAGAGATAAAGCCGGCAGAGCCAGGATGAATTTTCCATTTTCCCTGCACACAGGAAGAAGATGAAATCCACCTTCCGGTGCGGGGAGGCACCCCAGTCCGTTCCTTCCTCCCTGGAAGCGAATGAATGCAGGGTATGCACAGCGCCAGAACGGAACGCGGGATTGGTACTGGGTCTGGGCGAGAGAGCCCCTGGATTAGTAGACTAGCCCAGCCTGTTAGCGGCTTACGACACAGTCTGGTCAGGGCTTCCAGTATTACTACAATTGTACTCCATACGTCGTATCTTACGAGACCGCCGAGAGAGAAGGCCCAGCCGCAGCCGAGAGCGAGCCCTGTTTGGCTGCTGGCTAGGGCGCCATTGCTGTTCAGCTTACCGCTGTCGGACTAGCCTGCCGTTGTAGTGGAGGGTAGACGTAACCATGCGACGGGCGAGAGTCGCAGTGGAAGGCTCGCCGGCCAATGTCCTCGCACGGCAAGACCGCTGTGAGATTCGCCTACTACTAGTATGTTCCCATCTCGCCACAGCGCTTCCAGTGTGCCATCGGGGCTGACCGCCCTGCTGGAACAGCCAGGCCGGGTCTGGCTTTTTTCCCGGCCAGGATTGAGCCAGGGTTTAATTGCGATTGGGTTCAGCACGGAGCGTGTTTCCTATCTTTGACATTATCCCTTGATCTGTTTCCTGCTTCGGCCTGCACCGGTGTGCACCGGTGACGGAGATATGAATCGGCCAGGGCATCGCGAAACGAGATCCGACGCAGAGGCAATGACGTATGACCGTCGCTGAGCGGTGCTACTCGTATGTACGAGTCTCAGGCGGCTATGCGCACTGTCTCCGCGGCCGATGATCCCAATGCTCTCTCCTCCTCGGCTGCACTCTCCGTCTGCGTGGCCAAGGTGGTGGAGCAGCCTCCGAAAGGCGTCTTCCACTTGTCCACTATGGGACCGCCATCGCGCATGACCTACTCCGTCTCTTACCACACTATGTACTCCGTACACCTCACCGTCTGCTCGTGCAGTGCATGCAGGTGCATGCTGCAGTGCGAACACGGCACGTCCAATAGACTAACTGAGACCTCCAACGGCGGTGATCAAAAACGGCGCCTCTTTGGTTCCTTTGCTGCACGTGATGTCGCACTGCATCCCACCGGCCTCGCAGCCATTAGGCAGACCGTGGTGTGAACGAGCGAGAGCAGCGAGGAGCGAGGAGAACGCGAACGACGAAATGAGCGAAAGACGAAAAAGCAAGGAAGCAGGGCGAGAAATCAAACGACAACGAAAAGGAAAAGAAACAGCCCCAGCGGCCATGGCCGCCAAGACGGGGCCGACTCCCAGACGCGATACTGAGACACTGCAGTCCGCATCTTACGACCGACTCGTACGCGTACAAACAGGATACTGTGTACTTTACAGAGGTCGCTACCAAAAGTCCTTTCTGACCGCCTTTGGTCCCATTATTCGCACTAAGCCTAATTAGGAAATCTATTTTCAAATTACATTCCGTCTCCTTTTTGGTGCATCCTTTCGTCCCTCCCTATATTCATTACTACCACCTAAAGCGATTACCTGCTGAATATGCCACGGTATCCTCTCAATCCACTCCCGAATACGGTCTTGTTTTAAGTCTGCCCACGCACGCTGCCAGTCTGCCTCTGCTTGTGCCTTTAATAAAGGCGCGCTAAACTTAGTAGTCTGCCTTTTTAAGTGCATCCAGCATGGCTCGATCATATTCAAATCTGGTGAATTCGGGCACCAAATCAGCCTTTGAACGTCTGCACGGTTGTATACAACTGCTTGCGAAGCATGTGCATAGGCTAGAGCTTAGTCTTCTTAAACTAAGAAGTCTGCACCGCACTTGCGGGCAAAAGGTATTAGCTTTAGGATAATAATATACTTTTAGTAGCGGTACTAGTCAATACCATTACCGCTCTTACGAGTAGCTTTGCCTGTTTGCTTTGTAAACTTCCATTGCAGCTTTCGTCCTAGTAGATTTTGTAGCTTAACACGACAAATACTAGTCTTAAGCTTCTATACTTTACAAAGTTGTAGTTCTATTTGCTAATTCTATAACGCCAACTCTTTTTCTAACTTTGCACGCTCTTTTATAGTCTTAGGATGCCAAATATAGAATAGTCCTTTATTATTGTATGCAAAGCATCCTTAGAATATAAATTCAGAGTTCCCTTCTACCTTTCTTGAATACAAGATCGTAAGAACCTTTCGTCTAGAGCTCTCCAAACTTTGTAGCTCCCCCGTCGATAGCAAAGAAGAACAGACGTTTCATTAGACCAGATTACTTTTCTCTAATCATCTAATGTCTAGTGTTTATAGCGCAAGCACTAAGCTAACCGCTCTTGTTTCATTAACTCTGTTAATCTAGGCTTTCGTGTTGGTTTTGTCTTCTTTATCCTAGCGTTTTAGAGAGTGCACCAAACTGTCATTGCTGAAACGCTACCAATTTTATGTGCTAAATAAGCAGTTGTTTTTTCTCGTCCGTAGCGGTCGGTGCGAACCTTTGTAAGAACCTCTTCTTTAACTAGTTCTTGCTTTTGAGGGCGGCCGGTTCGGTTACCGTTGTTAAAGGTGTACTTGGGTAGGCTAGGTAAGTCAGGCAGGCAAGGAGGTATCTTCTTAACAGGAGAAAGCAGCCGTATATTCAATAGCTAATTCTTGCCTTCTGCACTCTAAGGGAGTGCGGGAGGCACTCTTTATCGTAGGCGCACCTCTGGC